ATAAGGTGAGTCATCAACTAAGTGAGTAACGAACGACGGACTGACTTTTCTGTCAAACCTTATTGTGTTTAATCGTCTTTTTTATAGCGGTCGAGAATACGAAAATTTAATTATGGACTGCTGTCAGTTAGAGGACGGTGTCAGCGGCGTCAAAAGGGAAGATACAGCCGGGAACGATCCGGAGAACGGATCGCCGGACGCTGACAGAGGAGGTACAAAACGTTCTTTGATTTAGCGAAAAGCTACAATTTTCCCAGCTCGCCGGTCCCGGAAAGTTCTTATCTTCCTCCGTCTTGAGGCAATATTCGTTCCGACTTTTGATTTCAGAGGGTCGTAGTCGAGGCGGCCCTGCGAATCAGCATCAGGAGCAATCGCATCGGTCGCCGCCCGAGGAACAGGAGGAGAGCCACGCGTCGGAAAGCGAGAAGCGAGGTAGCCGGCATAACGACAATATAGCCCAGTTGCAACAAGAGTCGCAAACAGCGGTCGGGAATCTCGACACGCTCGTGGTAAGACTGCGAGGGCACAAACGAAAGATCCATGACGACGACAGCAGCTCCAACGAAGAGGAGGACGAAGAGGAGGCTAGTCCGGTGAAGGAAACGAACGGCGAGAGAACCCGCGCGCTTAGTCCTAGCGCGACGTCCACGCATTCGATCTCGGCCACCGAACAGGCGCTCTGTTCGACCAGTCCAAAGTCGTCACGTCGCGCTGAGGGCAGCAGGATGGACAGTGCCGAAAGTACGGGAACGTCGGTGAAAGATCTGGAACAGGCTATGTCGAAGCACCTACCGGGGAGCTCGCTGAACAAGTCCAACTCCCCGGCGGCGCTTCACCAGCCGACAGATTTCAGCACGGACGCGTTGTTGAAGCAGCAGCAACAGCGGAGTACGATACAGTGGATCGGCGCGCACCATCATCTAGGCCATCTGAGTCCGCAGCAGTCTGCCGCCGCTCCTTTACCCGCCTCCGCGCTCCTTAGGCAACTTTACGCTGCCAATCGGGAGAGCGTGATACGCGCCAATGTGCACGGAATCACGTCGAGCGGCGGTACGCGCGCACCCACGTCGGCCGGTATCTACTACCCGGGCGAAACTGCCCCGAATGGACCTCTACCCACGCCGCCGGGCTCGGAGGGCTCCAGCACGTACGGCGAGCACCAATTTGTTCTCGCCGCTCACAATCAAAAAGCATCGAACGGCACTAGCTGCGCCGATGCTTTCACCAGTCTAGTTTCATCGTACACATCCGCCACCGCGGCCGGCTACTCGGTGGACTATCATTCGGCGATGACGCCACCGTCGTCGGTCTCGCCACGGGACAGCAAGCAGCAGCAACAGCAGCAGCAACAGCAACAGCAGCAGCAACAGCAGCAGCAGCAGCAACTGCATCCCGTAAACGTGATAAGCAGCTACGAAGGCTCGTCGGCGTACGCGGACCCCGTTCTTCGTCACCAGTACGAACCGGCCCAGCCGTTACCCTTGAAGCCCCAGGTGTACTCGGCCACTGTCCATCCGAGTGCCTTAGACGCCGCGGCGGCATACGCCTCAGCAGGTCTGACGGAACAACCGCAGTTCTACCATCATCCGGCCAGTAGCGCCGGCTTCCACATCTACCACCCGAGCAACAAGTCGACGGCGAACGGCTGGTACACTTCGGCCTCCTAGTGGCCCCACCCGTAGGAGTTCCACCCGCCCGTGTACGCGGAACCACGTGTACTTAAGCGACTGTAATTAAACCCAAAGCCCTCTTTCTCGTGCATATCAGTGATACGCTATCTTGTCGCTAATCTTTGGCGATCGTTGGCGAGCGATCTTCGTTGTCGTTGGGATCGGCGGCGGCGGGGAGGCTTCACCTCGCCGCTCCTTCCTGCCGAGTCGCCGAGACTCGGCGCTGTAACAATCGCTCTCTTCTCCATTATGTAGAACGATTTATTGTAATATAATGAATAAATTATTATATATATGTTGACTTTCCGGAGGTATCTGCGTAAATATGGAGCCAACTGAGAAACTCATGCGTGTTCACCGTGCGTGTTCCAAGTGATTTTAACGCGACGCTCAAAGAGATCGTAATATATCTAAGGATTCGCGATTTATTATATATATATATATATATGTGATATACAGGACGAAATTATCCTGTATATGTATGTATTATAATTATATTATTTCATTTTTCATTGGATTTTAGGACGTCCGTATTTATGTAAATTTATTTCTCCAAAAACAATTGGATAAATGATTAGGCGATAGTTGGACTACGTTTTTTTATATCCTCGAAATGTCATCAAGAGTTATTACGAGAAATTCAAAACTTGACTCGGAGTCATGTTACGTTATCTCTTGTTAAAATATTTTCTTCTAATAACTTTGACGGTTTTTCGCGGTCGAAAGACGCGCGTTCCAACTCTCGCCAAGTCTCTCATCCAACGGAGTTTTGAAAAGAGAGAATTTACAGAGAAACCGATATCTTAAAGTAAGCGAGGAAACAACTTCTGAGGAACTGTTTTCGCAATTGTGTTAAATATTACTAATCAAATGTGATTACCGTATTACCGGTGATTTACTCCATTATGGTACTTGGAATAATTTGTACCATATTTCGTTGTGCGATAATTTTCGTAAAGCGGATGATACAACCCTGTCTCTCTCTCTGATACGCTGTTTATTTTATTTAAGAGAGAAAAAAACGCTGATAAAATTTATTTCGGTATCATACGAAGGGTGTTTGACAAATAGCACGGCATACTTAAGAGAAATCGCTATCTCTATTAATTCGTAGCTGACGTATCTGTTTTAGTCAATTAAATATTGAATTTGTTACTCGGAATGCGCTATGTACAATCGGTCTGTTCCAAAGAGTTCGTTGTTGCAAGCTTCTTGTTTTAGACTTCAACTTGCGATTGAGGAAGTACCGAATACTTCTCAGTAGAAAGTAAAGAACAATTGATCTACATTCGATACCAATTGTTATCCAGTCACGTCCAGGTTTAACAGTCGTGACCCACGAAAAATGATAAACAAGTTACGAGACTGGAAAACGAGACTGAAAGAATGGAACGCGACACGGCAGTCGTATATGGAAACGGAGAGCAATCCAGAGAAAAAAAAAGACACGAGTGATATTAAAAAGACACTTTTATTAAAATACGCACTGAGATTCTTTACTTATTAAGAACAAGAGACATTTGTATGTATATTTATATATAGACTGCTCTAGCGATTTTACCTTCTAAATGTAGGATAGATGAAGAATGTAGATATATCGAGAGGGGACACGTATCGCGCACGCGAGAAGAAGTCAACATTGCTCTGGAGGTAGCGAATTCTTTTACGAAAGTTATTGTATTTTAATGTTTAAACATTTCGACCAGTTGTTTTTGACAAGTACACGTGTAAATACAGCTTACGTGCCTAAAAGTTCACTCGCTCAGCATTCATCGATTTCTTTCGTGCTCAATTTAAAAGGATCGTTCACGACGAAGTACGTCCATGCGACGAAACGTTATAAGTTTCTCTCGTATAATGACGTTGATTGCAGAAACTTTTGTAATTATGTTTCGCATGCTTGGATGCAACATCATCCGACGAGGCGAGTCCACCAGGTGAACCGTAAGTAAACGTTTCGTAAATAATATCGGTAAGTAACTATTTATGGTGTGGAGAAAACATTTAGGATATAGGACTTAAATTATTGATTGTCCGTTTTTTGAAGAATAATGATTTCTTTTAAAACGGAAACGTAAATCACACATTCAAAAAAGTCTTGATGAAAAATAAAACAAGAATGGAACGCATAAATGATTTATTTTTGTTTAATTCCGTTCTCTGTATAAAAAAGATATATAGTTCATTCAGATCATTATGTAATTTTTTTTTCCAACTTGAGTATTATTTGTATTAGCGGTTTGTTCGTACAGAAACGTGAAAAATGCATGTTTTCTCTTCAACGTGATCGTTGTACTAGATATTGATTTATATATAGCAGAAATAACGAATATGCTATTCGTACAAAAATGACTTATGTACATTTTCATTTTGTGTTACATGATTAGTATACAATTATTATCGTTTCTGCCGTTGTAGTTATCATTACAATTATTATTCTTAATGCTACATTAATATTAAATTACTACAGTGAGTTTGCAGATTAAGTAAAAAAAAAAACATCTGTAAAATAATCACATATACAAGTGAAAATAAAATAAATCTAAAAAAAGTATTAAACACACTTTGGACGGTAGACATTTCGATTAATACTGTAAACTTATTTAAAAAAAGAGAGAGAACGAAATATATAAGTTTATCTGTAGTAAAGATAGCTTTGTACATGGAAACTCTAGTTATATTACATAAAATGCTCTTTTATGCTCCACCGTGAAAATGTATTTAAATTGGAATAACGACACAATGAGAATGATAATTATATACCACATTCTAGTCAGAAAATTCTAATTATATAGATAATATAATCAGTTAATTATTTTTCTTATTCACACAATAAACGCATGCAAGATGTAAAAATAAAAATCATTTATTTGCTATTGTAATTGCACTTTAAGGAAATTTTGATATACCGGCTATCATATTATGCAAAATTGCGAGAAATACATTAAGAAATAATATGGAATAACAATCTCGTGAATGTTATATAGTGAAACAAGCTCCGAAAAAGCTAACCAAAACTCAGATTTAGTTTTACAAAATGTAATTGCAATTTCTGAGCATTTGTTTTAGTTTAAATATAGTGTTCACGTAAAGTATTACAAAAAAATGTGTGCTCGAAAACTATTAGAGATAGCGACAAAATATTTTCTTAGTGTTTCAAAGAACATTAGGCCTCTTTATGGTATTGCTGTCAAACCCTCCAGGAGAGACATCACATACACAAATAATCTCTAAATAATATTAACAATTGGACTTGTAATTAAAAATTTAAGCATTTAACAAAGCCGTTATACAGATCTCATATCAAATTCAAAAGTTCGTTTTTCTGAATCTTAACCAGCTTTTTGGATTCTATTTCTATGATTCATTTCTGTGTCCCTGACACAAAATTATAACATATATAAAAAGATAATAGTTGAATGGAGCAAAAAAGACTTTATCCTTATCAAAGACGTATATATAATATTTTAGATTAAGTTAATGTGTATTCGTTACTTCTCTCTAACGCATACATATCTAATATGATGCATTTCAGTTTTAGATCATTTTTAGATAAACCACTCTTTCTTTTTCTGGACTTGATGGCCGGTGGCAGAGTTTACGACCGCTGAATCCGGATCCAGAGCAATTTCAGCACCCTTGTCTTCCTGCGTCAAGTATTCGCCCTTATGCCTAGACATATATCTGCCTATAAGAATCGCCATGATCACAAGTGCAATCAGAATAACCGCTAGCACGCTTCCCAGAATAGCTGTGTCAGTCTCGTTGTACGCCGCTCTCACTTTCTCCTCATCCACGTCAGGCGGTGGTCGCGTCTCTACGATATCTGGTGGATGCGTAATCGGCTCGACCCCGCAGAAGTCTTCGGTCAAAGGAGTACCGAGTGAACGCACATTTATAGGTCCGTTCTCTTGGAAGAGCAGCTTTAGCGGATATATGTCGTCAAATTCAACCCTCGATATGCAGCCCGCGAATCCCTCCGTCATAGATTCGTTCCTGCCAATGTACATGTACTGGATATTGTTGAATTGCGCGTCCGCGGAATTCTTTATGTTAAAATTAAACTCCTTTGGCTCATAATTATCGATCTGCATTATCAAAGTGGCGCCTGAATTCTTCCTGCCGATCCTGACATCGTGATACTGCCCCAAACCGAAATGCTTGAACGGGAATATGACCTCCTGCCGTTCGAAACCGAAGTCAAATACTACGCGTAAATGTCCGCTATTTGATACCATTATAGTCATGTATTCTCCAGAAATATTGGAGAACAGGCCCAATAGAAATCCTTTCGGATTCGTTGTCGTAAAGCCAACGCGTATTTTCTCAGCGATGGTGGAACGCCAGCTGCCCATGAAGTCATATTTTATCATCGAACTAGGTCGCATGTTCACGCCAATCTCTGAAAATAGTAATTTAAATAATAATAACCGAGATTAATAGTAGCAGATTTCATTGGACATTTTGTGTTCGAAATTATCTTTCCTACTTACCGTCCGCACAAATTGGTCCCTTAAATGCGGTCCATCGGCAGTCGCACCAGTATCCATCGTATCTTTCATGGCACGTGCCATTGTTGAGGCAAGGATTACTCTCACACCTGCCGATACAATCTTCCGTAATGCCGTACAATCCGCGCCGAGCGTAACCCCTCAGGTCTTGCAACTGACCGTTGAGAAGTAGCGCTCTTAGACAACCGACGAATCCGTCCCTGTAATCGGTCGTAGCACCCACCACGAAAGCCGAGGTAAGGTGTAACGCTCGCACTGGACCCGGAGGTTCTCGCACTTCGTTCTTCAGCGCCCCGTCGATGACAATCCGGGCCTCCTTGCGATTTCTCTCCACTGACACGGAATGCCACTTATTGTCAGCCAAATTGTAAGATGTTTGCACGCTAACGGTAAGCGGCCCTCCACCGGCCACATACTGGAAGTGTATCTGATTGCCAGTGTTTATAGAAACCTTGATGTAATCGGTGGGTCCTCTGCTATGAATTATCACAGCATCTTCGACAGTAGTTTTAAACTCGAAATAAATGTCGCCGCTGTGCCCAATATCAAAGGTCGGCAAATTAATGGTAGCATCTACTATACGGAATGTGACTACGTTCTTGAACAAATCTATAATAAGATGACCACGTGTTATATTCATGCCGTCGAGAATTAATTAATTAATAGTAATGAATGATGATTATCCATTCATTGTATGTATATTGGAATAAAAAAAAAATAATTGAACATACCATCGCCCTCGCAAATGAGCGGACCCAACATGTAACGACCCTCTTTTTCGTCGAGCGGCGTACCGGTGTCGCCGAAACGTAACTGTTTGACGGGAAGATACTCTTTCTCTGTAATATCCCCACCATCCTCTAACCATCCCTCCAGATTAGCGTCGCAGTTGCACCACTTGGTAGGATCCGCGCAATTTCCAAGTATACCGCACTCGCACTTTCGCGACCCGGGCAACGCGCCGCCCCAGTAATCCATCTTTTGATTATTCCGACTCACCCACCACGAGTTTGGTCTGAAGTAATCGTTTTGGGAAACTGGAAACGATCGTAAAGATTAATAAGAGGTTTATAAAAAGAATGTCAGGGTACAAGACGCCAGATATTTAAGACATAATTACCTGGGGAATTAAATAACCTGGAATGTTTGCACGCGTAATTTATCCTTTGTCTACAGCTTATAGATCGATTTAATAAAGCCTCTATTTGATCAAGGTCAGCGTCGTAATTAACGTCCTGTATGAAGCTGCCAGGTTCCTCGAATCCATCGACAGGAGTCGAATGCTCGTTACTATGACGTAAAACCGTCATTACGCGGCCGTCGGCGAAGAACTCGCAGGTGACAGGGAAAGGCTTCAACGGCCCGCTCCCGTCCACGTCGATTTTAATTTCCGCACGCTGATTTACCGAATTCATATTCTTATATGCCTCGCACGATAGGGGATTTAACGCTGCATAAAATTGTAATATTGTTAACTTTAGCAGAGATATTTTATATTTTATTAACACACGTTGAATTACTTACAGGTGTGACAGACGGCGCCGGTGTATCCAGTATTGGCACAATCGCAGGAGAACTCTTCAGAATTTTGACGGCAAACACCGAAGTGCTTGCAAGGATTCGGATTGCAGCGATCCACCATCTGACAAGTGTCGAAGACAACCTCGTTCTTACAGCAGTACTCCTCTTCCTTCCAGTCGGTCGGCAATTTATAATTTCCATCGATACTTATCATTCTCATACAGCCAACAAAGCCATAATTGCTCCCTGCTCCGATTACACCGCCGATCAAATAATGCGATCCGGTTAACATATCCAGGAGACGCTCCGTTTTCATCGGGCGCCCATCAACATTTAAAACGAGTGAATTTTTGGCGATCGTCAAGATTACTTGATGCCATTTCCCATCGTTGAACTTTTCGTAAAAATTGTCCAAACTCGCGAACGGGTACTCCTTCGTTTTTACGTCGACCTTCAATTTACCTTCTTCCAGATATAACTGCATATTAAAAATACACAAATAAATTTAATTGCGCTATATTTACGAGTAGCATTAAACGCTGTGCTCGAAGAATTATAATGAAAATGTACACAACCTTGACGAAGCCCGGAGTCGTGAACTGATGGTGAAGAATTATTCCTCTCTCTTCGTATGTTCGAAATGCGAGAGAAACATTCATAGACGGTACACCCTCGTAGCCTCTCAGCCTGGCAAAAGATCCGGGAGTTAAAAACGTGACGGGTATTATCGGAGGTTCCGGACAGGTGTAGATCGTATTGATCTTGTAGTATCGCAAATTCTCGTCGTATATCGTTTCCTTCAGCTCGTGAATTATATTCGTTGCATTTAAATAAAAGTTCTCTATGCAACCGGTGAAGTTTTGGTTCACCACTAAACCATCCTGTTTGTTAGGCACACCGCCGATGTAGAGCTAGAAGGAGCAGTCATTCAAGTTAATCCAAATGCGTTCATATAACTGATCGACTAAGTGCCGTATCGCTTTACGTTAATTTAAAAAAAAGTCACCTCTCGATTTAAATCCAGTCGATGAAACTCTCCTTTTATTCTACCTTTAATCAGTACTCTGTCGACAGAGAAGGAAATATTTTTACGATTGCGTGAAATTAAAACGTCGTGCCACATGTTATCGTCCAGAAGACTACCGACGGATAAACTCGTCATAATACCGGATCCGAGATCGATATTAAGTAACATCCTGTTGTCGCGCAATTGCAAGGCTATATAATCACCCTGCGTGCCACGGGAGTACATTAACACGCCATCGGCGTTGTTCGTCTTAAATCGGAAACGTATAAAATGTCTATCAGTCTCGATAGGCTCTCTGAGTAAATCTAGCCGTACGAGGGAGGATCCGTTAAAGGAAACAACGTCGGACACTGAAATGTAAAACGATAGATTTGTCATCTTACAAACTGATGTACCGTCTCACACAAAACAGACGCATATAATTATTATCTTATACCGTAGTCGCATCCGTAAAGTTCGACCCTCAGTGATATCCTGTCTCGCCATCGTGTTGGATTTATTCTAATCCATTGCGCGATTATCGGCACTTCAAACTTATTAAGTTTTATTCTGTCTCCGTCTACATTACCTTTAAACATCTGTAGAAAAAAAGGAGAGATGAGAATGTTTAGGGTGCCTGCTGTTATTAAATCGATATTCCCTGTTTGCTACCTCAGTGTCAGTCAGTAATTAATCGCCGCGACAATCGTGCAGAATTTAACCCTTCGTAGTCACACATGGGTCCATTGGGCCCACCCTCATTTGGATCTAAATATCAGCTAAATACCTAACTTAAAATGGGGCCTCGTCCGCCATCTACAAGAGTTTGAAGTATCCTCTATAGGTAGAGATTATCGTTAATCATGTACTCGTTCACGATTTCTTTTTCAACATGTTGCCATTTGATTTCTCACAAAACCGCAGTTTTATATTCTAGAATGTTCAAGGTATGTTCCAGAATTCTTTGAACCCGATCAGACCGATACCATTAAAATGGCAACCATTCAAAATCGACTAAGTCCATATGACCCAGTATGACTAACACGGGATTCTAGAGATGTGTGACTACGAAGGGTTAAATAAATTGCGTGCATGCTGTAAGTCAAAAGTAAATACTTATACGAAGAGTAGCTATCAGAAATAGAGAACTGTTCGCCAAACAGTTAATTTAGATATATTGAAAATCATGTCACATTAAAAGGATTATAAAAGTTAATTTAATTGCACGATTTATATTGCGCGCACTCAGGCAAAGATCACTCGCTTATGTCACAAGTTTTTAATAAATGCAACGAATGTTACCCAATCACCGTTAATTGCATAAGTATGTACGTTAGTATAGGCAAATTGTTAGTGACAAAAGACACGCCAATATTAAGAGCGGACGTATGATGATCATAAAGAGCTATGGATATGGTGCCATTATGAACAAAATTCTAGAGAAGCAAAATATTACTTCTTTCTGATGAATTATATAAATTCCTTTTCTATGATTTTTATGTATAAATTCCACAAGTGGATAATCTCTTTTTTAGATAAACAAATAGTCCGTATTAAATATTGAATACCCAAGCAGTAAAACCATTTATCAATTCTATCATCAAATCTGTCATATTCAAGTTCTATTATTGAGAAAAGATGTTTGACGAAACAAAAGATGCATTTGACAATACAAATGCAAATGCAATACGGAGGCGATATTGCATTTGTAATCCAAATATGCGATTCTAAGAGCTCTAAGCTCCTCACAAGCCTCTTCCACATTATCATAATGACACCATAATTTATTTTTAATTTTCAAATCCCAATAGCGATTATTAGAACAGAAGATTCCAAATAGTATCTTTTAAAATGTACGAGAAGTTTTTAAAGAAACTCATTTCGTTAATAAAATTTCTACAATATTTCTACGAAAGATCAATGATTAAGAAAATAATATTATCAGCTTATCATCAGTGTATACGTAGAAGAGCAAAAAGATCATTGAAATTAAATTTATATGCATTCGTTTTCATCGCAATACATCTTCCTAGAAAATTTTACAAATATCTAAACAAAAAACTTTACATTATGATTTAATATTGTAACAAAATATATATTTTAATATTTGTGTGTGTGTGTTTGCGTACGTGTTATGTGTTTGTGTGTTGTATGAAAGAATCACCCTGTATATACGTGAGAGTAGAAAAATTGTGGACTCTATCCTTGAAATTCAATACCTCATCTACACCATCCTGGCTTTCATAACTGGCCCAAGCTTGACCATCATCAGAATATTGGATAATATATTCTGTCACGTATTCATTAGTGTGTGCCCGCCCTCGCGTAGCAATGCTGCGGATCTCATATCTGTCCCCCAGCTCCATAGTAAGATGTTGATTGTAACTGCTAAGTTCTGGTGACCACGCGGAATCTCCTGTAAAGCCCAGCTCCATGTCCATGTGTAAGAGGAGAAAAGTAGAAGCAAACCATGCAATTGGATATAGGAAATAATGAAAGGATCGTGAATTTAATTTAATTTATTTCGTGATAACTTTTGCTAGTCAATCTATTTTAGTTATAAATCTGTATTTCTAAATCTATAAGATTCATTTAAGTCTTACATTCAGCTATCGTATGAATTTTTATTTAATATATGTTATTTTGCATCCCAATGTATGTTTATATGTTAGAAAAAAATAATGTAACATTTAGCGAAATAAGTAGATATTTAATTTAAATAACGAAAACAAAAATGATTGGTGCAAAGCATTGTCCAAGTGAAAGTATGTGTAAAACACATTAAGATACTTACCAGTAACAAACCTGATCATATCGTTCATAATATAAAGTTTTGTAAAATATTTTATTAACTATTCTATACATATTTACACAGATTACTACGTTATTTTCTACAAGCATGCATAAGCAAGCTTCATGTTAATTCAGTTTTATACATGTTTATTAATTATACCAAGCCTTACCGTCGTTAAATTATTATTAGAAGCAAAAGTATTAAAAGCCAGAATAGAAAATCAACGGCACCGAGAAAGAACGAGCTTACCTTCGCATGACCATCTTCTTCCTTAAAATCCACATAATCCAGTCCATTGGTACCGTAGCCAATACGATATTCCATAACATATTCGTTCTGCGACGATCGTCCCTGAGTCGCCACAGCTGTGATGTTCATCACTTGGCCCAAGTCGATTATTAAATACTGACCGAAATCAGAGCTGCTAGCCGTCCATGCGTTTCCGCCTACACCACAACATTTATGCATGCATGCAACTCAAAGTAAACGTAGGAGAGTGCTTACGAATAATGGGGATAGAACATAGCCAAATAATCAAACTTAATCCTGACAATACTTTGCTTTTATACTCAGAGTCTAATTCATGTGATTGTACCAAACTTATATGTTGCAAACTCAAATCTTTTAGACTGCAATAGGATGCAAAAGTTCTTCCGAAGACTTCTCAGGCATTACATAACAATTCTTGTGTGAAAAGATGAAGTTGTTTGCCAAGATAGCATTCGTTAACATAAATATACATTACGTATATATATACATATATGTATAGACACTCGGAATTAACACGTTGAATTACGCTTCTCTCTTTTCACATTTCAATGATAGAAAACTTTAATCGCGTTTCTTGAGATTTGTTATGCTTACCCTATACAAAGATTAAGAAAAAATAAAGTCCTTATTTTGCAATTTGACTGTATCGTAATATTTTACGTATAGGAAATTATTCACAGTCCATAAGGTAATTAAAGAAATTGTAAAGTATTACTTAGTGCTTTATTATTTTAATTAAACTAATATACAATTTATAATATCCATCCTCTTGACATATTAAGAAACAAACATTACTTTTCACGTATTGCGATATGATCTTATAAATCTTATAAAATAAAACTATGGCTGTTCGTATTTTGCAAAATATTGGATTGTGTATTGAGGATCTATCGGAAAGAGTGGAACTGCATGGGCTACAAGTTTATCGTAATTCATTATCTCAAACAGGGTATTACTACGTAATCGTAATGAATTATCATTTTCTTGCAACGCTACGGCAACGCAATGCCGTGAATCGAGCAAGGTCTCTTCGAATAACCAATCTTGCTTGATTCCGTTGACGTGCAAAACTGTATCGGTTGTGATCGAATCTGCGCTTAATTTTGAATTCGTCCGAAAATCTATACTCCCTAGGTCAACGAAAACCCCCACGCCAAGCGCTTTAACGTAGCTCTCTTTTAATGCCCAATGTCTGAAAAACATGGCCATTTGCTCCGCTCCTGATTTGCCTGAACCTCCGATCTCATCCCATTCAGCCGCAGAGAAATGTTTGTTCATCAGCCGAAAGAACTCGGAGATGTTTTTACCCTCGTTATATTCTAATGTCATAACATCTACACCTATTTTCACGTTTTTAATCTCGCCCGCTAATACCGTGTAAGAACCTTGATGAGAAACATTAAAGTTCACAAGGGTGGAATTATCTTTTAATACGGGCCTGTTGTTCTCGTCTCTGACGAAAGTGATTTTATCATACGGAAGACCGGCATACTCGTTGACGAACTTTCTCATTAATAATCTGCCCACGAGGGAAGCTCGGACATCCTTACGAAACACAAATCTCTTTAGCCTTTCCTTCTCGTCGCTTTGTACACAAGAAGTCGCGTGCTCAAACTCCCGCTCGCTTGGATTCCACTCTTTCCAATTGAATGCCCAACGAACGGCTGACGACATTCTAACGATATTGGCACTAAGCATAACGTTCAAATCGCTCATAGTTTGCACATCCCATGCACTCTTTGGCTGGTCTAGGATCACAGGTAGTATATTGTTAAATTATATGTCTCTGATTATAAAAGCAATGCTTTTCGAAATATCTCGTTTGAGATACTCTCCAGGCTACTTGCTAGGATCCACCTGAAGCAAATATAAATTTATTATATACTATCGTTCGTTTTGCTTTCAATCCAAGAGATTTTTATTATAAGTATTTCCACTTAAAGTGCTACATGATAAAGACGAAGACAAACGAGACGAAAGAATATAAAGTGATTGAGCGATGAGTCATCTCTCTCGTCGCGAGCACGTATAGGCTCACCTAATTCTCATAATTGAGCGCGCAACGGCGGACAGTGTCCGCTGGACACTAATTAAATTTCTTGACTCTTACCGGAATTTTCATTTTGGAAAACAACGCATAGTAGTAGCAGAATCATTTGTAACTTAATGCAAACAAAAGCAAATATAGTGCACAATATAGATAACGACAGACCTCATAGGAATAGAGAGCAAGCAACAGACTACTGCTAATATCATATAACTATATATCATATATTAAGTATACAGTTGTACAATAATTCACGTCTAATAAGTGAAACGAAACCTAAAGGAATTAAGGTAAGGATTAAGTAGTCAAACGTTTCATTCCTCACCATTTAGCCTAGCGTTGTTCGGTCCTCTTTCCGGCAAGGAAGTCGTCGCTGTTAGTTGAGCTCTATCCAAAAGAGGAAAGATGCATTCGTCGTCATCTAGGACAAAATTGTAAAAATACCTTGTTAAAATATTTGATAAATTATGTATAGAAATGCGAGAATCATAAAATATTCTCCTGGCAAAGTACACGTTGCAGCAAGCAAAACTCTTTTGGATTTACTAAGCGAGCGCACAATCATAAAATTATTTTGATGTGGTTGTTAAATTCGAATAATTAAAATAAAACAAAGTACGTAATAGTGTTCAGAGATAGATTTTGTAGTAAAATTAACATTTTTATTTCCACCAAAAAATATATATATATAGATTAATAGTATTATTGATTCCATGTACATTGTCGCTTTGTATAATGCATGTATAAAAAAACAAATTGAGATGAAGTAATTCAGTAATCTCAAAAAGTACGTTTGCCAGGAGATTCAAGCCATTTCAAGCAGAATATTGCAGCAGATTGGCATCCGCAAGTGCATCCGCATTAAGCTTGTGCTTTGCCAATAGAGCCTACCGACATAATCTAGCAAATTGCCAGCAAAAATCGAGCAGACTCTGTAATTTCAATCGGAGCAGACCGTTTAAATGGAACATGTCAGATTCTACTCGGTTTCCGCAGGCAATCCACTCCGTCGCACTCTGCTGGCAGATTCCTGTTGCATTTCTACTGTCACTCTACTGTCAAAATTTGTGGCAGGCACTTCGTAAAATCTAAATTCGACAGGTTTGACTATCCGGGGACAAAATGCATTGCAGAGAAAAGTAATGGATGAGAAATAACGTGACAATGGTAACTGCCAGACGCGAAATGTGTGTAAAGCTCATTTTAAACGATCTGTAATTCGCATCCAACTTTAGGCACAGATATCCGACGGGTTTCTATCTGTAATTTTTTCACATTTTCATGTGCGTGTGTGCTCAGCGTATATCTTATGCATGAGTGTACTCCGGATTCGGAATGTCTCGTATTACACGGCGCGCCGATCTGCAAATAGAACACACTCTGTGAATCGCAAGTAAAACGAATTACAGATAAGATCTTAAGATGAACCTGATGATCTGTTCGTGTATGACGCACGCAGATTGCGTTTACGCCGTTTACGCGTCTCGTACTCGCGCGCGCGCGCCATGTTATCCCGAGATGGGCTGGGTCGTGCCAGGAAGTGTTACGGGGTTACGGGCTCGTGTGCACTACCGCACTGCGCGGCACCACAGCGGTTTCAATGCGTCGGGTTGTACTTACAGGCGTACGCGAGCGAGCCCGCCGCTACGGCGAATGCGTACACGAGACACCCGAGAGCGGTCATCGTACCATCGCAACCTTGCGCTTGGAAAACGTCTCTAGTCTCTGTCCCACCGCGAGATTCTCGAGCCCCGAGAAAAACGAGACGTGTGCCACTCGCGCTGGATTTTTCCCCTGTATGGACCTTCCGTCGACTTTCCTTTCGAGGGCACGCTCCTACGATCGGTGGCACGCCGATGACGCGGATCAACAACGACGAGGAATGACGTGACGCGGGGATGAATGCCGCGCTGTGCCGCGCCTCGTGCCGCGGCCGTTTGCCGTTTCCCCGTTTCGTTTCCAATTCCCAATGTATCGAATTAGTCACTCGACGCGCCGCGTAGACGCGCCCGATCTCCACATCTGTTACCTTTTGCAGATATAACTGTGACTGTGACGGTAACACATAATCATCATTCGGCAATCATATAATGTATTTGATGACATTACCAACAAGGTACTGTTATAGTAATAATTATATTAATAATTTAAAAAAATATGTATATCACCAGCGTGTAATTCGTTTTTTTGCAAAATTCCAGAAACCAGAGAATATTGTGGAATAAATAAAAATTACACAATTTTACCAGTGATTTTGCTAAATCCTAGATTCTGTGAGGGAAATTGCGAGTTAAAATTTTATTAATTTATATTTATAAATATATATATATGTTATAAATTATATTTATATTTATATTAATAAAATTTTTATTTATTCCACAATGTCCCGGTTTTTTATGGATTCTCTGGATTTTCCAGGGTTTTGAAAAAAAAAAAGAATTACACGAAATCCCTGCGACATATATAATTTATATCGGTATTACATATTGATAAAAAATTGTAAATAAAATAAATAAAAAACTAAAAAATGTACAATGGAAAAAAGAATCGGCGGTGGTGGTGGAGGATTTTTGCAAGTTGGCTCACTTATTATGTTACATGGAAATTTATTTGACGATAGTGAAAAGTACAATATAGATCGAGATTAACATTGTGCGATCGTCGAATTTTGGTGATTCATATACATAATCATGGAGCATAATCATGGTCTCAAATCCTTCGCCGGAATAAAAAATTTGATTTTATTATTCATTTAATATTTCTACATGTAGAATTAATTGTATTCTTGCGACAGTCAGGCAGTCCACATCATTCACCACTTCGTATCGTTGTATAGACATAGCACATGCAGGAAGAAGAGCAACAGATATATTGTATCATAACGCCTACCTTGCATAAAATTTAATTAACATAAAAATTTTAAACATAAAAATTAGCTGAACGTTTGTCTCATAAATTCTATATATAATAATATCTGGGGTTTGAGTTGTCAGAAAGTCTTGAAGACGTCTATAAAACGTCTTTTGGTAAAAGTCTTAAAAACGTCTTTAAAAAAGATAACTTTGAGATGTCTCTAAAAGCCACTTCGACGAAAATCCGTTTAACTTAATCGTTGATTAGTCCATTGGAAATGACCAATCGCATTTGCTCATTAAGTAGATTAACAAATGCGGTCACTTCCAGATAGACTAATCATGCAACGATTAAAGTTAATCGGAGTTTGGTCGAAGTGGCCCTTAAACTCGCGTGCTGTTTGATGGGTTTCTTCGAATTAATATTCATAATCCAGCAATACTGTAAAAGGGTCAACTGCAATGGTGCTACAAATCGGACTCAGTCTTTATTACGCAGCACGCGCTATAAAAATTACAAATGCATATAACGCTGTATAAACTCCGCTAAGGATGGACATGCGGGGAATACAAATTAAAGATTTCGCGTGTCGTAAAACGGGCGCGAGGTATCGCGGTTACGAGAATCTATTAAAATTCTTGAAAGAACGAAACAGATATGTGTCGCGACCCTTTCGTTCGCGATAAACGCGCTTTTAGTCGATCGTATATACTATATATATACGAATTCGGAATTCTGATCGGTCGTTTTTCTTCGCCTGACAATATAAGCTCTTCTCGCTGATGATTTCTTCGAGATAACAATCGCTTTCGCGGACGAGAGATTTCGATCTTGATCGAGTGATCGTATCAGAAATCCACTCGTTCGCACATCCTTCGCGTGATTCGGCATTTTTCAGTGCCAGCTTTATTTGCGTCTTCCGCAGGACTAATTCGTTTAAATCATCTCGGATGCGGGCACGTGTGTGACGCGGAGGCGAGGCCGGAACTAGCGGAAGCGACGGCGGCGTCGTATTTTTTCGTCAACTCGACGGGCAGCACGTACGGTTCATTCGAGACTTCCGCGTTTCGCTCCTGCATATTTATAGAAGCGACCACGATGGCGTATGGCGGAGGATCCTCGAGGAATTTGTTCTCGCCGGGTGGATCGACAGTTCTTGACGTTTGACCAGGTGTTCCGGATGTTTCCTGAACGGTCATCACAGACGCGTAAGACGGCGGTAAATCTGGAGCCGAGCGCATCGTGAACGCCAGCGGTCCCGCCTGCAAAGCACAAATTTAGCTCTTTGCACTTTGGGATTGTTGGAGATGTTGTGTCTTTTAAAATGTACACGAGGAGGAATATTACAGCGAAACTTAAAGCTCGACCAATTACAGCGTAAACGTTAATTGTTAAAAATATACATTGAGCTGTTATATTTCTGTAGCACGGTTTAAAGCGCTTGCATTTACCATTTTTACAATGCGCATTTAGTGATAGGTATATAATTGGATGTCAATTTTTATAAATACAACTCGAATCTCTTCTAATAATAAATACAACTCCAAATCGGAGAAAGGTATATACCTGTCCGCGATTGGCAGTAATGTCCGAGATAGTCCGAATCGCCGCTCTTCGCTGCTCGATCAGAATTCTCGCCTGAGTTCTTTTCACGGTGTAGACGGTGTAGCCGCAAACGAAGAAGAAGAGCAGCGTCAATATTACCAGAACGATCCACATGTGCTGCCATTGCAGTAATATCGAGGCTATCATCGCCGTCGTCACCCACGCGACCAGGATGGTGGCCAGCATGCGGCCGGAGCAATCCGCATCCTGAATAATTTGCATTATAGATTCGATACACAGCTTCCGAGTCGCGCGGAGAATTTCACCCCGTCTATAGACGGAATACGCGGGTTCGAAGTGTCGAGCTTTTTATTCTCTCGAAACTACGCCGTTCTGCGACTTTTCTAATGTCGCAACGATCGACAATGCGCGGATTTAAACAAAGAGTACGAGACCCCTCGATAGCGATCGGCGAATGAACGCAGATAAGATTACGGGCGTAAAATTATCGTATCGAATATTACATTATTGATAATCGCCGGGCAAATATCAATTATCAGCAAGGCGGTATACATACCAACAGGATCAGAAAAAACATCCTGGATTATATATGAAACAGAGTCGGAGAGGCAAATTTCCTCCTCGCAGTCGTTATTGATCTACCGACTTATCAAGTGTACACTACTTTATTTGCGATGATAAACGATCCCCGCGAGCTGATACATAAAAGTGCCGCCTTTTCACATCTCATTCGTATATAGTATCTTCTTTGACGTGAGTATATTTTTAGAAAAACGACTCGATTATATCGGGGCAATAATACATCAATAGTCGACAATGGGATCGAATTTTTGTGTACCGAAGAACCTATCGATTCGCGAACGATCGTGGATCGTTCGAAGCGAGGTGTTCACATTGTTTTACGTCGCACTAACGTTGCGCAACGGATCGAGGATGCACTTGAGCGCAAAGTATGTAAACCTCGTGTCAACCCATCGTTTATCCAGACGCTTCTGTTCCGAGCGACGCTGAAAATTCGTTCCGAGTTCGGAGCAAGATACGTGTGTAAGTACCCGATAAGAAATCCAACTCGGTCCTTGACGCATCAAATTCCTGCAGCTTGCGCGACGCATGCAAATCGGCGGGCTAGCCGCTTGCGAGCGATAAAGAAATACTGGAAAATGATTTTAACGAATTAGGATGTAGAATCGTGAAGTAAATTATGACGACTGTGTCGAAATCAAAATAGCGGCAAAAACGAATAAATATTTGCCACTCGGTCGCATACCTCGTATGTCGATCAATACATTTAAAAACTCGCGATTGTCACTTTCGATACGTTCGATTCGACGATCGCCCGGAGCGTCGTGCCGAGGGACGCTCGATCGCGTTTGTCACCGTGAAACCGCAACTTTAAATGGAATTGTTCAGGCAGTTTCGATCGTATTAGTCGGTCGTGTTGCAACGTTGAAAACTGGAAAACAATAAGCTTCCACCTTTACGATGGCTTTACGATAACTACGCGATAAGCGAATGAAGACCCCCTCAATGCCGCTCAGAATAGTTATCACCTGTAGCGATGACGTGCACCATTTTGACGTAGATAACGACGATGATATGCATAATTAGTTGTAAAATATGAAAAGGTTTCTCTTCGTGACATATATAGTGTCTTCTTTATATATGTATGTAGAAAGCACTATCAAATATATGTTAAATTATTATTCAGTGAGATGTATAGTAGCGCCAAGGAGCGAATTATATTAACAACGATTGTATAGATGTATTATTGTTGTTAATATTATGTAATATTACGTAATATGTATATGATATATACACTGTCGTTCAAAAGTTTGGAAGCACTTCTTAAGAAAAACAATAGTGGTGCCAATATACTTAAAGAAAAATGTCATATATGTGAAACTTTACTGTGTGTTTTAACAATTGAGCACAGTATTATTTCTAATCATTTTCCAAGGAAAAAGTTCATTTAAAGAATTTTATTGGCACGATTGTTGTTTTTCTTAAGAAGGTAGTGCATCCAAACTTTTGAACGGTAGTGTATATGATACACATATGATGACGTAATTGTGATGCGTCTGCGGGTCATACGTTTCGTCAAAGATCGTGTCGATTAAAATTTATAGCAGCAGGTACAATGTAATTTTCGCTATTTGTTTATATATTCTACATTGCGAGATATTTTACAATGCCGATAAGTGAATGTCGGTCGGTGTTTCGGAGCTGTCCGTATTGGGAAAGAAGTTCGCATATACTATTATTTATGGTAGGTTGCGCGATATCAGCGTAACGCAGTTTCCTTATCTTATGTTCACAAGTACGGTAATGCCCAAAGAGCCAGCTTGGAAGTTTGCCTTTAAAAACGACAGAACGAACGAGAGATGTTGCTTTTATTCAACGCGTCATCCGTTCGACATTAAAAGTCTTCGTTGAGAAAGGATACATTGAAATATTTTTCATACACAATGTAACGTGCGTGTGGACTGAACGCGTAATCCTAACAGATTAATTCTACGAAATGTACAAAAAGAAAATTCAACGCTCAGTTACATATCACAATTGATCGTATTAAAAAGAATGCGTATAATGTCAATCAGGGTCCAAATAGAGTATTGATACTCGATAAAAGTTTGCGTTTAATATTCGCTGGCGATCGCGCTAATCGTCATATTTTTGCTCGTACATGAAACAAGACATCTATAAATAATAATAAATTGATGATGATTATTTGGACCGCGATTAAGATCTTTCTCTTTCGTACCGTCTTTCTTTTTTCTTCCGTTCTTCAGTCTGTTATTTTTATGCGTTTAACCACTCCCTAAATATACCATAAAAGTGATAAGATCCATGCCAATGTCGCGTGGGTCCGTTTGTGACATATATTAACGTGCCGCGAACGATATCGCGAGATATCGCGCTAATTTCTTATCTCTAAGTGAAGACCATGGAAAAACTAATACGTAAAATATAACTCTAAGCAAAATTGTTTACAAATTTTCTACATACCAAGTACACGTCCTACCTTCGTTGTTTAAAAGGAGCGAGCCGCGACAGATCGTGCAATGTCGCGTTAGATCTCCCGACTAATAGAGAACGAGTGGTTTGAGCAATTGTATCTCGAGAGTCAGTTATTTTCCTCGGTCGTACAAAAATTTGTGGATGTCGAATAGAAGGAACAGGATCGAATTAATGGCATTCGGTTGGAAGATAGTTGGGCCTCCGTTTAGGGCAGTAATCGCGGATTGAAACGTCCCATGTGAAGTATTATGCCGGAAGGATTGTGCCGGACGAAGTATAAGAAGGGCCTGTCGAGCTTCAATCTCGGTCTTTCCAACGATCCGGAGAGCTGCCTCTCCTCCCTGTAGAATCCGTACAGATCCGTGAGCGATTGGTCCGCGTAAGAATCCCCATTGTCCTCTTGCGACAGCGCGCGGTATCTCGACGTATCCTCCTCGGTAACGTTGCCGGAATTGTCGTCCTCCATTCGTCGTCCGACATTTCTCCTTAATGGACTCGCGGGATACGTTTCTACGTGATGCCGTCCGCTGAGAATATTCTCGTCGCCACAGGTGCTGAACAAATTCATCTGCGAAGAAAATTCACGAGTATAAGTAGCGTTTTCGCGCGTATCGCGAGCGTATCGAGCAGATGGATGTATCTTACCTGTAACACGTCGGCTAAGTGAAGACGGTGACCTACGCCATTTATGCCCTTAAAGTCGGCGTTGCCCGAGAAGAGCTCGTCGAGGCCCATCCTCTTCAAGGCGGCAGTCGCGTTGACCACGGACCTGTGACTGAACTTGGGCACCTGCAGCTCGAGACCGTGTCTCGATATCAGAACCTTGAGCAGCTTGTTCCAGGCGCCGTCGCGGAACGCGCTTCTGACGAGGCGCTGCTCGAGACGATCCAGGTTATCGCCGGGCGCTGTGTGGCCCTGCTGACCCGGCAACACGAAGATCGTCGAAACTAACTTGTCGCTGCCACCGAGAGCGACCGCCGTAGCGTCGATGCTGGGCTCGTAGCCGGCCAGGACACCCGATCGCCAAGTCGTGGCCGGGACCGGGATGAGTTTCCTTTGTCGGACAGCCGGCGAGACGGCGAAGTACAGCTCGCCGTCCCTGCCGACGGAACTGGTCAGACTGCTGTTGCAATCGGTCTGGAACACGTTGGCGGAGAGTGCCGCCAAGGGTGATCTGAGCGGCACCGTGTTCGTCTTGACGAAGTCCTTGATTCGGCCACCGGTCTGCTTCCTGACCAGCAGATTCGTTCTCCTGCGCACGAGATCGCTGATGGTGGCGAAGTTCACCTCGGTCACGAGACCCTCGTAGAATTGCTGCGCCTGCTCCTTGTAGAAGGGCATGAGTTTCCTGACCTTCATCTTATCGGCGAACAGCTCGCGGACAAAGGCGGCGTTCGCGATGCCCTGGCCACGGGCCAGGCCCACCGCGTCGGTTATGTTCTGGAAGACCAGGTGCGGATTGAACGTGGCCACGTCGTCCAGACCGAGGACCTCGTTCATCTGATCGGACGTCGGGCCGCGAGCGCCCAGGAAGATCATCGCCAGCAAGCTGGTCATGCCGAACGGCGATAGCGCCAGCGATCTCGCGGTGCTCAGACCCTTGTTGGTGGCCACCCAGAAATTGAAGGCCAGCTCGTTGCACAGCTTGGCGAAATTTACAATGTCGGCGCTCGTGTGTCTTATGGTGATGTCCAAGCCAATTGCGCTCTGAGACGCGTCTAGCGGTAGGAGGGACTGCGTCGGGAAATGCTGCTGATCTTGCTGATGCGCCGCCGCTTCAGCTCCTGGAGAACGAACCAGGGTGCTCTCACTCGAGGTGGGAGGCGATGACAACGGCGACGACGTCTGAGCGTTATTGACCGGTTTTCTCAGCGGCTTCGGCGGTTTCGAAGGCTTCGGAAGCTTCGACACGGTCGGCGGGACCTGTTGCGATATGAGCGTCCACTTGTCCTCCGCGATTACGTCTGCCTCAGTCTTTGTAACGTCGGACTTCTCCGACGGTCTATGACCGACCGTGGGCTTCAACGTCTGACGGACCGGAGCACTCGAGGGTGGCGTCGACGTCTGCAAGCGTGTCACGTCCGGCTTTGGCGAACTCTCGGAATGTTTCAAAGACGCGGTCTTGTTCTCCGTGCTATTATCCGAATGTCCGTCGCTCTTTATTGACGTCGATGCGATCTGCGCCACACTCTGATTTGACGTATTATTGACAGGGTTGTCAGGCCGGGGAGTATCTCCTTTGTTCTTGCTTGCGTTGCCCGTCGATTCCTGTGTTACAACCTTGATCGAGCTATCGGTGTGTTCTTGGATCGATTGAGGAGAAGAGTCATTGTTATTTTCGTCCTTTTTATTCTGCGTGTCATCTATGTCTTTGTAGCCAACTGTGCTGGTAACACGATTTGGATGCTGCGAAAATGCAGAATCGGTAGAATTTTGATTCGACTCGCTAGCGCTGTCAGACGTAACGTTCGAAACGGAGGCATCCGCTGTTAGGTTACTATATGCAGGTGAGCTGTACAACTTGGAGATGGAATCATTGACGGAGGGAATCGCTACGGTCTCCTTCGTCACCGGCGAAGTATCCGCGAACGAACCATTCTTTTCGCCTAACGCCTCTATTTTCGGGCTGCTCTCCGCCTGTCCCGAGTTTCCGGTATCATTCGCAACTATCACGGATACCTGAGAAAATTCTGGACTTTGGTCCGTCCTCACAATGGGCGCTTCTGTGGTTTTCACCTTCTCCTTGATTTCCGTTTTCTTCTGGTTGTTGCTCGCACCAAGCGTCGTTTTATTGACGCCTGGCGAACGAGTCGTTGTCGTCCGCTCAGGATTTACGGTGATGATTCTCACGGTCGTTGCGCTCTGCCCAACACCGTTCTTTGCTTCATCATTGACGGTTGTGAACTTATTTGCCGGGGATGATAAAGGTGCTTTCGTAGAATTGTCGAATTTCTCGTTACTACTCGACAATTTAATCGGTTCCAAAGTATCATTCGACTCTTTCGTCCGCGTCAGTGCGCCGTAAATTAATGTACCGTTTTGAGCCGGGTCCGTTAATGTCTCTTGCGTCGACTGCGTAACGTTTCTTTCCTTCTGATCGTTTAGATCAAGTCCCACAATCTCTTCATATATTTTAGTGACATTTTCGATAGATTCTTGGGTAAGCTTCGTGTATTCGTCCGATTTGTTCTCAACCGTTTGATCGCTGTTAATTTTGTCGGTCAATACGCCTGACGTGCTCGTTGCAAATCCGGCGATGAGGCCGCTCGCTAAACCGCTAGCCGTGAAATTCGATGCGTTGCTGGGTAAACCGATCGGCTCGATCGCGGGGATGCTGGACGGTAGCGGCGCGATGCTCAATACTTGATCGATCGCGGACACCGGATCGCTCAGGTTCAAGCTCGCGAGAGCGTTGTCAAAGTATTCGTTAGTCGTCATAGGCTTAATCGACGATAGACTCGTGTCGATCGGTGCGATTGTCGATTGAGTTTTGGCTGCATTAGGCGCTATCGACGTAGAGGTCTTTTCGGAAGGTGCGATTCTGTCGGCGGTACTCTCGGGAGCCGCGGGACTTTCGGTCTGGCCAGCCGGCGGAGCCGCGACCGTAGCGTGCGACTTCTCGAGTTGAAGCTGCACGAACGAGGGTGCCGTTGATCCGGAAATCGTTGCGGTCGATTTGAGCCCAGCTGGCGTCGTGGCTGAATTACTGATCACTACTCTATTATTCGTCGCTCCGATCTTGATCGAAGTTGCTGATGTCGTCGCCGTAATCTGGGAGCTCGCGGGAACACCGATCGTGCTTGATACCCCGTCCAACGCGTTGAGAGGCCGATAGATGACGGAATGTTCAACGAGCTCGGGAGTTGCGTCTCGTGACGGGATCTCTGTGGTAACGGTTACGTAGGTTTGCGTATTAACGACGGGCCTGAAATTCTCCTCTTTTACGACCGCGGTCTCGTTCGCCTCGGATACGTTGCGCCTCTGATCGTAATTAATATTCACGATCGGTATCTCGGGCCTTTCGTTCGACGTGGACGACAGGGGCAAGACAGGTGGTTTCACTTCCGAAACTTGATTTATTACACTCGAGAAGGAGTCGATTAACTGCGTGGGTAACGGTTCTATCGGCGGCGAGGAGTGAATCTCGGTCGGCAGAGGATTAAGATAATTCTCCCCGTATGTCGACGTAACCGGGCCCGACGACTCTTTCGTAACCGTTGAGAAGCCCTCGCCGAGATAATGATCCGAGATGAGCGTGTGCAACGACGTCGGGACGGTCGGGGCCTTGATTCTCGTAACGGAAGCGAGCGTGGACGGTGAGCGCGGTGTGGTTTCGTTGGACCCCTCCTCCTCGGGTTTCGAAGACGCATGAGAAATCGGCACCGGGGTGGCGAGGGTATCGGTTTGTGGGATTACCTTATCGTCATTGTACGTCCCGCTCGCTTGAGATCCTTTCGTAACGCCAGACGCGAACGAGGAATCGTCAGATACCTTCGTATTGTTCTTGCTCTGTACGAGAACGTAACTCGCGTTCGAGGGAGAGATCTTGTCGGTCGCGCTCGTCGACTCGCCGGACCCGCCTTGCGTCACGGTCTTCTTCGTGACGGAGGAATGTATCGATACGCCCGGCGTGGTCGTCGAATAGGTCGCCGCGGCTTCCATCCCTTGGCTTCCGACCTTGTTGCTCGTGGTCGTCTGCTTCGTAATACTTACGGGATACATGTCTAGGCTCGTCAGCTGCGGGAACGTTATGCCTTCGGGCACTTCGGACAGAGTCAATTCGACGTACTGTTCCGTTTGACTTCCCTCGGTCTGAGCGGGCGGCTGGGTGATCGCCGAACTCGCGGCACTGGTCCCAGCTGTAGACGGAAGGTCGGTCTGGCCTCCCTTGATCGCGACACTCTCGACCGGAATCACGCTGATTATCTGGAAGATGGGGCTCTCGGTAACGGCGGATTGCAACGTGGACAACTTGTGTTCCGTCAGGGTGATGACCGGAACCGGGATCATCGGTTTCTCGGTCGCTGCCGTTTGCTGCGAGTGATGGCCATGCTGAGGTTTCCCCTGCGCGTTATTGGTAAAGCCGGCGTACGCGTTCGTCTGAACGTCCGATGTCGCCGGTTTTTTCGTCGGATGTCTCGACGTCGACTCAACTTCCGTCCTCTCCGTCGTAATCTTGTGCGACAGTTGGCTGGATTCGCCGTTCGGGGAGATCGCGTCCGTCTCGCCGGATAGAATCGAAGGTAGAATGTTGCTCCATTCGACGTTCGCGTGTTCCGGAATCTTCGGTATCGAACCCGTTAAGGTCGGTGGCTTATCGAGTGCGCTCTTCAGCACGTTCTGTACCTTCTGTACCACATCCATGACCTAAAATGCGACGGATGGAATGTATTAAATCCGTAAACGAAGAGAGACGTGACAGCTCCGTTAGCTCCTACCTCGTACGTTCTTGCTCGCTTCGTTCTTGTATCTAAATATATAATCTAACAGTTTTTAGAAATCTATACGATCGATGTTAGACAGAGCAGTTGCGAAAATATTACGACGCTTAGACCACGCGGTTTTTTTCATCCCGATTTAGGATTAATAAATTATAAAAAATATTATTTAATTAATGTTTTTAGATGGCTTTGACTCGATCTAACTGTCAAACGTATATCATATCAATTTCATCATTTGCTTTCATTCATTTTTGGCAATATCCAAAGTATTCTAATTTAGACGTGATAAATATTATAGTATTCTGTATTAGTCGCGCTATTAGCCATCTATATGGTTACGAGACAAAAGACGCGAAACAAGTGAAACGGGGAACCGACCTTTTTGCCGCCCGTCAGGACATCGTCGGCTTTTTGAGGCTCCTGCCTGTCCATCGCGACGTGATCCGCCCCACCTGCCGCGATGAGACCTTGAATTTCCTGAGCGGTCATCTGCCGCGTAATCATATCGCCCTTGTCGTCGTAGGTATAAAACTGAAACTTGTCGGGCCGCAAAAGTCCGGCCGGGGAAGCGACCAGTTTGTGGCCGGACTGCGTCTCGTTTTTGCCGTTCGTTGGATGATGCGCGCGTCCATCGTGGTCCTGACGGATAATTGTTGAGGTGGCCGCGCTGTAAAACGTATCGAAGGTGTCGTCCAGAATATTATCGGTAAAGTAACTCTTGCCACTTCGGTGTTAAATCTCAATCTAAGAATATACGTAAATTGAACGCGACACGTAACGTCGATATGTAACGTACGTGCAAAGGCAGATCGGAGTATTCGTTGGTTTCTCACATGGAGAACTTCTCTTACGCGTCTCGGCGAACCTACCGCGGAATTTAAATCGGCCCGATAGAAAGTTACGACAGAGTGTATCAGCGTGGAATCTACATCGAACTGATAAGAATGGAGGTTCAATGCGGGCGCGCAATTTCTCTAATTAGAGAAGCTCGTTAAGAGCGGAGGACCGTTTGGCGGCACGAAAACTAAGCCGCGCGATCTCTATAATAAGAGCCGACCGTGTTTTTCGTCTTTCTCCTCTTCCGCATTCTCCGTCCTGTCTTTCCCACGCGAGGCGCGATTCCTATCTGGATCTACTTGTTCGTATATTATCTCATACCGCTATAACTCGTCCGCGCTAATGGAATCGCGTTGATTACGTTGAATGCATTGTTACGCCGATCCGCGCACCCCCGCTCTAATTCTACATTTCCCGTACAAATTTGCATGTTTAACGTAAATTTTACATGTTTACGTGCACGACGCACAATTCATTGCGCACAAGTTAATTGGGGATCTCCCGCGTGATACTGACCTAGGATCAAACGCGTTTGCAGATACGTGTGAACGTTCGTTGTGAGCCGGTAGAGCCGCGACTAACTGCAGGCTCGTCCAGGACACGATTAGTGCCGGCAGGAGCCAGCGCAATCGCTGCGACAACATGATAATTCTCGATTCTCTGAAAACGCAAAGATATTCCGAAGTTGAGGATTCGTTTTCTCGTTTTCTTAATTTTTCTAGTATCTAAAAACGCGCGCTCTCGTAATACTAAAGCCTTTAAAATAGGAACATTTGTCGAAAGATGATCTTCGATAAATCATGGAGAGAGAGAAAAAAAGAAGAGTGAATCTAAAGGAAATAAAATGTTAGCGCGCGTTACCAATTAAGAATACTAAGAATAACGCGACACGGCAGCGTGAGAAGAAAAAGAAACGCGAGGGGAAGGAAAGAGAGATAGGTCACCGAACCTTGCAATTTCTTGCTGGTTGTCGTTACATATCGGTAACCGGTTTTTCGTCGCCCAATTACGTTCCGATCGCCTCACGGCGCGCCTAAATCTAAAGGGGATGACCGTCGGCGCGGAGATGACTGATCAGCGCACTTTGGGCACCTCGGAGATACACAAAACCCGGCTGGTCTAATCGTCTATTCTCTCTTTCCTTTCCTCCCACATCCGTGTTCGCGGATCATCGCGAAATATATACGCGTGTATGTCGACAGGTTGTCGCGCGATTTCGCAGGTTGCACTCACACTTTGCAGGCGAAGGTAGACTCCCTGGATATGTCATTTAATCCCGTCAAGAAGGGACGCGATCCACGTCAATAACCCGGTGACTAGCCGCTCGACACTCGCGATACTCGCGGTAAAAAGGAAAAAAAAAACGTTCGACGAGGATATCTGACGATCCCTCGGTGGCCGATTCCCTCGCGCGAGACGCGCTCTGGTCTATCCCTTTTCCCCCCTTTTTCTGCTTCTTCGCGTCTACCTTCTCTCTCTCTCTCTCGCTTCCCTTCTTCCCTTCTTCCCTTCTTCGTTAAGGGATCAAGGACGTTTAGCAGTTGAGACGATTTTGCGGTCGACCTTGCTGTCAGACTCGCCGGTGTAGCGACCTCGGCGATGATTACGGAGCACGTTCCGCGAAACTCCTCCCTTTTCTTTTCCGCGGGGCCCTTTCTTCGCGCGCGTCCTCCGTTCCCCCTTTATATATCCGCTCCGCTTCGCGCTTGACACGACTCCGGGCGGGCCCTCTTCCTTACGCCGCTCGTCCGCTCCGCTTCTTCTGCCGTCTTGTACCCTGGATAAACACGTACTGCAAGGTAGGATCCTTGGCTAGTACGAGCGCAGCGGAACAAGAGGCAGAGGAGATATAAGGAGGAGGGGGAGACCGCGCTCCTGGAGGGTAAGACAGAGAAAGGACTCGGGGGGGGCCTCCTCTCGGCCACTCTCGCGAGAGAGAGACGTCGCCGTCGCCGTCGGATGGACGGACGGAGCGGATTACGCGGAAACAGGTGACCGCGCGTGCACGTACGCGCGCGCATTCTTTCTATATCGAGCGCGGATCGCCTGCGACTCCGAGAGGGTACAATGGCCAATTAGAACCATGTTAGAATTTCATCGCGGGATCGGATCGGATCGGACCGGGATTTTTCCTCGGGCTTATCTCTCGTCGCTCAACGTGTCACCGCTCACGAATCGCGCTCGAGGATCGCGCCAGCGGGGGCAAGAGGGGGCCCGCAAATAATTTTTCTCAAACGACAAACGTACGCGCGTAAGCCAGGCCGACGATTCACGCCGATTAACGGTACATCGACCGAATGAGTCGCGTACGTGACGTATGAAATTGTGAAAGAACCGCCGTCGGGCCCCGCGGGGTCGAGGAGCGTCGCAAAAACGTCGGATTTCGGGGAAAAACTCTCTCGGAGACGCGGGATTCGACGCTGAATTATCCTGGCAGCATCGAGGCGGCGCGAAGCGCTCGAGCGTACCTATTACCTTTATCAAGTCGCGCGCGACTCATTCTTCCTTGCGCGACTCATTCATAAGCGAATCAATTCAATCGCCGTCCGGCGGCGGCTCGCCAGAATAAATTTCGGACATGTCCCATTGGGACACGGCCTTCCCCCTCCCTCTGATTCTCGTTAGGATTGGGGGGATTGGGGAGAGCTCGTTACGGGGTGACGATGAAATTCTTTCCTCGAGAGACCCCCGTTCGCCAGGCCAGGCCAAGCCCAGGCCGACACCGCGAAAACCGATAGATTTAGGTTCGATAACGATCGGGGAGACGGACGGGCTCGCGCGCGAGAAACCCGTTTTCTCGCTTATTCGCGCGGCTAGTCTGCTCCGAGTTTTCTGTGAACGTCGAACACGCGCGGGTTAATAAACAGCCGTCCCACTTGCACGACTGTCCATCCGTAACCCACTGTTTACCAAGACAACGGTACCGCGCCAGGCCGCGCCGGATTAAGGTTTATCCAACGGTTTACCTATCGACAAATTTGACGTCGCCGACACGGGGGAAGGAAAGTCCCCCCCCCCCTCTCCGGGGAGGAGCGGCACGGGAAAGGGGAACGCGAGAACGAGCGCCGATGATTTACGACACTCCGCAAATCCGACCTATTTCCTCGACCCCCCCAGTCGATCTCACGTCGCCCCCGGCGCGCGCGATCATCGACTTTCCGTCCCGAAATGTCGTTTCCGTTCTCCAGTAAGAGGTCCGAGGGTTTATTTTCGACGCGTAAGTACACAAGCACGATAACGATCGGGCAGAAAGAGAAAAGGGGGGGAGAGAGAAAGAAAAGGAAAAAAATCGCAAGTTCGCCGGTGCACCTCCAAGAAATTCTCAGGTGCGTGAGAGATTCCCCGGCGGTATGGCAGAGGTGTCACGCTCGGCTGAGCTAACACGACATTCCAGATTACGTAGCCTGGAATCGTTGCTCCGAAGGGAGCATCGTCCTGAGGCGGCGGCATTACGCCCAGCCGCGTCTCAGGACAATTCTCCGAACGTGGCGAATAATAAAAATGTTAATCGAAGGACGATACGGGTCAGGGATCCCTAATCGCGCGATCGTACCCCGTTTTACATTCGACCGTGCGATTCAGGGGAGTGTCGGAAGGACCCCGGCCGATATCTCGTCTCTTGCCGGAGTGCGGACGCTAATGATCTCCGGTTGCGATTGTCCCGCGGCAGCTCCTCGGCCGCGTTTCACGGAAGGCTGCGAATAATCGAGGAGACGAGTCCTGGACGGTTCGCCACGCGAAGCGGCGCGACGCGGCGCGCGTCTCACGCGGTACCCCGACCGGCCGGCGGCCGGCGGCGACGAGCGCGTGAAAACTTGAGGAATACGTTCCTCGATATATGTATACCGGAATGTACCACTTTTCGACACATAACAGTAGTATATGCGCGGCACGGTATGGATAGAGACACCGTGGTCTCTCTCTTTCTCTTTCTCCCTTTCTCTCTCTTTCTCTTAGAAATATATACCCGAGAGACATAACGGTCCTCTCCTCGCCTCCTTTGTACCCGGTCGTGTTACGAATACACACACGCGACCAGTAGGCGTCCACATTCGTCGCGTCGCGTCGCCTCCGAAATCTGATTTAGTTACGCGCGCGGGATACAAAGAGGCGAGAGGAGGAAAAAAAAAAGAAAAGAAGGGAACGCGCGACGGGGGGCCCCGTCGACGTCGTCGGGGTCTATTCGTTCGCGTTTGCGAATTCGACACACGCGTGCCCCCGCATGCCGCCCCGCCGTTTTGCACGCCGTTTGCACGCCGTGCATGTCCCCGTGAGCGAGACGACTACGAGCCGACCGAGATCATCCGGAATACCAGGCAACGAGGCCATCCTGTAAGGATAAAACCGAGTCCCGGTTCGGCTCGCTCGGGGAGGAGAGGCTGAGACCGTCGGCGCTCGGTCCCTCTCTCTCGTTCTCCACATTTGTCTCGACCGTGTGAATCCTCGTCCTCGTCCGATGACAAAGTGAGGAGGAGGAGATCGAGTTCTTCGCAGCGCTTAGGACGACCTGCGATTAACTTAATCGCCGATTCATTCAACCGACAGAATTAATAGCCACGGAACACTTAAAAGAATATTATTCACTGCCCCTAATTTAATCTTTCTTCCATGCAAACAACAAAAAAATTGATAATTCTGTCCACCTGGTATTATTTAACGAAATAATAGGTATTAGTTGATGAGTTAATCACCGGTTAAGTTAAGAGCTTGATCGTAGTTACCCTAAAAAGGCGACTCCGGTCAAACTCCGATTAGCTCGATCGGCGATTAAACCGAATCGAAGTCGATCTTAACTGCTGATATGTAGGAGCGTGACGCATCACATCATCAGGCATGACGATGGAAAATGATGACGGAAAGGCAGAAATAGAAATGTTACGGGAGACCCGATTTATCACCGGAAGTAAATACGAGGGAACGTGGGATGCGATCGACATGACGGGCATCGGCAGATATGTCACGCCTTACAGTTAGTCAATTTCGGCTATTTTAAATATCTAACGTTTCTCAAGCGCGGAATTGAGTTCGCTACCCTGATGGAAATGTTTTACTGCAAAATATAATGAAAATTTTACTGAAATTCTCTCTCAATTGACCCCATTTCATAATTACTTCATCAATATTTCAATAAAAATTTAGTTTTCAGTTAAATTCAGACCCCATTTCATTATTACTCCATCAATATTTCAGTAAAAATTCAATTTTCAGTTAAATTCAGTAGATTTCATGATACCTGACATAAAAGAAATTTTGTTATTACTCTTTAATAGTATAATTTAACTTTCCTTGTATTTCACAGTATTACATTACATTATCTAAGGAAAATTATTATTTATTTTGAAATATATTCAGTAATTTTCGAATAACTTTTATTTCACTTTTCATTGATTTCATACCACTTTCAGCAAAATATTTTCATCAAGGTAGGATCGTACAAGATCACCTTGGCATTAATTAGCGCTGATTAATTCTTGTCCGTTCAGAAGTTGTATTAGAGGGAGAATTCCGGAACGGTATGCTTCATGGTCACGGAAGTATGTACTGGCCACGTGGACAAAGAATGGATGGTGTTTGGATTCGCGGAAGAATGGTGCAGAGACGTTACACGTTTGCGGACGGTTTAGCGTATAGAGAAAACGGATGGGATTATTGCGTATATCCCGATAGGCGGTTAGCCGACTCTTATAATAAGTAGTATGCCTAAACGAGAATTCATCCTGTTCCATACTTATACTCGTGACGAATCATAAAAATATTTCAGATTTTACAAGTGCATGGTAAACGGACTGAAACCAGCCGGAGAGGTACTGAAAACCAATGATCAGCCCACTAAAATTATTCCTCCGTTTTGCTACGATACCGGTGCTGGCATATTCGACCCAGATAGCAATTGCGTAACATCCTATCGTAATTGTAAAAAAGTAAAAATACTTCTCGATAGCGAGATAAAGATATAAACGATACAGATTATTTATTTATTTATTTTCGTGAGATAGGTAATATAGGGGAGGTAATATATATTTAAATTTTATAACTTACAAGATACTCCAGATTCCAACGGCGACAGAAAGTGCATGGATAAAGAAAAATTGCCGAAAAGGCTGGTCAGAGCCGACTGGTCATCAGGAATGGTTGCGCGAATATTGGCAATCGGGAGCGGCGGATTTTGCAACGCTACCGCATGTCTCGCAAGACGACGAAGCGGAAAATTGGTGGCAAAGGTATATCGGTATAAGATTGTAGTTGTAGTTGCATACCTATATGAATTTAAAACAAGAGTAAAATTCCGCGTAAACATAGATTGATTTTATTGACTTTATTTTTTTCTTTCTTTCTGAATTATAATAAATTAAACAAAATGTTCAAAAAGTGCTTATATATATTGTATATATAAAATAGTCTCATAGATATACAAATATTTTAAAATACAATTTAAAATTAAATAATATAATTACAATAAAGTATTATTTAATGTAATATATCATAATCAATTTGTTCGAATTATATTGTTTAAGATTGACAAAATTTGCAAGATACTCGCTCGCTGATAAACATGACATGATGGATAAAGCACAATTGTGCTTAAAAGAACGATTAAAAAATTATAGAAGAAATATAGATATTAAGGATTGAATACAAATTGATACACAAAATAAAAGTAATATATAAAATTTCATAAAATATATGTGTATAGTAATATAACCATTACTCTCTTGTTATAAACATATTAAATACTTATATTAAATACATTTCCAAAATTTAATATCTTAAAAATATTATGCAACATACGCGTTTACACTTTTCGACATATGTCAAGAGCGTAGAACGCATTTTCCTAACCAATGACGAGTTCTTTCTCTTCAGTCACAACTGTCGGCGCATCTGTTCTTCGTTGTACGTTGAACAATACAGACAGTTTTAGTGGTACACACGTGTCCGCGGTGCAAGCCATTATGTTTAATGTGACACGCAATTGACCGCGCGTTTCTTCTTTGGGAAGTTTCACCGATATAGGAGTCGAAAGTCTACCCGTCAAAGATTTCGCCGTCCACGTATTTGTAGGCAAAGACACCTGCCATTCTTGCGGTGCGTCTACATTTAATTTCAAATCGTTCGTAAATACGATGTTAAACGAAACATTTAGTTCTCCACCGCATGTATTTACTGCTGTATCGAAAGCAAACACCTTGTCGGTATTTCTATTTGAATCGCGTCTAGATACGATAGCCATCTGAAAAATAAAGTTAAGAAAATTTATACTAGTGTTTCATACGATATCCCGTGAAAAAAATATTCCAAGTAGAATGTTAATTTTCATGAAAATAAAACTAATAAATTCACATAATTTATTACTTATAAAGTTATATTTTTTTATATCTAATAAAACAAATTTATTTTTTGAAAGCGATTCTAAAGCTAGATATATACTTACGGTTGAAATCTTCTCGTTTTTCAGATCAATAATCTTAAGAGCGTGATTATTGGTATCTGCTATGTAAAGAATATTACCGTCTGGACTGACAGCAAGACCACTCGGTTCATTGAACTAAAAAATTATTTTAACAGTTTACAAAGCGTTTTTTTTTAAATAACTATCTTTTCAAAAAAACATTACGATACTTACGGTAAATGCACGCTCGGGTTTTCCAGCGCCAAACAATGTCTTGCAGTGCCCCGTCGCAGTATCTACGCGTTTAATTTTATGATTGTAAGTATCAGCCACGTAAATTTGTTTATCCAAGTGATTCCACGTTACTCCCAATGGATGTTGAAGTTTCGCCGAATGTGCCTTTCCGTCTACATCTCCAAAAGAATGCAAGTTCTACAATGCAAGTTAAATTTAAAAATTCTGGTAAGATAAATATTATCGTTCTTTTGGTTCTTCGCTGTTATTCAAACATTTCAAACGAAAGCTGACGCTTGTTCACATACGGAACGAGCTGTCTAAAGCTATCTTATTAATATACACAAACGTAAAGTGAGAAAAGACAAACCGCTGGATTTTTATCCCCTCCACAAACGGCGGATACTTGGCCGCTATCTAAATGCAACCGTCTGATAGCGCTGCTTTCGCTGTCCGCCAAAAACGCAACTTTACGTTCCTGAACGACCGCGATGCCAGAGGGTTGCGCCAGTCCCGCGGCATGCGGATAACTGTTGTTGCGATTTTCCTCCCGGCCACTTCCGACAATAGCAGCACACGTGCCCGCTATGTACTTTCTAAAATACAAAGAGATTCCACTGAGGATATCACTTTTCTCAATAAACATTAATTAATTTCTAAGCGGAAGAAACGCTTCGTGTACTTTACATACATTTTCTTTATCTGTATGAACTATAAAAAGCCGAAATTAATTGTTAAATTAAATGTTCGAAAATCATATTCAAAAAATATAGTTCACACAGATGCGTAATAACGTGAATAAGATGTCGTATTGATTACGTAAATAATGTCTCACTTTTCCTTCCACCAAATGGTATCTTCCAAAAACAGCGCCCAGATCTGATGGGAACCCGCTATGGCGATTAACAAGACCGGCACTAAGGTGCCTTTAAACTCGTGAAGATAAATTGCCACGTCCCAAGGAGATGATAAAGCTTGATCAGTGCCGCGTTTTCCACCGTTTCGATCGCAACCTTGTGAGCCAGTACCGGCTATGGTGGATACGGTTTTTTCGGTCAGGTCTATCTAAAACGTGATTAACATCGAGAATAGATACAGCGAATCAACGTTGTGAATAATAATAATAAGAAATATAATTAAAAAATTGTATTCTTACTTTCCTAATGGCATGGTTATTATTATCCGCAACGTAGATAATATTATTAAGCACACAGACCCCCTGGGGTGAATTAAATCTAGCATTTTTGAAATCGCCGTCTTTAAAACCTTGGCTGCATCCACCTACAACGTGCTCCACTCTCCCGTGCTCATTTGTAATTACAATTCTGTTGTTACCGCTATCGGATATGACTAGCTTCGTCTCTTGTTCCGACTGAAAAACTGTTAGTTTGCCGGGAAACAGCAGACCATCTTTAGAAGATGGTAAAAGATGATGCGCCGGTTTCAACGGAAGACCGTGACTCGACATTTTATTCAAGGATCTGAAATGTGCTATTGCTACTTTTGTATACAATAGTATTTCATCTCTGTGATCTTCACCCACAAACACAGCCAGCGGTTGACCGCTAGGTCCTGAAATAAATGTAGACACAGCTGTGATATGTAATTATTTATAGAAAAAAGAGCCAAGAGAGAGAGTTCGTAGATTGTTTCATACCTAACATAATCAGACTGGGCCAACACGTTATTCCCATATCGTGCCACATTCTTAACGTTACGTCATTTACCACAGGATGCATAATATTATATCTCTGCACGGCGGATAAGACATTCTTCGAACTGCGCTCGTTTGTGAATTTTGCGCTATGAACACCGATCTGAACGGAAAAGTCATTAGTCATCGGATATACAATCTTATCTATCTCTCGCAAGTTCCTTCTCGTAATAGGAACGTTACTCACCACCACAAGGCCATCCTCTACAGAAATTTTCTTCTCGACCTCTTCCAGCTCGGCCAAAACGTGCATGCAATTGATGCAGCAGTATGTGAAAAAGTCCAAAAGCACGATCTTTCCCTTCAGATGCTGCGCCAGGGACAATCCCTCCGACACGTTGAACCATTCCAAGCCTGTAGTAACATGTACAGTTAGTTAAAAATTACAATATAATGATGATCAGCCTTTCTCTGCCGAAGGTAATTTATACATTTACTTCTAACTCGCAAAATATTAGTTGCTTTCATTTACACTCAAGTGATCTGAGTCACTCAGATATGTGAGTATTTTATACTCATTTTGTATTTACCTGCTTATTTCGGTGACAAAGCTATCGTATAATAATACAGGTCCATAGCCTCACTTTTAATGTGAGTTTATTTAGATTCATTAAAGCACATGGTCTCGATTGTGGTGATAAGAACTCAGTTGAATCTCACTTGCCAGCATGCAAGAAGAACGTGCATGTGCATTTAACTGAGTTATGACGTCACAAGTGAGAATCATCTGAGTTTTGATGTAAATGGAAAGCAACTATTGTGAAATTTACAATGGCAATGACTAGCCACTTTTCTGTAACACATAAATGTTCGTTTATTTCTAATTAGCTGTTTCCAAAGTGGAACACAAGAAAGAATGCAGGGAACTCTCTTCGTGCGATCCAGACCAGACAGTCGATAGGTACCTTTTGGGAAATCGTGAACCTCCGCACCACTGTTTTCATACCGCTTGATATGCTTTAGGATCAACGTTTCCTTTTCCCTCCGTTCTGTCAGGTCGTCCAGGTGGAAGCGCATCTGAATGCAGACCTGCGTCAGCTCCTCCACTACCTGCTGCGCGTTCATTTTTTCGTTTACGAGTCCGCACATGGGGCGGTTTAAAGGGTCAAGTCAAGCTCCTCGAGCGATCGCGAATTACACATGCACTTGCAATGTCAATTCGGAGCGTCGGAGCGTCACTTTCCCTCTCTCTCTTTCTGAAAGCGCCTGACGGCTGACGTGTGTTCCGACTTCCGTATAAAGACACACCGAATGACGCTACCGATCTCGGAAGAGGATCGGCGAGGAGGGAGTCGGGAGGGAGGGAGATTAGCCCGTTTACGTTTTCTCACCGTGTCTCACCGAAGACCGATTAACGCATCGTTATCCACGTGTTATCCGTTTAACGTAATCGTTATCGATCGCGACAGCTTACGCTCCTTCGCACGTGGTCTACTGACATGAGCTCGGTGCCGCGAAGGCGGACTTTGACGTGAGACCCAACTTATCTGTTTATTTATTTGCGAAACGACCGCGGTTATGGCAGGCACAATTCCGAATGACGAACTGGACTGGGTGAAGGTACGGGAAGATCTGGACAGCAGTTACGTTACCGAGACGATATGGCAGAAGGCGAAACGTAAAACGAAAGAGAATCCGCTCGTACCGATAGGTAAACTTAACCTATATTCCGCGTGCCGGGGTAGAACTGGCCAAAAACCTTTCTGATCTCGGACGAGAAACGAGAATGGGAGAAACTGGATTCGCACATATATCTGAGCAAAAATAGCCGCGCTTGTCGCTTGTTTACTCTCGTCGAAGACTGCAGACTCAAGACTGAAGACTCAAAATGCTTCTGCGTTTTGAACAGCCTTTCGATTACAGGCACAGATTTATTTAACAAACATTTGCCGAAACGTGTCGATTGAAAGTCTGATTAACTTAGGCTGCGGTCCATTTGATATTTGATGTTACAAGTGCTTCGAAGCGTTCTTTTTCTTCTTCTTTCTTCATTGAAAGAAAGGAGAAGAAAAATGCTTCGAAGCATTCGTAGCATCAAATGGACCGCAGCCTTAGTTCATGGTTAATTATATTACGAAATTGCATAATTCGTCGTTCATAATCTAATCTTTCTTCTCATGTGTCACACTAAAGTACAAAATAATGCTATCCATGCGACAAAATACTGCAGATATTTCTTGGCGAGTTAACTCTTTAAGTTAATCTCAGAGTTTGATCAAAGTTTATCTTTAAATGCCCATTATTTTCCATATATTTGCATTTCCAGGAGCGTTGGCGACTACCGCAGCCCTGACTGTTGGACTTGTTAGTTTTGTCAAGGGAAAGGAGCAAATGCAACAGTACATGATGCGCGCTCGGGTTGGTGCTCAAGCGTTTACTATTGTTTGCATGGTTATAGGATTTGTCATGATACCGAGGTCGAATTGAAATTAATGGTACGCTGTATTCACAAGTACCATTAAATATCTGCTGTAGTATATGTGCGAGCTACCTGCGCTCAATTATGTCGAGTACAATGTACCTAATATGAAAATGAATATCTCTTTTTTTCCCTGTAATTTGAAACATCGAGAAAAATGTATTTAAATTAATAATTTTACTTATGGAAATATATCTATTTACAATTACTGATGCAAATCGTAAGCAGACATCTTCATTACAAATATCCTTAATTTTATCATGTCGATATATTGCATAAGAAAAATAATTCAATAAATTCCGAATCGCGTGTACAGAAATTAGGGTTTTTAAAAAAGCAAGTTTTGTTTAGGTAAATATATGCATATGGTCATGTATTATTATATTAAATATATATATCATACATATATATATCTTCTTACAGCCGTACTAAATATTGCAATGTTCTTATACATTTTCTAACAACTCATAAACGCATTATATATATATAGGCTTGTATTTTTAGCGATATACATATACAGTTTCGCGTTATAAAAGTAGAAAAGAAAAAAAAAAGGGAAAATGTTTAATCAATATCCTTTGTACTGTATAACCTGTGGTATAACTCTATTCAAAAAAACTTTCCATACATACCGAATTACCTTAATCGATATATATTACACTTTCAGCCTAATTAAAATCTTCCCAGCAATAAGTCTCTTCGGTTAATACAGACTGTATTAACTCTCTTAAACTGAGAAATTATATTCTATCAATCTTTTCTCTATCTCAATTACCAATTAAAGTGTTTAAACATACATGTACATCAATCTCCGCGTCAAAAAATTCTAGTATATTTATTCTCGCGCATCAATAATTCGGTATTTGTTGATTCTTCGGAAAGAATTATAAAATCGTTATGCCTTTTTATTAGCAGAAGTTAAGTGGGGCTTTAAAGAAATGGCACCTTGTTTGAATACACCGCTGATACTCAATGAACGCGAACGTAAGCTTGTTAGGCTATTCGTGGAACTACAACTGCTTAGACTAGTACTAGGTGTGAGATCAAAGATCGTTTGTACAGTAGGTCTCGCGGATGTGTAATCCGATGGGATTGATTCTGCAATGAAAAGAAATATTAATTAACAAACGATCTACTCTTCTGTGTGTGAAGCGTCGTTTATCAAATTTTTATAATTTTTGAAGCTACACAATGACTTGTGCATTTACCTATTAAAGGTGTCTCGTCGTATAAGGAGCCTTGTCTTTTATTACTGATAAAAGAATTTCTCGTGCTTTCAATGTTAGACACCCTTTGAATTACTTCCGCGGCATGTTTCCACCGCGAATGATCCTTAACTTGCGCCAATAAAATCCTCGACCATTTTTGAGCTTCCTCCTTTGATTCAAATTTAATCGGCAACAGTTTCTCCATACTGTTGCCAGAATTATTTATTAAAAGCTCTTTGCCGGAAGTTTTGGACGGTTGAATGATTGTTTTCTACAAACAGATGAAAAAAAATTTATTTAAATAAAATTAAGCACGTGTGTAAGGGATGTCTATGTATATATGAAGATACTAACTTTGTTAACAGGTATCATGTGCTCCGGATTTTGACCTTCTTCCGCATGTTTCTTTGATTCCCACATTTTTATACAAAATCCTTGCAGACGTGCCCAATAATTCTGACCATCTACTTTCACATTGCCAATGCACATTTCCTTATTGATACATTCTGGCTGTACCGCCAATCGACAGCAAAAATGACCGAAAAGCGGCAAGGAGTGATACTTATTCTCTGAAGGAAAACAATCACAATATAAGTATTTCGAAATACGTCGAGTTTCTTGCACAACTTACCGACGCTATTAATAGTGAGGTCGTGCGTGTGAGTATTATCGTCCGTGTCATCTAAAGTCAGTTTTGCGCGAGCTACCAAATCGAAGTGTGGTCCACTGAAAATGAGATATATTGAAAATTCTCGCTTATGGGCGGAAACATGGTCGATTTATATATTTATGAGGAGACTCACGATTTAGCGGAGCCGAATTCATCGCGAAGCGAAGCGGCGAGCTTCTTGCCGACAGTTTTCGATATCGATGAATGAATCGTCTTTTTTATTCTTCTCGGCGTGCTGGCGATACTTAAGTCCTCTTGCAAAACGTGGCTATAGATTTCTAAAACTAACTCAAATTGGGCTGGCACATTATTACTGAAAGCAAACACGAAAATTTACAATTATAAGATCGTTATGCACGTTCTTTCAGTAGCACGATTATGAATACTTTCAACTTGTTCTTGCCTCAAACTAAGTTTAGTACGAGGACGATACATCATCGAAACTTACAATATCAAGACGTCGGGAAAACTAAGGTCCGTATGAGCTCTGTCGATCGGGCATAGCAAGGAGGTGTCGTGGATCTCTGTGCCCAATCGTGCCAAGCAGAATACAGCGAACCGACGATGATCACCGCGATTCTTGAAGTGATCGGAGTCTCTCCACATTAACGGTATCCTAAGATCCGAGATCGACAACTTGCCTGTACTTCCAGAAATGCTGAAAACGCGCAATTATCGTTAGACGTAGTGATAAAATACAATACAGGTATAGATTTCTCCTCTCATTATTTCTAAGAAACAAAATGTACAAACGAACCACGGTTGTTTAACGGATTCGCGGCGGCGGGTTTGCAATTCCGCCATGTAGACCGACATCCTCTCGTTGGACGTAAGCAATGCCTTGGCGGCTTCTAAGCTCTGGGCGCGATGCTTCGCAGCTGCCAGAAGTCTCGCCGAGCCTTCTCTCATCTTGATTTCCACCTCGATCTTCTGCTCGAGATCATGCTCCTGCAACACGCATAATTCAGCCTTTAGTGTTTTAGCAAAATGGATTCGCGCATCGTCGGATTCGTCGGCTCAGTCGCGAAAATCTCGTCAGAATAATCGTCGAATTTTTAAACAGCTATTTGAAGACCCACTCGCATACTCGCATACGGTTGTAGGAAGCGTAATCTCAGCACCGGTGTCCGCACCGGGTGCTGATTATACGGGCGTAAACAAGAAAAAAAAGAAGGAAGGAGCGACCGATAGTTACGATCGGAGAAAAATCCAAGTGTCAGCGATAAAACGACTGGCTGGCCAGCACGTGGCCTCATCACGCGTTCACGGCATCAGGTTACATACCTAACGAAACGTCTTACACATTTTGCGGACGAATCGTTTTACTCATTTTACGAGTCTTTCCGAGATATCCGTAGACCGACTTAAAACACGTACGATTTGAAAACTCCGTAATTCCGTGTAACGTACCTCAGAATCGTAGAACTTTCTAACTGTACGCTCTTTACAAGTATACATAAATATGTAAAGTACATCACGTGTATATATATACATGAAGTATATAAACAGCAACCTGGGAGAACGTGGTCTTCTCACTCGTCCGTTTTTGAGATTTCGACATGTAAAAAAGCGGAGTTTCGTCGCCGCGTTTACGTTAGCCGGTCGCGCACGACACGGAGGGACCAGGTGAATGGGAATTCCACTTGAAGGCGAGAAACAAACGCTTCGCGAAAGCGTAAATAAATCGGCGCGGCTCTCTCGCGACGCTGCTGGTAGCTGAACGCAGAAACGGACTGAAATAACGGCTCTTCGGGGAAGTGGGCGAATGCACGAGGGGGTGACGTTCACCTCGACAAATTGGCTCTCGCTTGTGCTCCTCCTTCCTACCCTCGGGAAACCACGCTAACATCATGGGGATATCGATCCGCGGCTACCGCTTTATAGTCGGCTCGCACGAGATCACGTTTGACCCTACACGATACGCGCTCGGAAGAATCGTGCGTCCGAGAGTTTAATTTCTTCAATGTTTTTTTCCCCTCTTATTTATTAAATATAAATATTCTGTTATGCATTAACCCTCCGTCTGTATACTTTTTTTTTTGCACTGTTGGAGCGTCACATTTGACGCTATTTTTCTTTACCTTAAATTACTTGGAAAAATCTGCAAAAATTCACAAAACATCTGTCTCTATTGTAATTGATGATTTTATAGTCTATTCAATAATCATAGTTTATTTAATATTTTCTGGCAGACTTGCAAGTTTTACAATTACGAGCAGATATTTTGGTTCGAACACCGTACCTGCACGTACAGACGGAGGGTCAATATACATCTCTTATGTAAAATATATTCGACTGTATAATATATCTCATATCTTATGTAAGATAAATTAAATGTCAAATTTCCGTCTTTCGAGATTTTCTTCTCGCGTTAATTTTCCGCGATGCCCGAATGAAGCGTATGATCCGAAAATAACGCACGCATCAGTAAAATCAATAATGGAGAGAGAGAGATGATTCATTGCGCGCATCGAGCGAATTCGTATTCCGCTAACGTTACCGTGACACATCCTTACGCCGGCCACGGCCCCGCGATGCAATCTATCGGGGAATATATTCCACGTGTATATTCCGCCGTCGGTCGCGAATAGGAATTTTGCAACGGCGCAAGGGCAACCGCGGCCACATTTAATCCCTGACCTCTGTCGCCAGTGCTGTAACGAGTCTTGATGAAACTCGTTGAAGCGCGCCGTGCGACAAATGAGTTCACGTAAATACGATGTAACACAATTCGCGCGAGACTCATTCTGCGCCTGTGTGTGCGTGCGCGTGTATTAAATGTGTTTAATCCTCCCTTGACTTTTCTCTCAAGATTTTTCCCTCGGACCAGGCGCTCGCGGACGCGCGCGATGCACCTTGTGCGCCGTCGTCGGCGTTAACGAAGCTTCGTCAGCGCGAAACATTTTCCTCTCATTCCGCTTTGTACAATATACGTAATCTTGTCACGGCTTCTCTCGCTCCCGTCGTTTTCGTTGCCCCTCGTTTCGTGTCCCTATACGTGTTTCCCTCTCAATATCGCTTTCTCCCGCGTCGCCAAGCACTTTCCCGCCGGCTTGTCTGCCGAAAATAGTCGCCAGAAATCCAATACCCCCGTGTGCCTGTAATGGTCACCGCACGCGACGCGCGTTCATCTTCCTTTCACGCGTGAATCTCCTCCGAAGGCGCAACAGCTTCATAGCCCGCGACGAGTCGTAAAACCAATGCTGGGTATTGAGTCGCTGTGTTGAAATGAAACGGTAAGAGACATATAAAGTGACAAGCGTGCGTGTGAGTAATAAATATTTGATAGGTAGGTACAGAATTTTCACCGAGAGACTTCATCGATTCGCCGTAAATCGCCAGGAAATACCTACTCGAGACGCCAATCTCGCCATCCGTACGTCCGAGCGACGTGATATATCCACATGCGACATCTAAAAATACGAACAACGAACGCGAGGAAACGTTGGCAGCCACTCACGTACAATAACTCAACTCCCCTTCGCACGAATTTGACGTGGATTAAACGTGTAAGAGCGACTTCGACTAACATAAAGCACCGATCAACTTGATCGGCGATCGATTCAACCGGGCAGAAATTGCTGCATAATTCGCTCCACCTAATCTAATCTCTCATCCCTCCCGCGTGTCAGGCAGCAAAAAATTTATAATCCCATCCATCTTAACGAGATATCGCGGTAATGTTTCTTGATAACTCGATCGCTTGATTAAATTAATTAACAACTTGGTCGTAGTCATCCTTAGTGATCGCCTGTGAATCAATAACATTAACGGTTGTCACGCGAGATCGAAATGACCCCAACCAATTTTCAAACATGCTGTTTCAAAAATCAACAGTTTAAGGACGTTCTCTGGTCCTTATATTAGAGAAAATCGATTTTCTCTAGTATAAGGACCGGAGAACGTCCTTAAGTGGATATCAAAAAATTCTCGAATTAAATTTAAACGTTGTAGAACGTTTCATTATAAAAGATTAACTTTTTGAGTGGCGTCGCATTAAAAAAACCTGAAAAACAATGTTCAAAAAAGAGATAACAACCGAGGATTAAATCGTATTTTCAGAAATACGATATTTCTGGTTCAGCGAAATGATCAAGATACGTATAATCATGATTAATCATGAATCGTCGAACGCAATCGAGACTTCTAAGTCCTACCTTCGAGTTTCGTGCGATCTGTCGAACGTAATACAAATCCAAGTCATGGAAGACGTCATTTTTTCCCGGTAACGTCGGAGTCCTCGATCGCATCCGGGTGTCCTCGGCGTTTACGACGTTGCATTCGTCGTTGAGCCGGTCTCTCGATTTGTTCGCATTCCGCGGATTCAGTATCGCCAAATGTGGGAAGCAGGAGTTCATCTTTCCCTATTTTCCTTGTTGTTTCTTCCTTTCAACGCACGTTGCTACTCTCGTCGCTCGAGTTGCGCGTCGACCCCCTGGCCAAGTGCTCCGAGACTACTCCAATGATCCCGACGACTTGAGACCGATATCGAAGGCGCATCGTCGCAGACCGGCGATCATGGATCATCCAGGATTACGCTTCCGCTTCTTCCAGGGATATAATTTCACGGTACAATGCCCGTCGGCAAGCGAACAATTTCGCACGGGCCGGGATTATCGCGCGATCGGCTGGTTTATTTCTCCGACGCCTTGACCCGGGAAGGGTCCCAAACAGATGCAGAAGAAGAAAGAAGGTCGTCTTCCGTTTTTTTCCTTCGAGAGATATTCGAGTCAAGGTAGACGAAGAGGGGGGGACTTCTCTTTCCTTCAAAGCTCTCCGTCCACAATTCTGGGGACGGTACGCAATAAGCGTTCCGTAAACCTTGACCTCTAAATTTGAGGTGAGACGAAAAATATTGTTTTCACATCGTCCAAGGACTCCAAGGGTCTTCTCTGTCAGCTCCGACCTCTTCTCTTTTCAAAACGCGAACGTCGGATAAGTGTCGCACAGACACAGCGGTCGGCGGCGTCGTTTGGATCAGTGCAGTGCGCGGGTCGTCCTACGTTCTTCCGTTAGCTACAAAATAAGCCGTGACGGCACTCCGCGCCTCCGCGCGCGCGGTAGACAAACAAGAGACAGAGCACCGTTCCTGCCTCTCAACACGTCCGCCTTGTTGCCCGCTGCTTCACCACCAAATTTACCCTTTCTCGTTTCCGGTGATGGTGGTGGTCTACGCACTACGCCCAATCACACGTCGTGATTCACCACTATCGAGGGGGGAAAAAAAAGAAGCGACGTCTTCCTTTTCCTCCTTTCTCTCCCTTCCTCCTCTACGGTTTCGCGAATCGTCGTTGGTTTTCCGAACAATCGGGCATCCCGTGCGCGCCACGTGGGGTACGGGGGTTATCGGGCAAAGGGATAATCATCCGGCGCTGGGGATCACTGGAGATTTAACAAAACCGGTCGCGCGGCACGACTAGAGATCGGAGTGATCGGACTAGAGACAGAGAGACCGCGCGCGCACGTAATTAGTCGAACGAAAATAATCTGCGGGCGCGAGAAACTGGTGCTGGTGCTGGCTAGCGTCGCGAAGGAAAAAGCTAGAGGGAGAAAAGAAGCGGGAGGCACCGTCCCCGGGAGTACCCGACTTAATACTGAATGACGCTCCGACCATTCGACACTGCGTAAGCATCAACAGAACGCACCAGCGCTACGCACCAACGCACGTCGCACCACACCACACGCGGCAAATCCGCCAGGGTGGCGGGGGGAGGAGGGGGCAAGCGGGGGCGGGCGAGAGAAGAGGGAGGGAGACCATCGGCGCTTCTGACAATAGATTGAATGAGCGAGCGGGGCGAGCGAGCACGGAGAGACGGAGGATCGCCCACGCCTCGGGAGCATATCCGCTGACTTTTACGTTTTTGTCGGACGCGTTGAAGCAATTATCGCGTAATTATCTACACGAAATAGTAGCTGCTGCTCGCAGAAACGTTGAAAACGTATCAAACGCCGCTGGTGTGCTGCCCTTCGTCTCTGATCGCGGCGTTCCGCCGTCGAAGCCGTTATTACCGCCGTCAGTTCCCTCGTTGTTAATAATTGCGGACAATTATTTTCCGTTTACGTCGACGTAAACGCGATTATCAAATATCGTAACGCTGACATATCTCGGAGCACTGGAAACCAGGACGAATTAATTCTGAGTTACGACACTCGTATTTTGATAATATTTAAAATCCATGCATAATTATTTGCAATATATGTACCATATACATTCAAGATCTCGTAATTATTATGTAAATAAAATTTTATACTATAGGTATACATATAAAGTTCTGTACAAACATAAATGCTAGTTCCTTCGTTGATATTAGAAATTAAAATTCAAGACGATACACCGAATGAAAGGCAGCTTCTTCACTCTTAAAATAAATAATTCAACTTATTCTGTGTTATTCCAATATTTCAATTTAAACATTTTTCAAAAAACAGATGTAACAGACACTACAATTACTTTTTTTTTTTATCCCGATGAGAACCTTATACGTACACACGATGCAAACGGCACAAACTTTACGCGATTATGATTTTTCAGTGTGTTTTTTTCAAATGTAGAAGTACAGGATGTGTTTCACGAGTTCGTCAAGCTCAAGCATAACCTATTTCATTTGTCACGTGCTTGCCGACTCGCATCTTTTCGACGCGCAGCGAGTCTCCCGAGGTCTGAATCGTCACCCGTCAAATCTGCGAGTCCACCGAGCTGGGGAAAATCTCCACGAGGCTTGGACGCAAAGTGGCTTTTAAAAACGTCAACGGACACGCCGCGACCGGTCGCGAGTTCGCGAGACCGCCGGGCGATCCGCCGACTCGGACTCACCGCGTGACTCCTGGCATATCTGAGGCTCTCCCGCCTGCGAACCCTCGTCTGATAGTCGTTGAGGCAGCACAAATAATTGTTCTCCTTGTAGCAAACGTCGTTCGACGACCTGTGCGACGTTTGAACGCTCTTCCTCCGCGGCGCCATTTTGTCATTCGAATTTCCTCGCGGCGTGTGTGAGAGCGTATGGCGTAGTCGCGCGAATCGGCGGATTTTCATGGGCCGCGATTCGAACAGCGGGATCCTCCAATCTCTTGAAAAATACGTGGAGAATACGTGGAGGTCAGGAAAATTTTGGATTATGTAAATGCGACTCGTGGCGTCTGATGCCTCCGCGATGCGCGCTTTCACGGAAAGTTATGAAATATTAAAGTTAAAGTTCGGATCACGTAGCGTTGGAAATTAGGTCGAAGGGAGCGACGAGAGCAACAAGTGTTTACACACACACACACACACACACATGCGCATACACACGCTCATTCACATTATACGTACGGTGAACATAGAGACAATGAACATAGAGACAATTTCAATTGTATCGGGTGACGAAACTGAAATCCGATTAACTTAACCGAGCGAATAATTATTTTGTTAAGCTGTAGCATTTTGTTAACATTTAGATTAAATTCTTTTGGGAATAATTAAAATGAAAATTACAACTAGAAATTTTACTTTAAACAGTTCTGTCGGTGAATCAATTAGTTACACCGATTAAGTTGATCGGAGTTTGGTCGAAGTCACTTATATCCATTTCTACCAATGCAGATTAACTTTGATTTTGGCTTAACTTACCTTTTTATCTTTCTCTAATTTCAAGAACTAGAAAATAATGAAAAGTATAAGTTAAACCGTGATTAAAGTTAATCTATATTGATAGAAATGGACATTAGTCTTGCAGTTCAAAGAAAAATAAATTTGCCCAAGAGAGTGAAATTCTTAAAAACGTGTATTTAAATAATACAATATATATATATCGTAGTACGTTAATTACTCGATCACTCCAGATTGCCGGATTATGGTGCTGCTAAAAATGCCAGTTTTCTCATTCGAGACGGTTTTCGGAATGCGCGTACGCGACATCGCTGAAACTAAGTTAGGCAGTTTCGATAAATTGATAGAGTATATTTCATAAGCAAGATAGAATAGCTACAATATCATACACAATAATGGAAAATGTCAAATTTAGCGACAAATGTAAATACGAATGCACTAGGGAGCCCTTCATTTCTTCTCCTTGTCTTTCTCCTTCTCTTTCTCTTTGTCTTTGTTCTGTTGTAACGATCCGACGGCTTGGCGTACGGCTTCAGAATGCGGATCCACGCCCGGCAAGTTTTCCAAGACCGATTGCAGAAAAGCAGGATCGGACATGACAGCTGCGTAATCCTCTTCCACGTCCATCGCTTCTTCCTTTTGCGATTCCAGTTCTTCTACATAGCGGTAATACAGATAATAAACCATTAGACAAAACAATTATTATAAATTTGTATTCGTGCACCAATAGTTTTATGCATTTATCTAAAAATACGATATATTTAACGAAATAAATGGTGCTAAAGCAACTGTCTGTCAAGCAAGAAATTCAAATTTGATTCTTAGGCTTGGACTAACAAATAAGTTACTCATAAAAATATTACAACTGTAATGGAACAGTTTGAAAACTTTGAGCTGTGATAAAATGAAACAATGTATGAAACAATGTATTATATGGAGGAGTAAAAGCCATAGTGTAAATCAAATTTTTTAAGATATCGATCTCAATCTATTTTTTAAGATATTGATTGAGTGACACGATCTATGCAATATATAAATTGTATCTATGCACACAAGTCAATATTTAAAAAAAAATTGACTTATACCACTATGGCTTTTACCCCTCCATATATATGATACCTAAGTTATCTATCGAAGACTTACGCTGGTCCTGCATAGACATCTGCATAGCGAAAGCGATTTGTTCCTCTTCTGTCATATTAGTAAAGTCCGGTACATTGCCTCTGCTTGGAGCAGTGTTATCACTAGCGGCAGTCGTGTCGTCCGCTCCTTCGAGGGACATCGCGAGGGCACGTTTCAGCATAGCTTCCTCGTTGGGAGCTTCCTTTATAGTCTCCGGCGGCTTATTCGTGGCAGTCTCGTTCGCCTGCGCGCGACGGGCTTCGTCTTCCTGACGTTGCCGTTGCTCCTCCATAGAGACGCGCAGAGCCTGATAAAAGTCATACGATATAAAGCGTACAAAATTACCGCTGATCTCGCGGGGAGAGAGAAATTCTCAACAAAACGTCTCCGATACTGACCAACGCGAGCTCGGGATCTTCATTTGGATCGACGCCGAACTCGAACACAGTGCCGCTAGCCACCCCAATGCCATCCTCACCCTGAATTATAGGAGACGAGATCAGAGCGTCTGACAAATGCGGACCCGGCGGAACGGTGACGAGATGACTTCCGGTGCCATCCTTGCCGTTCAACGCGTTAACGAAGGCAGTCAATACTTCGTTGTTGATGCTCTCCTCGCCGAAGCTTATGACATCGACGTTCACCTTCTCCTTCTTCAGTCGCTTCGCCAGCTTGACCAATTCCTTCTCGTCGATGTCTATTGGGCTTCCGATAAATGCGACGATACGCATTTTGTGATTTTTGCCTTGTCGATGTTTCAACGCTAACTGTAAGTTTCATAAAATCTTTCAGTGCACACTCGATAGGCTTTGTTATAAAGCCAGGCTAGGTGACGTGTACTTACATGGGCGATTCTGATGCCTGTGATGAGAGCCAACTTTCCGTTTGGTTGAACCTGATGCAGTTTGGACAGTATTCTGCCGACATCGCTCGTGAGCGTCGCCAACACTTCCACGCTAGAAAGACAAAAAAGTTTTCCATTTTATATTCATCATATGTAAATTCTTATGTGACGATCGTGGAATGTCTGAATCGTTACTCGGCGTACTTGGCCAGAGTTATGAGGCCAACGTTGTTCTCGGGATTCGAGCGAGTTTTCGAGTGGCACACCAAGTTGACGGCATCCTGCTGCGCCTGTAGCCGGGTAGGTACGAAATCCCCATTTCTCATGTAGTCGCTGTTATCGACGCTGCAAAAAGTTGAGATCGCGATGAGTTAGTTCGAGCGTATACGACGATTATAAACGAGAGCGAGCATTCGAGAGAAAGAGGGGCTCGTGTCCGAGACTCCGAGATTGTGTCAACGTCATTGTCACTACGCTAACCTCAAAATTGAAGACGCGGTCGAACACGCTTAAAATTAAACCACCGCGATAATTTCTCGGTCGCGGGTGAACGAACCTCACTAATGTACGAAGATATCGCGAGGGACAACGTTAAGAATCGCGAATTGTTACAAAATGCACAAACTCACCATATCATCGTACTTTCCAGCACCATGTTGAATGGATCGACTGGCTCGCCCTCGCTCGACGGCTCGACGCTCGACGCTCGACGCGAGGCGGCGCGGCGCGACTTTATCAATCCAATCCAACTTTCAATTTTCCATCGACTCCGTCGTTCGCATTGCGCACGTGCGTGTTCATTTAAAGAGCGACCTCCAGATACGAGCGCTCCTCGACCAAACTTCAATTAATTAGCAATTGACCCAACTGGCACGAGTGCTTAAAACAAAATTGCTAAAACTTTGTTTGAAACTTCAGCATATAATTACTGAAATTTTGCTTGCATTTACGTGGTCGCCAAATTGTCATAACTTCTCTCTCTCTCTCCCTTTCCTTCTCTCTCCTCTCCCCTCTCCACTCCTCCCTCTCCTCTCTCCTCCCCTCCCTCTTCCTTCCTATCTGACCCAAGGTCTATTTAAAGAACAGTTTCTTAATGATAAGTCTTTTATTAACAAGTGGATGACAAGTAAAAAGGGGGCTTTAAAAGTTCAATGCGGTTGATGGTGCGTAAGTTAACATTAAATTATTATATCGATCAAGCGACGCAAAATAGCGTCGCGACGCCAAGTACATAAAATACAACTTGGTTTGTAAACTGACTGACCGAGTATACTTAATAACTACTAGCATATACGTTGGCAAATAATTATAAATCGCGGCGGACATTTAATATTGACTCCACTTTAAATCATCTTCAGCGATGCGGTAACATATATGTATATATCTATATAAAAAATCTTTGTAATCATATAAAAAGGCGTCGGTTCTCTCCACCTGGACCCTCTCCACGCGAACTACGTCGCGACGTTCTGGAAGGCGTAAGTGGACGAGAGGGTCGGCGAGGACGGCGGCGTGTGATCGTAGTTCAAAGAGAGCGTCGAGTACCTCGGCGCCTCGTCCATGAGGACGGCCTGCTCGTAGGTCGGCGGTAGATCCTCCCGCGCGCTCGCCGGCAACGCGACCAGCTTCCTCGCTTGCCTCCTCTCGTCCAGGATCCGCAGTATCACCACGACCGGTCCCACCAGCAGCATGATCGCGCCGATTGCCACCAGAGCGACGGCCGTCGTCGCGCTGTCCTCGTTCACGCGCGAGAATCTCACGTTGCTCTTGCCAGTCTTGCCAGTCTTGCCTGTCCAGAGAGCGAACTGCTCGGGACTCGTCCTCTGGGTGGTTTCGCGTATCGTGGCTCGCGTCGCGTTTCCTTCTTCCGCGAAATCCTCCTCCTTCTTCTCCTTCTCTTCTTCCTTCTCCTTCGTCAAAATCGATCCCGAACGATCCAGGATCGAGGCGGTATCCTCTTCCTCCTGGACGCTCCGGGAGATTCCTTTGCCAAGGATGTGCTCCCTGTCACGGGCCACCCTCGAGATCCTGCTCGTTACGACGTTATTCTCGGGACGATCGTCGATACGCCGATCTGTTTCAGTTAAATGATTCCTAAGTCGGGAGCTTGGCGTTCCTAGAGGATCCGCGAGGAAGAGCGTGGATCGTTGCTCCTCCGACGCGATCTCGAACGCGTCTTTCAATCGCTCGTCCCTCATCGCGCCTAATCCAAAGAGATTCCTGTCGGACCGCGGAGACGATCCATCCGGATCTATCTGAATTATTATCTCCACGTTCTTGTCGATCGATTGCCGCTGGGTGGATAGATCGTATTCACTTCCGTCGCGTCTCGTAGACGACACGATGGATTCCAAGCCGGTCGGTGGATCTGCCTGCGAAAAAGGAAAGAGCATATGTATTGTGTACACGGGCAATTTTATGTAAGTGGAGATAATTACGATTATACAACACAAACTATATATATATATATGTATACAATATATACACGTACGTAAACATATACATAAAAATAGTTACATAAATAGTTACATAAAATCTGTACATATATAAAATGGGCATTAATAAATAATAAATAATGGAAGATTACACAGTTGGAAAATTTGTGTACTTTTGTGAAAAAAAATCTGCTGGTTAAAGTTTTTGTGTTAAATAATCGACATATTCATGCGTAAATTTAACACATGTCCGCTATGGTAAACTTAACAAATATAAAATGTAAAATTATTAAAATGATTAAAAAAATATGTTAAAGTATCACAATCTGTACGTATTAATTTATTAAACGTCGTATTGAAATTTACAGAAAGAAAGATGTTGATTTTACTCTATAAGAAATGTATTTTAGATTTTAATTTGTTAATTGGGTGTACAATAATTAACATAACAATTAACTTCAAATTACAATCAAAATTATATTTCTTTTTTGTTGAAATATTAATATAATAGCAGTAGTGTTACCACTTAACACATCCATATTATATGTACGTTAAACTAACACAAAAATTTGAGTGAACCGTTTGGGATTGACATGTGATTTATGTTGTGGTAAATTTAACACACGTTTTCCAACTGTGTATACAATGAAGATTAATAATAATCGTCGTGGATACAAACATCCTTATACGCGTAATGATATTATTTATGCAACGAAAAGATCTCGGTATATATCCCGCACTCGATTACCTCGACATAGCTGGTCTCCAGGATTCTCCTGCGCAGCGTGCTGACGCCTCGGTGAAGGAGAACGATGCCGACGGCGTTCCAGGTCGCCAGCTGTAATATAATGATCACTCTCGAGGCCCATCTGTTTGTTCTCGAGGTGAGGGACATCGCGGCAACATCACACCGGCGGGCGCGGGCGGATTAAAGAGTCAAAGCGGCTTTAAAGCGGCGCGTCTCACCTTTCGCACACACCTGCTGCGCCTGGTTCGCTTCGCCCCGCGTGCCCACTGCTCCGTTAGCTAAGCGACATTTCCGTCGTTATATATATTCGCGCACGGCGCCTCGGCGTGTCACCGTCTGCAAGCGATAGAATAACGCGACGCACATTGCACGCGATGGCGATACCGCGCGGCCTGGAATTCAACAAATTCCGTCATTTATTCGCGTAAAGATTGAACACGTCAGTCCGTTTTATATCGCTCCGCGCGCCGCGAAAATATTTCATCAAATATCTCTATCTACCGTTTCATAAACAATAATTCGTTTATTCGGTTTCGGGCGGCGCGGCGTTAATGCGCGAGAGATCCACGTGAATCCATGATGAACACAATAATCCTGGGGCGTTTTCAAAACGAATATCGTAATTACTCGTTGCTTTCCTCGGTGGGAAACGTTTCAATTCAGCTGTGGACGTCGATCGGCAGTTTGATCACGGAGGCGAAGTTTGAAAAAATAGGAGGCTTTCTCCTCTATCGAGGACACTTCAATTCGGACGCGCTAAAGCGCGTCGAGGAAGCCTCCGCTTCGTCACATTTTGGGCAAACTCGGGTGCGGAAGTGCCGAGAACGAAATAATAAAAAAGAACGAAAAACAACTTTACTATATTGATTCACGATTGCGAGGCAGAGTCAGGCAGTCGTCGTTCTTGGCGCGGCACGATTGCGACTTATTTGCTCAGTTATACGCGATGGGTCGTGGCGAGCGGTATAACGAATGACTCATTTCCACTACCTCGCACCTCCGCGCCCGTCCCGTTAGCCCGTTTGCGTTTTCATACGAAGCAACAGACACGACACGGCTAGCCTAGCGACCCTGAGCGAAAAAAAAAAACGATGTCTTCGCGCTTAGGCGTTACCAAGTATCTATAATAGCGCGATAGACGAGTGTTATTTTCGTATCGAAGACAGCATTTTTCATAAAAAGTGAAGACTACTTTTTTGTACTTTGTGTTATATGTTAATTTAAAATTTAAATTATATTGTGTGAAGATAAGCGGCATGACGTCGTCGATGCCTGCGAAACAGCATAATTATCGCCTTAATTAATCGTGCCAAATTATCTTAAAATAAAATACGTTAGATTTCTATAAAAAGCAGGGTTGTGATGTAAATTTCAAGATATTACGTCTACGTAGATTGTTTACGTATTGTTTACCGGTAATATTTACACAAACTTATTTTCCATGTAAACAAAAAAGTAATGTAAATTATATTATAAATTGGATAACAAAATGAAGAGAAAATAAGTTTTTACATGTTAAAATATATTTTAAGTGTTGATATATTAAGAATATTAAATATTAAAATTTAAAAAGTGAATATAATATTACAGAGCACATTTAATTAAAAAATAATTTTGGACTATAAAAGTTAAATGCATTTTATTTCAATTATTTATAATGTTATATGATTTTTATGTTAATATGTAATGATATGATTGATATGAAAGAGAGAGCAAGAGAAACATGATAGTAAAAATATTATCTATGCTGACCTGTGAGCTTTTAATCGATAAAAAGCAGTATTGCTTAATTCGCGATTGCAATATAAGCCTAATTATTAATTCCTTATTTTTTGGGGGGGAGGTATAAAATTAAAATCCTAAAAACCGTTATTAATTTGCTGATGAAAATAACACAAATAAAATATAAATTTCTGACATTTCTGACTGAAAATTATTAATATATGAATCTTCGAAAATAAATCTTCGAACATATAAAGTTCCGATTATTCATAGATTATTTTTTCTGTTTACATAAATGACACGTTAAGCATAGTTCACATTGTATGTATGTAGATGTAAACAATTATTGTATTTTACGCGTAAACGTAAAAAGAAACTTCGAAACAGGCCGGGAAGTTTGAGCGCAATTACTATAAGTACCTACTGACGAGCGTAGAATTTTTTTTAATAAGAGTTGAAACGAATTGCCGTCACATACAGTTATATTTCAATAAAATGTTATTATGGACGCCTAAAAAAATCTCTTTTTTTTTTCAGAATTTACAAAAAAATAGTGGCGCGGTTGGTAGCGTCGCCTAGCGTAAAGTGACGCAAGTAACGGCAAACGGCGCCACGTTCAGTCATGTCAAAAGCGGACGACTTCGTGCTGGTGACTCGTCGCGGAAGACGTCGTAAGGAAGACAGAAGGAGTTTGAACGGAAACGCGGTTACGTCGAGGGTGACCGTAGAGCAGGATCGGGAGGTCGATCACGAGCTTCTTCTTCGGTAAGCCGCGCCGTTTTTGTTATTCCGACACCTAACCCTAACCCTAACCTAACCTAACGCCGCAACCCTCGTTGAACTGCAATCACGTTTATTTTACGGCGATTTTCAGCACGTTAGACAAGGCGGTAGTCGAGGTCGGGGACGCGTCGTTTACCAGGTTCGTTTTCAGCCGACTGACGGAGTCCCTGGCCGTTCTAGGCTCCGACGGTATATCCGAGATAATCTGCTACGGGTTAGGACAGTTCTCGCAGTATAGGTCGTCGAGATGCCAGTTGGCGCTCCTCCTGTGCCTGAGGGCGCGATACGAGCCGGCTCGCGTACACGTGTACGACCCGGCGTTTCGTCCCGAGGAGGTGCGAGCCCTGCGCACCCTAGGCTTGGTGGTCATAGAGACGAACGAGGAGGGCAAGCGAGTCGTCCAGCGGGATAGGACGACCCTTGTGTACATGCCGCACTGCTCGCGGCAGCTGACAAATAATTTTCTCTACGCGAACTGGGGCGACGGACTGAGCGGTTGCATCCTGCTCGCCAACAGTCTCTCGGCGACCGTCGACGATTGCTTGCGTAGGGACGTGTTGAATACGGCCGGCTACATACTACGCATTCGACCTTATGTTACAGAGATTCGATTGGAAAATTGCTTTGTGTACGAGGAAGTTTTCAACGACCTTAACATTCATATCTTTACCAGACAAGAGCTGCTTAAGGTTCCACAGGATTTCTGGAGGTCCAAAGAGGAACCGCGGTATTTAACTAAGGACGTCGAATTTGTTACAGCCACACAGTGACAAATATAACATTTGACGCATTGTAATTATCTCCTTTGGCTCTTACAGAACTATTTGCATGACGTAGAACCCAAGTCTTCTTCTTGCTAGTCACGTAACTATAATGATTCGAATTTACTTTTAGAATATGGCGACGATGAATAGTAATATTAAATATGTTCGTTCTCTCGTGCAAGAGCTGCGCCGAGTCTCGCAAAATAAGAGTGTGAAAGAGAACGCAATGTTGCAATATATTATGGAACAGGCGCACGCTCATAAAGAAACGTCCGAAGTTTTGTGTAAGGCCCGAGAAGAATTGAAGAATTTAGCAGAGATGTATCTTTGCTACTTGAGGTCTCAACAGGCGTGCAAGGAGATTCATAAGCATTACGCTGGTAAAGGTGAACGTAGCATAAAGGAAACTGCGGATCTCGTGGGTTTTAAGCTACCTCATGATCCAAAATAAAATGGATTGAAGTAAAAATTTTTTAACTATCGTTAGTGTAACTATATTGTTAGTCTGTATTATATCTATTTGTTGTATTTCTACAAAGATGATCTAAATAGTGATTTACATTAAAGATTATCAAACAGTTTAATTTTATTTTATATGTAGCATATTTTTATACATCTCTCTTATTTATACGTATTACTGTAGTTTTATTTCGTTGAATGTCAGTACTTGTTATCGAGTCATAGAGCTTACATCAGAATGGGGGGGGGGGAGAGATCTCTTATACATTTAATAATAATCGAGTTATAAAAGTACAAAAATATATTCTTAAAATGGGGAAAATAGTACATCCGTTTTATCTTTAAAAAAATGATCTTATGCTGCAATAAGCTAAACATACGTCACAATTTTAAAATTTATAACAATTTAAGAATATTCTTTACGTATACACTTTGCGATCGTTGACAACTGCATGTTGCTCGTACCTTCGTAAATAGTGCCGATTTTCGAATCTCTGAAATATTTCTCTTGAGGAAAGTCTGTCATAAATCCGACGCCTCCCATGAAGTCTATACACTTTGCTGTGACACGTAGCGCAGTTTCTGTAAATAAGATATAACATATATTATCATTTTATTATATGTAGCTTTGAGTCTACAAAAAACTTCAATTAGCAAATTGCATACCGGACGCAATTAATTTGGCCATAGCAGCTTGCTTCATAACATCTTTTCCAGCGTCTACCAACCTAGCCGCATTGTAAACCAGCAATCTGGCGCATTCTAACTCTGTTACTGTTTGAGCTATTTGATGTTGCATCGACTGAAAGTAGAGATTATCTCTCTTAGATCTTAGATATATATGTATATATATACGGGAATTTCTTTCGTAAAATGATAAGCGTACTTGGAATGAGAAGAGGTCCTTTCCAAATTGCTTCCTTTCCAACGTGTACGGTATAGTCGCGTCCAAGCATCCCTGAGCTATACCGATCATTTGAGCTCCAATGCCAATTCTACCTTCGTTCAAATGTGCAGCAGCATATTTATATCCATGCCCAAATTCACCCAAGATGTTGCTTTCAGGTACCTAGAAAAAAAAGATGAGTTTTTATAATGCATTTACATCTTGTAAGAATGATTACGTGCGTGCGCTCGCGAGATTAATTTTTTTATTTATTTATCGTACATACCCTGACGTTGTCAAAGTGGATCATGCAAGTTCCGGATGCCTTGATGCCTAGTTTCTCTTCAGGTTTAGCTACTGTCAAACCGGGCATATCGCGCTCCACGAAGAAAGTCGTGATGCCACGGTACCCCTATTTTAATTAAAAAAGCGTTACTTGATGACTTGATTTCTCTCTTTCGCATATGTAGGAATTTACTCACCGCGGAAGGATTTGCGTTGGCGAAAACCAAGAAAACGCCCGCGATATCGGAATTCGATATAAACATCTTCGTTCCGTTTATCACATAGTCACCGCCATCCTTTTTCGCTTCGGTCTTAAGAGAAAACGCGTCGGATCCAGAACCAGATTCTGTGAGACAAAAACTACCGGCCTGAAAAAAATGCTGTCGTCAAATGTGTTTTGTTCTTTTTTTCCTATCAATGCATCAATATCTCTCCGTAACAAAAACGTGTAACAACTTACATAATTTTGTGCTAATTTAGGCAGATATTTCTGTTTCTGTTCTTCAGAGGCAACTTTGATGATCAATGAATTTACTAAAGTGTTATGGATGTCAACGAGAGCGGCTACGGCTCCGTCGACTTTCGCGACTTCCTCGACGGTTAAAATCGTGCTCATAAAATTGCAACCAGCGCCGCCGTATTCCGTTGGGACTTCGAGGCCCATCAGCTGAAATTGGTAAAGTTTTGAATGTTAAAATAATATATTTCGTCATTGTATTAATTCATATCTAAAAAGAGCATATCATGAATTTGTATAAAATATTACGAAGCTGTCTTTAGCGGCACAATATGTTTTCTTCTATCATTCGTTCTGCCGCGTTATGTGAACGACCGTGTCGGTCATACGCGAGGAGACCGTGTTTTTCGCAGAATAACGGTTAAATAGATCGGTACTGCGTTGCAAAAGGCAGGTAATGTAATATTATTGTTAGACATTTTATAAAGTTTTGTAGAATTGATTTTTTTCCTAACAAAAACCTAGCAAGAAATCTTTCAAAGTTAGCGTTGTTTAAATACTATTCGCGGAAGTTGCATTGAAACGTGTGTCTCACACATGCGTATTGCAAAATTAAGAGGTATTTATTTATCTGTTTATCTGCATAAAAACAAGATATTGATAAGATATATATTTCCGCGTTAGGAGTTATAGAAAAACAAAATATATTTACGCGCACAATGAGAAATTCTTCAATATACGCGAAATGATAAAAATTATCTACGCGTGTGGTCGATAAAGAACATCTTGTTTTCAAGTAGCTCGTAATTTATCTTCTTTTCCGACTTTCTAATTTGATGCACGTCATTTTGTCACATTGATGTCATCACGTCATTTTTACGGGATTAGCAGGTCAAACATGTTGTCGCAATTATGGCGACATTATCGCATTTATGCAACAATCGCGGTCAGATAAACATAATTTTTACTAAAATCAGCGTAAATATATTTCACTTATCAGAACTTCCTATTAACAGAGAGTTCTAAACTCACAATCAGTTTTTCGCCAAAGTCGGTCGATGCGTATACAGAATATCCCAAATTTTATCAATTCATGCCCGCATGTTTTATGAGTACAAATAAGGAACAAGTATTATCTGTAAGTTCAACGCGAAGCTGATACGAGTGAATGCACGTATGATAAATTGACAGTATCCTCTTCAAATTCTTATCAACGAAAAATTGACATCGTTCGGAAATTAAATTTATTACCAAGCTTATAGATTTGGTTTTAATCTCATCGGTTGGGATATCGACTCTTTCTATTAGTTGTCGCATGTGTCTCGCGCCAAGTATTTTCCACGTACAAGTGGCGAGAGAGACTGTATACAAGCTACGATCACTTTCAATCACACGTTCACTGTCCGTCCATTTAAATTCTTTATAGCCCCACACCTACCATATATTCTCTATTGCCTAATTCACGCTGCATTCTTTCCTAATTTATTAATTTAATTAGAATTTTTAAATCGTGTACATCACATATAACGATCATGAATGTATGGTTTATGAGTGAGAATATTCACGTGTAAAATACGTTAGATAAATTTTGACTTTATCTATTTTGTATTAATACTATAATTTTTTAACAAAGTATATACTTAGATTGTTATTTACCCAACGTATTTTCCTCGCATAGTCTTACTCATAGCGTATGCTGGCACAGACCAATAAAATCTAGGATATCTTCGAATATTCGAAGTAGTCCAAAAACTCGAGTAGTTATTTCGAAAGGGTTCTTCAAACTTACGCCATTCTCGAAAAGCGTTTTCAAAACGCCGTCATCTATCTTGTTCTCCTTTTCCATCTTTCGTACGAGTGGCGCGATCTCCTCCTTAGCCAGTTTGGCGACTGAGAGTATGTAAAATTAAAAAAAATAGATACAAAATGAATATATAAATTGACATATGAAGATATACGGCAAGATGGTAATCAAGTTTTTACTGCATTATAAAGAGCTCGTTTATTATTTAACTCTGATGAATGAGTTTGACACTTACCGGTTTCTTTCATCATAATCTCATCATCCGTAAATTCCGTCAAGGGACTTGGACTCTGATTTAGTCTTGACGCGCATAAATGCACTTTTCGCGTTCGCGTCAGCCTTTGCGGTATCTACAAAACGTGTATTTTGTTCTAAATATCATTTCGTTTATACGTCGCATAGGAAAAATATATAATTTATTAATTGTGTAAATATTATTTATTAACGTGTTAAAGAATAAATATATTTGTGTGTCCTCTCTGTGCTAAAGACTGTAAAGAGACATATTCGTACGTACAGAAAATTGGTGTGTTCTACCAATCATTATGACAAGTTATTTGACCTTAGGAATAGGACGTGACATTCAATCAATTAAACTGAATAATGATCAACAAGAGAATAAACGCGGCTAATTCTATACATATATTATATAACATACATCATATATATAAGTACGTCTGTATATCTGTCTGTCTGACCGCAAACTACTCATTTGTTAATGAACCGATTTTCAAAGAATTGTATATGAAGTAGGGGTAGAATTTTCCGGGGAGTGGTATAAAATGTATAATTTTTAGTTACCAATCTTTTTGGAAGCCGGTACCGAAACTTTTCAAATTTTTCAAATTCTATTACATTCTTTAGTTCTTTCTACCCCTGTTTTATATATAATTCTTTAAGATTTGGTCCATTATTTCCTGAAATTCTATATATCATATATAACATACATATATATATAATATAAAATAAAGCAAATGAAATAATATATATCGAAATAACTCGAAACCTAACGGAGAATTTTTTTTCACATTGTTGTTTTTATCTTTGACTCGTCGATGGAAATGCTTTGTAGCCGAATATCTGATCTGATAAAATACCAAACGACAAAAGTTATATTGATAACTCAAGCACAAGCTCATAAAAAAAACATTTACAACTGCAGGCACAGATAAGTCAGATATGTGCATGTGTCTGCTTATCTTTTTCCCCTAAGTTCACAAAAAATACATTTGCCTCATCTTAGTAACACATCTCGAGTAATGTACGATAAATAAATTAATAGAAATATCCTAACCATCGTGCTATCGATAGTGCTCATAAATAGTGCTTATATCGCAGGACATTTCGTGGAAAGAAAAGTATTGAATTTAGACGACCGTTGATCTCGGGCGTGTAAATTACATAGGGCAGGAGGAGGCTTCTTGAGTCATGGGGCTCCAATTCTATTCCAAGTACTAATACGTTAATTTATTAATTTTTATTATTAAGACCAATGTTTTGTCCCCCTGGCCTTTTGTCTACTTGTTTCAGTTTTCCCTCCTTTCCTGTCCAAGGGCTTTTAGAGTCCTTGGGCTTGCGACATTTTTAAATATCTTGAAAATTTTTTTATCCGATTTTTTCTTTAAACTGACCCAAATAGCTCCTGCTTACCATAAATAGAGGACACTGCGGTATGTACAAACAAAAAAATGTATCTCAGATTGAAACCTTGAATTCGAACGTTCCAAAAAATCAAGAAAATTCTGTTCGCTCGTTGTAGGCAACTTGCGTGGTGCCTTTACACTAAATCTAAGGATACAAAGGGAAATAATTGCGCGTGCTTACGTACGTCGCGGAAGGCGGATCTGAGTATGATGGACGCGTTCATCGTTTGTCTTCTTCAAGAGAGTCCTCGGAGGTACGAAGAATGGAAGAGCGATGTGTGTGCTGGCGGTCCGCAGGCTGAGTTAATACTGACAAGCGGGATGATTTGGTGCGCGTCCGCACCGGCCCGGCCGCCCCGTCGCTCCGTGCCGGTCGAACGATGCCGATCCGGATTGATTCCTTTCATGTGGCTGAAACAGGTTGTTGCGTAATGAAGAAATAAGGAGCTAATCGCCTCGAGCTGCCCGCCTCTGCTTGGGGTATCTCCTCCATCCGTTCCTCCCTCTCGTTTACTCGACGAAACTGCCCATATACCGCTAAATTAATTCTTATCGGCTCTTCAACGAGTATTTGCGTCAAATTCTTATCGCCGAACATTTTTTTTTTAAACAGAAACGCGTACGTATATTTCGTTTGCGCTTTGTCACTGTCTCGGTGGTCTCGACAACATTTGCATTTCCAAAGAAATATGATGAAACTACGTTATCGCAATGACGTTGAGCGTGGTGTAACAGTTTTCCTTTTTTTAATTCAATTTTAAATATGTAATTTATATGCATTTAGTCGCATCGTAAATTATCAATTACAGATAATTTGGAGAACCGATCTCTCAGTAATGTGATTGATAAACAGTTTATGAGAACGTTACAATATACATGTTTGATAAGCAAGATATTTAATCCGCACGTTTCCAATCTATTGGAACCGCTATTAGTAATCATAACACGTTTGTATACTTGTAATCTCATTAATGGATACACGAGTCGGTTCTCCTCAAAGTGGAATTTATTATCTTTTAGGACGTCAGTCGATATATCTACCTATTGCATTTGAAACTTGATGAAACTTGGATCAATTCAACAGGTGATTAATTCACCTGCTAGGATCACTTACAGCAAACTCGCTGAGGATTACTTCGATCAAACTCTGATTAACTTAATCAAATGTTAATTTATCCGGCAATAGCTGTATTATTTTATTAATATGGACAGAATAATGTTTTTTTCTTATTTAATATGAAAAGAGAGCTCATAGGGACATTGAATTATGTAGCTGGGAAATTTATCTTAAGCAATTCTACTGGCTGATTTAATTACCAATTAAGTTGATGGAAATTTAATTAATTTGACTGAAGTCACCCTGATTGCTTTTAATATTTATCGGGAGCGAAAAAATGAGTAAAAATTGCACAAAATTTCATTTTCTTTTCAAGATGGGACGGATAATCCTTGACCGTATAGTACAACTCCATCGCCCTTTGCGATTGATATAGTGAATGTCGTTTTTATATAGAAACTCGAAAATTTTATTTTGACCATTTTTCCAAAAAATCGCTCTGTAGCAGCTTGAAGGCGATGCTGCTGATTACGAATATCATAGTTAAAGTGCGATTTTCTCATTATTTTTTCCATAATACGGATTTTACGATTCTATAGTAATAATTAAATGACTCCTGTCGACCCTTAAATAATACAAAAATCGACGTATTAGGTATATGTCTTGACGTAAGTGATCTTAGGGCCATAAGATCACATCAAGATAGATAATAGTAGCGTAAGTTAATTGTTAATTTATAGTGCCAAGAGAGGCACGGCACTCGCTATTTTTCGTTGTTCCTTAACGTATAGGTAAGTGATCTTATCGGGTTTGAGAATTCATTAGTATCAGCCTGATCTTCTCGTACTAGATTATAACAAAGAGAAAAAATTGTAGAATTTTTTTTATTCGTCTTTCAACCAATTATAAAATTTGTATTATTTAAAATTTATCTTATTGTTAATCGCACGCACATATGACACGAGTTTTGAATATTGGTTCTTGCGCGATACCGATATATTGGTCTAAAGAGAAACGTACGCTATTGCAACAATCATTGGCTTTAACAACACATTGTCAAAGTAATAAAGGTAATAAAAATCTGTTATCTTTCTAAGAAAATCTTTCATGTAATTTTATTAAGATTAAGATCGCCGGAAAAAAGATAACGCGGAATAAATCGTGCTTCGTGCACGTTCCAATTCGGGGCAGACGACGCGCGACGTCGAATCCTGGGAGTGAAGGAGGAGAGAAAAGAGAATGCGCGCGTTCAGCAGACCAAGCCGCTCAGTAGCAGTCGAACGTGCGTGGCTCTTACTTTTAGAACCAACCACGCAACGCAGAGTGTTGATAAGACAAACTCAACAGTTGTGCAACTGCTGTGTCTGCTGAACGCGCCCAATCACGGCGGTGTTGGCAGTCCTGTGTCTGTTGAAAGTTGCCGCGCTCGATGGCAGGTGGCGCCAGAGGTCCGCGCGTGCGGCTTTCGGAAGTTTCGGAAGTTCCGTTCACACACCTCGCGTTCCGTTCAATGGTCACTCGGTTGACTCGTCGGTGTCCGTCTATGGTATTCATGGCCCGTACGAGGCACGACCGCGCGGTGTTTACTCGGAAAGTGTCGGCAATCAGTAACGGTGACCGGTAACCGTCGGGAAGTCAACGGCCAACCACCCCCGATCGATCCCGCGCGTTCTGGCTTCTGGCCGCGCGGCGTCTCGGCACGGAGACTCCACGCTGCGCGATCTCGGCCTCGCCTAGCGACGCCCTGGTGAGAATCGGTGAGACGTGCCCCGTGGTGGTGAGACGGAACGTGCGTCGCGGTCGCGTCCACGGAGAGAGTTCAGAGAGTCTCGCGTACCGTCGGAACGGTGCGGCTGCGGCGCGCAGCGTCGTCGATGCGCGGACGGTAAATCTCGTTGTGTCGAACGGAGAAGCGACGGAGGGAGGAACTCGTGCGGGAAATCATCATCATCATCGTCGTCGGCGGCGACGCCGGTGACGTCGGTGGAAGCGGTGACAAGAGGCGGTGAGCAGTGACGGAGGCATAAGCAGCGGCGGCGGCGGCGGCGGCGGAGGGGGAGGAGGCGGCGGGGGGAAGCTGTTCATCGAACGGAACAGCCGCGCGCGCGGAGGAGCGGCGATACGCGGAGCGCGGCCCGAGTTGAGTCGCCCATCGTTGTACGGTTCGTGAAACGGGCGCGGGCATATCACGGGATTAGGAGGAGGCGGCGGCTGGCGGCTGGCGGCGATTCCCTGGTAGGTAAGTGTCCGCGCCTCGCCTCGTCTCGCTTCGCCTCGCCGAGGCGACGTTGTTGCCGTCGGCCGCCCGACGGCGACGGCCATCCCGATCTGCGCGAGTCGGAAAGTCACGGGGACGACACGGCTACGGCGAGTTCTCGGCACGGCACGGGGAGTCGCGCTGCTCTCCGTCTCTGGGCCCTCTCGACGCTCGCCGACTCGCGCCCGGCGATGAATGACGTAGGCGCGAGGGGTGTGTCGGCGTCGGCCCTTGGGTGCCGCGTCGCGTCGCGACGCGACGTGGCCACGCGACTCCCCGTCGCCGCCGCGAGTCGCGCCGCGACGACCCTCCGTCGGCGACGACGAGCCATCGGGCTCTGCGTTTTCCCCTCCCCCGTCGGAGCATCGGGATCCCCAAATTCGCCCTCCTCCCCCTCCGAAAATATGTCGCCATTTGCTGCCACGGTACTCCGTCTCCGGACGCGGGCCACCCCGCGGTACTCTTTATCTCGAGCGCGCTCGCGCTTCGCCGTCACTCCGGCGCTTACTCGATGGGCGGCGATCGACGCCTCGGGTTAAACGTCGTCGCGCTTCGCTAATTACGGCTCGGCCGTGCCGTATCGCGCTTTGAACCTGCCCGTCACGTTGTGCGGGACTGTGTGTCATGTCGGGAGCAAGTCCGTCGCGGTATTTCGTCGCTCGTAACCGAATTCCCGTCCGGGATTCCGATTTGCGACGCCGCGTCGTCCGGGTGCCGCTGAGACCGTAGGCTATAGATAGACGTATAGAATCTCTCTCCCTCGGGACACGTCTCTCATATTTTGATGAATCACGCATTCCGATATTTTCGATTGTGTGTTCCGTTGATGGTCGCCGCAACAACAGGTTTTAGGGACCTACATTCGACAGACAGCTCGGGACAGCCGCTTTAAGAGCACGGGACGCGATGCGGACGCGCGATGAACCGTAGATAAAAAAAATTAATAAACAAAAAGGTTAAAAACGCGACATAAGAAGCTAATATTAAGCGGCAGCCCGATAATCGATGATCGTTGTGTACCCACTCCGCGTGACCAATTGTGTCTCTTCTTTCTCTTTCCCTCTCCCAGTCGCTGTTACTTTCGTTTCTCGTATAGCTGATAGCGTTTCAGGACACTCGCTCGCTACGACGGGCGTAATCTGCGATTAACCATGACGTCATTGCGTTAAGTGTCCGGCGGCGCGGCGTCGAAGCCGGTCGACCGCCCGACGCGGACGGCGGACAGATAATCCGCGTTCGCGCGTTCGTTTTGGCGTATGATGTCAGCATCTCGGTGGTGCGCGACAAATACTCAATGGCGCGATTGCCATTTTGTCAAAAGTCGCCCGATCGCGCCAGGTCGTCGTCGCTGAACGCCGTTTCCGCCGATCGACGCTCTGGCCCCCCGACGATTTATCGCCGTCGTCACGCGTTATCGATCGCTCGTCCCGCTGCTCCCTGATAATTGCGTAAACGCCTTCGTCGTCGATAACCCGAGCGAGGGAAAAACTTGGGATTGATAGGATTAGGGCGATACGTTCGTAGGGGAGTCTTGAGATACGTTTGTGAGAGATGGTTCTACAATTATTTTGTAGAATTTATTTGTTTTTTCAGGCTGGATGGAATCGTGAGGTTTTAGACTAGACTTGGGACTATCTTAAATTCATGATCGAGCGGATTGAATATCGTCCTTAGAGACCCTCGGAGACCGGTTGACTTAGACTTAACGGATACAATAGAACTCGGAACGGATCGGCTCGGGAACCCGTATATCTCTTCGGGCCCCTGCGGGAACGAGTGAGACCTGCGGCAGCGACAGGCACGTGTGCAGGTGCACACGCACTCACGTACGCACTGCGTATAATTCCACGGCTACGGGTTGCGTAAGGGTCTAATCATTGTATCATACGAGTCCTCGCGCCGAGCGTCGCCACAACAACGGACTCGTTTCGAGCCTTTCCCCTCTTTTTTTTCCCTCGATCACGGCCGCTTCCACAATACAGATACACGACCGTCGAATCGAGGAACGGGCCCGAGATAGAGACAGCGAAACTGACAATGGACCGTTCTGAATCGACGCGTGGTACCGATTATTCGCTGAATTATTCACCGACCTGCTCTTCGTTGTTTTCAGCGCCGCTTAAAGAGAGAAAGTGAGACGGGAAACGGTTGTATCTCCCCCGAACACGCGACTCCCCGATACCTGGAACGAAAGAAAGAAGCGAGATCAGCGGGAAGAAACGCGCGCGGATCGTGCCGCGCGTCAACTCCGTCCCTGGTCCCTCTCTATTTTAAGACGAGGACTCGCGGACTCGCGCCAGTAAGCATAGAGGCGAGCCCGGCCCGCCGCGATCGCTTTCATTCAGCCTGCGGTGAGACCGAGAGAGACCCGCGTTGTCCCGTTATCGTCGAAGATAAGCGTATTTGCGCGAATGGGACGGTACCGCGACGACTCCGCGAAGATGGAACCCCACTGATCTGGAATAGAAGGTTTTGCCGTTGTGCCTCCTCCGATCTCGCGGTTAGACAACTTCACCGAGGTAGAACTTCGCGCTGGCCGCGCTCGAGTGGCTGCTGGCGAATAAACGGGGAATACGCATTTTGCTTCGAAGCGCACCAAGCGCGCGTAATCGAGCCACAGTGATTTACGCATTACGGAAACGGGCCGTCTCTCCGTCTGCTCGGAAAAGATCGTTGTGGTCGAGCATTCGTCGTTCGTGGGACGGACGTTGCGTTCCTGTTGACGTAACGTCCTCCTCCTTCTTTTTCTTTTTTATTTTTTTATTTCCGTCGATTGCCACTTGGTCAATATCGCGGCCGATATTATGGCACGGTATATCGCGCTGACAACGAAGCCAAACGCGCGTATATGCGAGAGGGACTTAAACGAAGCCACTTACGCCGAATACCTCAACCCCTTAACGTTAATTACCATCAATTCGCACCGAGTGTTCATCATCGTTCACGGTCGCCGCTGCATTTTTTTTTCTTCCGAGCGGCGTTCCCGAATTGAATTCGGTCCAGAGTGTATCGAAAGTATACATATATCTTGGCTGACGAATCGCTTGTCGAGCGTCGTTTGTACTTGGCAAGGTTTCAAATAGCGATAATCTACGAATACCGCGCGTTATTTTCGTTAGATACGATTTGCCGGATTTGCGTTTATAAGCAATTTATTTTGTACATATACATATATATATATATAGATATATACAAAATTAATATTAATATCAATTTTATTATAGTTAGTCTTATGATTGATAATATTATTATACGTATATACCTATAAAATTAAATAAATATTAATATCAATTTTTTCATAATCAATATTAAAGAATATTGATAATATTCATAAATATATATATATATGTGTGCAAGCAAAAATAGTGACAAGACGTAACACGGTGATGAGATAATCGACGAATATAAATCTCAAACACATAACGCAACGCGAGTAAACAGAGTAGCGAGAGCTGGCAGTCTTTTATTCTCCCGTCAAGTCCACGGGATTATCGATTACCATCCCGGTGGAGTATCAAGAAGTGCGAGACACGCATAAAAATCATACGGAGGGAAGAATTTGGTCGTACAATCGGACGGGTTCGATTGTGTTTCGCGCTTGCGTGCTGACGTAATCCTGCGGTCAACCATCGCGCTTCTTTTCCTCTCGCTTCCTCCTTTATTTCGTTCGCTTTTGCAGCGGAAGTGCACGCGCATGACGTTTCCCAGCGCGGTAACAAGTCGCGGAAGCTCGAGTCGCCGGCGGCGAAGCGAATCGGTTTCGTTGAGAAGCGACTTGTCCGATTTGCGGCTCTCTCACCTCTCTAGGAGGTGATCTCTCGTCTATATCGATCATGAGAGCGCGACGCGGTTGCCAGACGAAAGGGATTACATTTTGCGAATTAGAACGCGCGCTGTCGCGGTCGCGACGTAACGATGCTCACGCTAGCGAAACGTTCAGCGTGGGATTTCCGGCGGCCGACGGATGGCGAGGGAAACGCGGCGTGAAAAGGTGAAAAGCGCGACGGCGCGCCGCGCCGCCGTAGGATGAGGATACGCGCGCGTAGCCGGGTGCGAGAGCGTTGCGTGGTGCGCGATGCACCGGTACTTGGCGTAAGGAAAGTCAAGCGGTGAACGACCGTTGACACAGATATCCCGTGCCGAGCCGAGCGTCGGAGTAAAATAGCCGGCACAGTTGAGCATTCTATTTTACATCGTTAACGGAACGACGCCCGCGGTTAATTAAGGGAGGGGAAAAAAAATCGAATGACGGACACGCGGTACCCCCGAAACCCCTCCGTCCCTCGCAGCGCCGAACGAAGGGAACCGCGTTGTTGTAACGCGTATATACGGTTGGGTTCGCCGCGTCGTTGCACGCACACGATTCCCGGTAGGGCCCCGCAACTTTATTGATCGCACACCGGTAAGGTGTCCATATACCTCGCACCGGATTCGGGAGAAACGAGCGTAAAATGCCGCTTTCGCGTACACGAAACGGCGAAACTTACGCGTTTCGGCGAAACACTGATAGCTGCAAGACCTTCGTTGCTTTCGATTTTTAGTCGTTCTTGTCGATTCCATTTCTTTGTCCATTGTCCGCTGTAGTTCTTAGAACGGACGCGTTGAGAAATCTTTAATAGCCACGCGAAGTGATTATTTAGTATCAATATGAATTAATATCACACACACACACACAATTTAGTAAATAATATTTTATTTATATTAATATTTTTCTTTTTAGTTTTTTGTGCGTTTCTATTTTTAACGCCTACGTTACACGAATTGAAATAATTAACGTCGAAAATTCATCAAGACTTTTGCTAAGCTAGTGGTGATATTAGAACATGACATTTTACAGTTGCCGGTACTTGTACGAGGCTCGAAAATGGCAGACACGAGCCAACAAGCATTGAGCGAGCTACACACGAACGGAGTGGTGGATGACGGTTTGACGGAAGATGATAGAACCAAGATCAGACCCGCGGATATCGATGCGGTAAGTTTCGTGGAATACGGCATTTTAACGTTTTCTCAATAATAGAAATCGAAGAAAGTTCGACACGCAATGATTTCTTATTCGAGTTTCGCCAGCGCGTGAGAAATGCTTGAAAAGTAAACGAATTAATTCAAACATGGTTAAATATGTTAAATAAGAGGAATCTATTCATTTACAGGATATGAGAGAAATGGAGAGGAGAAAGAGGGTCGAGATGATGATGAACTCGCGAATCTTCCGGGAAGAGCTGGAACGTATAATTGAGACACAGATGAGGGACGGTGCTGGACCCTCTGGTCTCCTGCAACAGATCTCTGATATGATGGGTGCACAGGGAGCCCGATTCAACGGCAATGTGTTCAAAAGTTAGTCTTGTTTTGCTTTAAAATTGTCATTCCTTGAAATTGCCGTCTCCCCTTTTTTTTATACTTTACTCTAACTCGATTCGCTCGGAAATGTGGTAGATTCAAATTGCGTCTTGCCTATCAACGACATACGCGGCGTGGAAAGCATGGGATACGCCAAGGGCGAGAAATTGCTACGGTGCAAGATGGCGGCGGTCTTCAGATTGCTCGATCTCTACGGATGGACGCAGGGCGTCGGCGGGCAAATCACCGCCCGTCTCAATCAGGATCAGGAACACTTTCTGGTGAATCCTTACGGGCTACTCTATCACGAGGTCACCGCCTCGAGTTTGATCAAGGTGGACATGCAAGGCACAATTATCGAGCAGGGGACGACGAACTTTGGCGTGCACGTCGCTGGTTTCCAATTGCATTCGACAATACACGCTGCGAGACCCGATATCAAGTGTATTATTCATATTACTACTCCGTCCGTTACCGCTGTAAGTAAACGTTTCGTGTCTCCGGTTTCTTCATTCTCCGATGATCCGTTTCTCGTTTGTCTCATGTATCTTTCACGAGCGTTTGATGTCTCGATTACGCGATGTCGCTTTAATAGTCGGTTGACGATGAACATTTATTAGCTCTGCTCCGAAAGGAATTGACTGACACACGCGTGACATGTTGCGTAGGTTTCCTCCTTGAAATGTGGATTGTTACCAATCGATCAGGAGAGCATAGTGATAGGCGAAGTGAGCACTCATCAGTACATAGGAGGTTCCGTCGACCCGGAGGAACGGGAGAAGATCGCTAGAAATCTCGGGCCGATCAATAAGGTTATGCTCCTGACGAATCGCGGTGCCCTTTGCTGTGGAGAAACAGTGGAAGAGGCGTTCTTTAACGTTTACAATACCGTAGTCGCCTGCGAGACGCAGCTGAAGCTAATGCCCGCGGGCGTAGACAATCTAAGCCTTATCAGCGAGGAATCGAAGAAAGCTATATTCGAAGCGTCGCGAAAACCACCAACCCCTCAGCAACAGAGTTCAGCAGTAGAGTCGTCCGCTCTCGCGGAGAAACTCGAGAAACGCTGGAGAATCGGCAGCGCCGAATTCGAAGCCCTTATGAGAATGCTCGATAATGCTGTAAGTTTGTCTTAATCGTTCACTATAATCGTAATATTTGCGTTGGGGAATATATCTGAATGTCGTTTCTTCTTCTTTCTCAGGGATTCCGTACGGGCTACATATATAGAAATCCACTTGTAAAGGGAGAACCCCCGAAACCGCGAAACGATGTTGAAGTTCCACCGGCCGTATCATCCTTAGGATATCTACTCGAAGAGGAAGAATTGTATAAGCAAGGGTAGGTTTCCACTTTCCCTCAATTCGGGGATATTTTGTTTCGACGCTATAAAGTGGTCAACGCTTAGTCGATTTCTTTTTTCTTTTCTTGAACAGGCTGTGGAAGGGCGGACGCAAAGGTACAGACAGATCCCGTTGGTTAAATTCGCCAAATGTTTACCAGAAGGTTGAGATCCTGGAAACTGGAACACCCGATCCTAAAAAGATCACCAAGGTAGAAGTCATTACTTTTGAGAATAAGACCGACTAATTATTTACTCATTTCCGCGCGATTTCGCCCGATGCTAAATCTAATATAAGCAAGCACTTTTATTTGGCAATTATAATCGCGTATTGTGGCTGCTAATCGGATTACGATTTGCGTATAATAACGAAGAAGGAAAGCTTTAAATGTATCAAGTGCAAAATTAAACAGTTATGACATATTAATATATATTAATAGTTATAACATATATTGATATATAGATTGTAGAATCGTTTATCAGATTTTCGGTTAGTTTGATTTGAGAATATAATTCTCTTTCAGACTCTTTGATATTTCTGCTTTGCGATTGTATCGCAAATTTGTCTTAATTAGAAGAAAATACCTTGTTGATATTAGATTTTCGTAAATTTAATACCACGGTAATGTTATTAAGATCCTTTGGTTTGTTTTCCGTGAATAATTATTTTATTTTATCGAACAATGTTGAAGATATTTTTAGCGATGATTGAGAAAGACAAGTGCGCATATTTACGGCCGTAAATAGATAGTATATTCATATATGCAATGCGATATGTAATGCATTGGTTATTCCATTTTTGTTAGCAGTCAGTTGCATTTTATCACGTTATGTTGTGTAATTTTGTCTTGTTTTTGTCAAATTTTTTTATGCATTTTAATTTTATTGTACAATCAGAGACCAAGTATGTGTGTACTAATTAATCACGATTATTTATATAAATTCCACGCATTCCAACTTGTACCATTAATTCTCAACATTAACTGCTGATAACTTAACGATGATACCTTTTATATTATGTAACTATTTCAGTCATGGCAAACGTTCTCATTGAACAAACAATATATCTTATTGATGTTGGTTAGAATGTACTGGCATATATAGCGATATATTGCTCTTTTTAAACTATATAGATATAACTCTAACTCTTGTTACAACAGAGCTTGATTGATATTATTTAATAATAAATGCTTATTAATGCGATATAACGAATTACTTAAAAGTTCAAAGTTGGAGCAAAAAAATCACAGTTTTAGACGCTATGACCAATGTGTGTATATGTGCCTGTGTGTATGCACGCGCGTACGTGATTTATGTGTATAAACGTTGGTCACCTGATAACATAACATATTAACGAAAAGATATCATCTTTATTATTTAAATCAAAACTAATTTTTGATGCGCAAATTTTCATCAACATATACGTGCAATGTTTCCGCGATATAAAAAAATATCGACTATAACGAACTGTCATCAGTACATAACAAGTATTAAATAATTGTTTATTTTAATTTGTTGCCAATTGAAAAATATTTTATAGGCAATAATTCTTTTCTTTTTTTTTGTTGTACATTTACAACATTTATTTGCATTTCGACAAAGATTGATGGCATGATTAGAATAACTCATTTTTTTTTAAATCATAAAGAGATGTTCTCTTAGTATAATATATTTCTATTTAATAAACAAGAATCTTTTATAAAAATATATAATAAGAATATAATAAAACACAAAACGAGAGACAGAACGAGAGCGGTCAACATTTCCGCAAACAAAAGTTACGAAACATTAACGTGTTGAATTCCAGTCAATCGTTAGTATAAGTATACCTAAATACCTTTATATATAAGATATTAACGACTGTTCTTCTGTAGCTTCTTGATGTTTAAATAAAGTTATACGTGCTGTTTAAAAGAGATGATTATATCAACTTTAATGAAACTTCAACTTTAATAGCGTTCCAAGCACTATTTATAGCCCGCAGACGCTACGTTAATAAATTTAGCTCACTTTCTATAACGCGATGCGAAGTTATATGTATGTTGTCGTCTACAATATATTTATTAACAGTAACTACAAGATTCTGAGATTATCTATTCTGCGAAACTACCCTCCGTCAAGTAGCCTTATACGCAAATTTTTATCTTGGGATAAAAATGTTATGCATATAATAGAAATACAATGGAGTTTGGCATTTCGAATTTGTGGCATTTTATTCAATTATTATTGTATAAGGGAATAAAATAATGATTTAATATATTGTATCTTATCTTAAGCATTTTTCAAACGCACTTTTGCCACAATATATATAAGACATGTATAAAAAAAAATATATATATATATAAATATTTCTCACGACTCTGTATGAATGTGTGCCTGATCTCATCATCAAGATCTCGTTGGCCTGGTTACACTGAGCCCCACTGCATTTACAAAACCAGATCAAGTGACCCTTTACATTTAGAAAATCTAAGCTACTTCCTTGAAACTAAATGTTAGGCTTAGCAATTAATTGTTGTCAGATTGCCGAGTTGTACATTTGTATTGCATGTAATTGTATTGAATTTTATTTTGAATCACTCAAGACACTGAGTGTGATTTATGTAAAATGTCGATTGCAACAGTAGCTGCAATACAAAATTACAAAGTTATTAAAGATATGTTGCCAGTTTTGATTATTCTGGGATAATCTATTAAAGGGGAGGAAAAATATGCAGCAGGCACACATAGCATGCAAGAGTCTTTATCTTATGTTAGCATAATTGCTTCTCACAACGATTCGAAGGGGGTCGACTAATGTTCTGGTTTTGTGTGCAGTGGGTGTCTGACGGATCTCCTACCCATAGCAGCACACCAGTCAAGATAGACGGTGCTCTTCAGTTTGTTCCGAAAAATACCAACCCAAAGGAGTTCAAACAATTACAACAGCAGGTAAGTATTGGCCGTTGCATTTGAATTATATATTCTATTTGTCTTCGTTTCTGCTCTCTTTCCACATCGGTCAATATGCATAAATAGGAATGTACAAATTTGATACACTTTCTCCATAGATTAAAGATTATCGACGAGCAGAAAAAATATCGGCTGGCCCGCAATCTCATATACTGGAAGGTGTATCATGGGAGGAAGCTAAGAAAATGCAGGTACACAAGCATCGAATCTTTTTCTTGATTTAAACCAAATTAGATACGTCCCATTTAATAAATTTAGCAAAGAGAGAAAGAAAAAAAGCTTCCTATTAAGTAGCGATAATCACGTATTGTTCTGATCTGAATTTGAATTGCAACACTAGCATCTTTCTGATTATTATTAATTACTTCATAAATCCCTGCATAAAATATGTATGTTATCTTTAACTTGCATACTCGTTGTTTACAAGGACGCGACAATTAGTGGTACCGGAGAACAAGTAGTTTTAGTAGGAGCCGCTAGCAAGGGTATTATACAGCGTGGTTTCCAACACAATGCGATGGTGTACAAGACACCTTATGCCAAAAATCCTTTCGACGCCGTCACGGATCAAGAATTGGACCAGTACAAGAGAGAAGTCGAACGCAAACAGAAGGGAGATCCTTGTTAGTTCCATTCGTCACTTTTCTCATCCAATCTTTTTCCCGTATTTTTGCATGCGTCTTGTATTTATGTATCCCCGTATCTTAGAATTATTCTGTGTTCACTTAATGTTCACCGGACGTTGAACGGAACCATTAATATTACCTATTCTGTAAATAGACGATGAGTCACAGTCAGAATCCGAGGCCTTGTCGTCCTTTAACATCAGTCGTGCGACGCATGAATCCAGCACTGCCAAGAGTCCTATTCAGTCACCGGTTTCTGTTACTTCGGAAACGGAGGAGGAGAGTAGAGACGGTAAATTCATGTGCTTAATTCACGAACGGGGTTTCCATACGTATCATAGAATGTGTACCACGTTCTGACCTTTCATCGATAAAATCATATCGTTACATTTTTATTTTCTACGTCATTAACGAACACTCGCGTGTACTCCTTTTCTACAGAACCCCGAGTATTGCGAATAGAAACGAAACAAGTGCCTGCGCCGAGTCAACCCGAAGTCGTGTTAAGCGATGGTGAGTCTTTCCTCATCTTTTTTTTTTCCTTTTTTTTAAATTTTATCCCAAATAATCATCTCATTAGCCTGCATAGGTGTTTCAACGAGTGATTAGTAAAGTTATATATTACAATGAGATGTTTACTTTAATTCAACTCCGATTCTTGCATGGCCATAGCTTTTTGTTTGCGGTCAATTCTTACGACATTTGCATCTCTGCCTTTATAACAAATTTACCACTAATCAGTAAATATAGCACGTTATACAATCGCGCACGAAGATAGATAATTTTGCACGATATTTGTCCATTGTAATGGTAAATGATTTGCGAGACAGATAAACCTATATTTCGTGACTGTCAGAGGTACTATGTACATATAGCATTATAACGACATCGGATCACGAGGCGCATTTTATTGATGAATAGATATGAATCGTGTACGTATTTATTTTTAATATACAGTGAATGATGCTACTGCAGAGTACCTTAATGAGATGCGCTACAGAATGACTGAACGACCAAGCGGTTACAAAGGAGGTGAGTTTTATTTTATACAGGCAAATAGAGATGGATCTAATCCATCATTCCGAATTACTCTCTTTCTGGTACGTACTGTGTATGATGTTCGACTGAAGAAATCGTATCTGGCGTTATATTTGTAAAATAATTAGACCTGCATGTGACTTTTCTACGATTAATGAAAAAATGGACAATTATAAAAGGAGAAAATTTTACGAAATTATGAATGTTTAGTCGTAAAATGTAGCCCGAATTGCGATATAAAGGATACATTATCTTCAGTTTAACTTTGTACATAGTTTTGATACGATTTGACTAATCTCGTTTGGTTGAGATATATTTCATCTGGTATAAAGTGCACGTATTCCAGTATGGAATACGCTCCCCATCCGCAATAACTACATAAAATGCACGTATATAGAATATATTAAAGATTGTGTAAATATATTCATTTTCATATTATCATTTATATGTATGCAAAGCTGTCAAGTTTGTCATGCTTTTGTCTACGTATACGGCACATGTCTCGAAAGCTTTCTCGTCTTCTTTCGCCACTCGAAATAACGATCATAAATGCTTGCACCAATAACTAATGTTCATGCACTTTCGTTAATCTCATTTCTTCTTTATTTCTGCGTGAAATGCTATATAGATCTTGAAAATACACGTGGTTTACACTTAATCCGAAATGCGATTTCTATTCGAAGCTCAGATGAAAATCACACTTTGGAATTTCTTGTTTTCAATGGGAAATTAACGAATGATGAAGAATAATAATAACGAATAATAATAGTTAATACAAATTTGAGATAGCTGTTTTTTTCTTTTGCACTGTAACAAAAATCGCTGTGAGTAATAGTCATATTTGGGATAGATGAACAAAATAGCAGGTTTGCGCGCAACAATACATTTCTAGCATAAAAATAAAGAAACGCATAGTCAGGGGATGGATGTAGAGTTTCTATTTCGAGCGCAGCGTAAGCGACGAAGAAGACTCGCGAATGGTGGAGAGTATCCAAGTGATCGTGAACGTTCTCTCCGTTTCTCCAAAGCGAGCAAACCGATCGATCGTTCGCCGGTTCCCATGTCCGAGATATACATTTGGACATAATGCTTGCAGATTGCGAACTAGCCAGCAATTGCAGCAGCATGAGCAGCGAGCGTGCGCGAATGTACCGGCAGTTCTCCGATATCCGACGTCCTTATGATAGCCTTCGATTGGAGAACGTTAGAACCTCGATGACCGCCGAACGAAAGAAACCTCTTCTAGTTACAAGAACGCTGGTTAACGGGCGAAGCCAGATTGAGCTGAACGCGATCTCTCGGGACGAGGCTTTCGTAAAATCGCGCTACGAGGCGAGGCAGAAATTTTTCGGAGATCTCGAACGTCGAAAGAATTTAGCCGCGGACTCAATTGCATCGTCAAGAACGGAGGTGACGAATGCGAATAATAAAAAGAATCGGTCAACGTTTGAACAAAATTCCACGGTGAGCTCGAATATGAAACCGCTTGTAAACCATCTTGTAAAATTGTTCGATCCATCTCTAAACACGAGTACTAAAGAATGCGTCGAGAACGGTGAAACACGGTCGAGCAATGAAGTCGCGGTGCATTCTGTGGAATGGGCGAATATCGCGCAGCCGAGTTTTGTTAAACGTGTTAACGTGGAGAAGACGCCGAGTTTGCGTAATATTGTGCCCCATATAAACGGTGACAGTCAGACAGAGGAGGAAATAGGACACCGTGAAAGGGCTGAATGTTTAACGATTGAAACGGTTGCTTCTGTAAAAACGGAGTCTTCAACTCGTGGAGATAAATCGGACTCGATGGCCGGCACGAATAACGAACAATCGCAAACATTGACAACATCAACGGCGACGAATACGGAAGTGACACTTGCGCGCAGCTGCGCTGAAACATTTCAACATGATAACAGCGATAACGAGGAAGACGCGCGGCCACTGAACGATTTATCTTCCAACAACTGTGACGAGCGGTCGATCGATCGTTATGAATGCGACGAAGATAAAGAGGCACCGGCAGATAAGGAAATAAACGGCGAACTGAAATCGACGATGGAACTGAGGAAACAAAACGTTCGATCTTGGATCGAGAGCTCCATGTGCGAGGGCAGCTGGTCGAACAACTCAGAGACCGATCCATACGAGTCATATTGCAACGATATCACAAAGATCGTTGAGAGCATCGACGTGAATATCGCCTCGTCGAGGACGGAACTGGACGCGTTGCCCGACACGGACACCTGTGTCAAGTACAATCTCGACTCGACGAATATGAGCCTCATTTACAGCTTGACCCCGCCGGCGGCCGTTGACCAGGACGAGAGCGGCAACGACGATACTTCGCACGATTTGGCGGAACGCTCGTCGGAATGGCAGTCCGATTCAGCGAGAAGCGACAATGACGAGCCGTTGAGCGATTACATATGGATAGAGCCGACGACGAAGGTGGAAGGCATCAAGTCTACGCAAGATCGCAGGTCGTCGAGCGACAGTAACAGCTACGCGGAATTGGAACAGCCCACGTCCGAGAGGCACTCGACAGGCGGTTCCGACATACTCGAGTTACCGAGCTGCACGATCCGCGAGCTGAAGGACATCGACGGCGAGATCTTTCACAACGGGATCAATGAGTCCGCCAACGAGATCATCGCCGATCTCAACGCGTCCGACGAAGCGTCGCCGGACGACGCTGTGGAAGTCGTACAGCAGATCATCGACGAGATTATCGAGTCCATTTACGTTTTGCTGCATTTTGATTCCTCTATTTACGACCTTAGCATCATGAGGGAAATTGTGCGCAACTTGATCGACGGCTACCGTCACGAGTGCTCGCTCGTGGAGACTGCCGATCGAGCGTGCATGCCGGATGTCTTCACGACGATCGGCAATGACGTTGACAGTATTTGTCGCCTCAAAGGTTTCCTGGGGAATCTGTCATCGGACAATAATCGAGATTATGAAATGGAGGTAGATGATACGGAGAATCGCGAATCCCCCGCCGTGTTCGAGTTTTGCACCGTAGCGAAAACGTTGCCGATCGTCGCCGTCGACAATGGCGCTTTGGAATTAAACTTCCGCGTTGTCAAAGTCTCGACGGACGAATATGCGAAGATGTCGCCGGGTGCCCATCTTCGCATATTCGGCGAAAACTTGATCGCCAATGATCGCGGTATCGGTAAAAGGGACGACAAAAGCGCAACCGTGGTAAAATCAGATATGGAAACGTGGCCGTGCGATCGATGCTCCTACTGCCGCGAAGAGGCGGAATCGAGGGAGCCATTGACTTGTTTGACGCCTATAAGTGAGGAGGCGGACGATGCTTCGCGCGAGGCCGTCGACTCTGTCACGACCGCTTTAAAAAATCCTGACAATGAGCCGTTGTGTCACTTAGATGCCGGTGATGTTAATGAAGAAAGTACTGTAAATCCCACGAGGAAGTCTGTCTCCCTCGATGACACCTACACGATCTCCGACGTCAGCTCTGTCGTTATCTCGGACAACGATGACATGAACGATCTTGAGGAACGATGCGACGTTTGGGACTCCTCCCTAGATTGCATGTCGTATTCGTACGAGACCAAAGAGTTCATTCGCCTGGAGAAAGCGCTCGCGGACAGTTCGCGATTGAACGTGTAACGCTTTACTCGTCTTTCAGAAAGACGACATCTTGTTCTATCTTAATTTCGACAATTGTTTAATTGAATCATCAAAGAGTACAGTTTTCCTCGATGAAAAGGAAAAAAAGACGTTTCGACGATTGACTCGTCGAAATACGTGCATCCGCAACGCGTTGCGATAGCGTTTAAACTTGCGTGTCGGTTGCTTTAAAATTTCTTTCTCTTAATATTCAGAATGTCTGTAAAAAGCGTCATACGGTATCAAATAGTTTGCACGCTCGACCTAGCATGTCATTTTTTGTGCACGTTTAACGCGTCGATTTTATACACATCTTAAGAAAGATAACAAAGAAAGACTAGTCCCTTCGTATAAGTACGCGCGCGCAAACGTTAGATGTGTAAGAGATTCGCGTTATTTTAGTATCTGTTAAGTTTTGATGATTCTATTTTTTCTCACAGCTTTTATAATTTTATCGTTCCTTTATGTACAAACAAGGCGCATCTCCTGCGCGATCGACTTTAAGCACATGGATCAAAAAAGAAAATTTGACAATTACACGCCAATTAGCATTGACATTCATAAAAGTACTGATGTCATTTTGTTTTTCTAGTATTCTCAATTTTGATTTTCTGTTTTTTCTTTTTGTTTTTCATTTTTGTTAAGTGCATGACTTAACATACTTAACGTAACTTGAAATTAAAGACGAAGGATTTTGTTGTTTAGTGCAATGTATTAATTTTAATGTTCTACTTTATTTTCTTGGTATGTGATAATAAGTTCAATCGATTGTTACATTACGATATGCACTTACGCTACCTCCTTAACAATATTGTAACTAAATCAACTTACATTGCGAATGCTTACATAACTCACTTTTATATGAATACATTTTCTAATATCTACCGCAATAGCGAGGTGTTTGATGGATATAAAAGTTTGCACATAAAACTTCTTATCATTTTTCTGCACCCGTCTCTCTATTTGAACCTGCGTCAATCCTCACCGTTTATCCCGTTACCTTTTCAATGGTGTACGTGCACGTCCTGCAAGCTGCGAATGATCGATGCTAATACGTGTTTGCTTGGGAATGATTGATTTTATATAACGAATCTCCATGAACGAGTATACTCTGACGAGTACCAACCAACGTCGTTTATTCGAGAGGTAAGATGTCTGTCTCTTTCTCTCGCTTCTTTTCATTTTTCAGTTTAAAGTACGATAATACATAATTAACAGCTCGGTAGGATTAATTTTAATCCTTTGGCTTACAGATTGTGCTTTGCAATAATATCGGCTGTCTTATTATCTTACGGATTATCTTATTATTACGTGATCTGAGGATTCACGTCCCGAATAATCAATTATTTGTGTTTTAGGAGAGAATACCGTAAACGGCGATCACTCGGACGCTCATCACAGTACTTTTTCGCAAAGTAGCAAGGAGGTTTGTCGTAATATACTTTTAATATCAAACACACACGAGACACATACCATATGCGGAAAGTCGGTCTGTAAGACGTTAATTTCTTTACTCTTCGCATTTCATTATTCGTATTTGAAACGATTCTTGATTGCGTTGATACTTCAGGTGAATCTAGAGAAAAAATAATCACACAAATGCAAGTCGTTTAGATCTCGTTTTCCGAATTATAATGAACTGAAACAAATGTTTGAAGTACTTGCTCCGCAACTTTCTCTTTTCAAAGCTAATTGTGATACACGAGTGCATTTTGAATATTTTTTAAATATATGTATTATAATTCGAAAAGAGAGTAAAGTTTTAAATGATGGCTCTAATAGTGGACTCGTACAAATCTCCGCATAGGTATGTGTACATCGGGTTTCGTTCACATATTACATTATCTCACATATCTCATACATCGTTAATAATACATGGGAACGCTGTTTTCGTAATAAAATTATAGAATAAGACATTTCTCGATTTACAATGCTACAAGAGATAACAGCGTGTCCGATTCGCAAACGGATTGTCGCTTCACTTCTTGCATCAATTGTCACAATTACAGCCGGCATAGCCGCTCATAGATTCGCTTCCTACAAACTGTTCTATCGTATCGATTTGCATGCGATCAGATAATTGACTTAATAGAACGATTAAGCGTGAAAGTTCGGCGCTCTATGCATGTGCATGCAGAAAGGTTTATGGTTACGGTTGGGACCTTCCGTGTTAAGGGTTCCATGTCGCAGGATGTGAGCGTTAGCGAGGAATCGCCGAAGAAAGAGAAGAAGAAGAAGAAGGGCCTTAGGACGCCATCCTTCCTCAAAAAGAAGAAGGAAAAGAAGAAGTCGGTCGAGGCGTAGGTAGTCGTAGCTCAGGTAAGCGTTGCCACTCAAAATCAATCTATTTTATTCTCTGGATTTTGATATCGACGTAAGGGAATATATTTCGATTTGCGAACAAACATATTTACAGATCTATCGAACGTCGTTATCTCTATCTTATGAACATTAGTACGCTTATGCTAGAACGTTTCTTATTATCTGTGATCTACAAATCGATCATACGATCGAGCGAGTCGCTATTCTTTCTTTCAGACCGATCTTTTATAATATCGACTGTAATTTTGAAGAGTATTGCGGTTCTCCGATGAATATATAAATGACAAATTTTAGCAACTTGCTCGCTCGCTCAATCGATCATCCCAGTCGACGTGGTTAATTTATTGATCCCGGGCGTTGCTCATTGAAGGTATGGAAGAAAAGTCAAAGCTTTTCCTCTAGAGATTAGACGCGCTCGCGCTAAATTTCATTCATATGGCTGCAGCAACGATCAAATCATGTTTTTCTGGTAGAATTACATTTTCGCGTAAATGAATAATTAAATATATATATATTTATTTAATGTACAATGCGAAGCATATGCAGTGAGATACCGAACGTTATTGACGTTGAATTAACATCTATATTTTCAGACACTGCCACAAGCGAAAGCTTCTCGTAAAAAATAAAACGAATATGCAAGTTTAAACACAAGATCGAAACGAGCTCGGTTTTAAAATAAAGGACGAGATTCGACGAGTAACGAAGCACAGACGAATGGCGGAAGATGAAACGGAGGTGGGATGAGACGTGCACGAGGAAAAATCGAAGCGAACGAGCAACAATCACAGCATCTTTCCAGGACTCAAGACTGCCATCGCATTACGTCTACGATAAGGAAACTATATTGTACTGTTAATGTTTTTACGTTTTTAATTTGTTAAGCGTCGCGCTAATGTATTTAATCCGCTATTTAATTTTGCCTCTCCTATCCCGTTTGTGTGTAACGCAATAAAGAGTTACATATGCATACTTTGCGACGAAGAAAGACAGACAGACAGATAGAGGAAGAGAGGCGTCATCATTATTGTCGTCTCTATTATTTTACTTCGCCAATGTCGACGCCGTTGCCATTGCCATCGTCGTCGCCATCGTAATTCTCGTCGTCCTCTTTCTGCTCGTCGTTATCATCGATATCGACATCAACGTCATCATCGTCGCTACCGCCGCTACCGTCGTCGTCTTCGTTATTATCATCATCATCATTATCATCGTTATCGTTATCGTTATCGTTATCGTCATTATTATTGCCGCCATCGCTATTATCATAATCATCCTCGTCGTCGTTGTCGACGTTGTTGCTATTATGGTCATCGTTGCTATTTGCTTCTACTCTATTTTTTTCCTCTATCTCGAGATTGTCTCAATTCTTTGATTTTAACTGGTAATTTATAGATTAGGAGAAAATTTTCGTACGGTCTCTCTTGAAACGGAGGGATGCGATACTTCACGTAAAACGTTACGTGAACGTTGATCGAAACACATTTTACCTCAAACGAATTCGTGAATTCCAACTGGGTGATATTGGATCGGCTTTATCGCGAAGAAAAAAAAGAAGTAGAAGTGAATGCGAAAGGCTGTGTTCTAGAATTTGAAGCTGGCGTGCGAAAGAAATGCGTTGCGAGAATTACGGATCTCACCGAGACTATCCTCTGTATCAAAAGCATCCCGGACAATAGAAATCGCCTCTGACTCCCGGACTGATGTACTCGTCTTCGTGATATGTATAAAGTAATTTGTGCCGTACGATATCCCGTCGATTACGATTGTTACCGAGTTGAAAACTTTATTACAACTGTCTATCGATTGGCGTTTCGACATAATACTTTATAAGGCTATCGACGTAATACTTTATAAGTTATATCAACTCAATAAAGAAAAAAAAAAGATAGCGTTATGCAGGCAGTAAGTCATGCCTCACGGCATTCATCAGCTTGTATTGTTACCAAATTTGAACAAATCGGTAAGCTTAGGTATGTCCATTAAAATGGTATAAAGTAAAGTAGAATCAGTGTGGAGCCGAAGTGGAACCGAAGTACGGCGACGTGTGTGCTTTCACGAAATTTTCAATTTTATCTACCTATTCGACCTAATAGTTTAAACATTCAAATCCGAGTTTATTACGACGAATATTCATTGTACATATAGAAGCGCAGAACCATGTAATAACTAATGATTTTTTCCTTTGTATTTCCCCTTTTATATAATGGATTAATTACTCATCGATGTGTAAAAACGTGCCTTTCGTATCTTCAATCGATTAGTCTTAACATTCAGCATTTCTTTACAGTATATCTATTGATTTTTTAACAATTGATCATTCGATTTGCCTTTTGGTCGTCGCGTGTCATCTGCAGTTGAATAACAGCTTTTGGCAGTAACTTCAACAAGTCGAACTTGGTTGGACCAAGTAAGTAAGAATATATCTTTCCCAAAGTCTCGTGCTGTTTTAAAAAATGGTCACGCGTTCTAATTAAGTAAGAAATTGCTTAAAGAGCAATTAGAGTCGCGAAATGCGGAACGTTGCAATTTTTCTTTGGCTTGTTGAAGCTATCGAGGAGTGGTTGTTCAAATTGATAATTCGAGCACTAATGATTACGTTATTTATCTATAATTGACGATCGACCGCTTATACAACGTGTGTTTTGTACAAATAAAAAGTCGGCGTTATATATCTATATATAACATATGTATAACTGTATGTATAACTGCGTGTAACACAGAGTCGTGTTATACGTAGAACCGAGTATGTGTAAACGGGGAGGATATATAGTGCTGTTTTAACAGTTTGAGCATTGTGAATCATTCATGCTCGAAGTGTGGCTGGAAGGACTAGACGAATAGATAATAATGAGAACGAAAATAAAGCGCACATGCACATTGGCTTGCAAGTTTTTTTTTTATCAATGCATGCGCGAAGTGAAAATTTTAATATATTTTATTATGCGCTGTTTTTATCGAGATCGATGTTGACGACCGTGATTATTATTATTCGCACTATTATTATTTTTTAGTTTATTATCAAAATATTGTATTAATATTATCATCGCTATTATCATAGTTTTATTATTAAGGTCAACGCGATTTTACCATCGCCGCATTGTATCTAAAGTGCAACAAATTGCGAGCTGAGCTCGTGATGCAATCGAATTTGCACGTCGTGCTTTCTTCCTCCGAAATGATGACGATTCATCGCGCGCGAGAGCCCACGTGCTTCATCGACCTGACTATGACACATCTGTGAAGAAATATTTGCCCATATATACTTTCTTCTCGCCTCCTCTTTCCTCATCCTTCACTCGTATTCATGTATCATGTAATGATTGGTAATAATTGTACGATCGAAGACGTATATTAATGCAATCTATTATTGTATAATGGTTGATATAATATATAAATAATATTACAACAAAATACACGAGAAAGTATTTTTAGATGTGCTTATATTTCTCAGTAGTTATTTCTTCAAAACGATACCAAGTGACAATTGTAAAAAAGCGAATACGCTTCTCTCGTCGAAGATTCCATATGTGTAAGGATCAAATCGGGGAGAGGGGGGGAGGGGATCGGATAGGAAGCAATGGGAAAAGTTTACATCGCGATAGGTCGCTTCGGATTGCATTATAAAATCAGATAAAGAAAAAAAAATTCGCAATAGGTCGCTTCAGATTGCGTTATAAAATCAGGTAAAGAACAAAAAAATCGCTTAAGCAATAAGTGGCAAGCGTCGTAGTATAAATACACGAAATACGAAGAGACAGAAGTAGGAATCTTGATGGTTAGTATTCCTCAGCACCGTCTCCCTCGCCATCGACGGAGTCCATGCCGACTTCCTCGTAGTCCTTCTCCAAGGCGGCGAGATCCTCTCGCGCCTCTGAAAACTCGCCCTCCTCCATCCCCTCGCCTACGTACCAATGCACGAAGGCTCTCTTGGCGTACATCAGATCGAATTTGTGATCGAGCCGCGCCCAAGCCTCTGCAATCGCCGTCGTGTTGGATAACATGCAGACTGCACGCTGCACCTTGGCGAGATCACCGCCGGGAACGACGGTAGGCGGCTGATAATTGATGCCGACCTTGAAACCGGTAGGGCACCAATCAACGAATTGAATGCTGCGCTTGGTCTTGATAGTCGCAATTGCCGCGTTAACGTCCTTCGGCACTACATCGCCTCTATACAACATGCAGCACGCCATGTATTTTCCATGACGAGGATCGCACTTGACCATCTGATTCGCGGGCTCGAAGCAGGCGTTTGTTATCTCGGCGACGGAGAGCTGCTCGTGATAGGCCTTTTCCGCTGATATGACGGGAGCATAGGTGACAAGGGGGAAGTGAATCCTGGGATAGGGTACCAAATTTGTTTGGAATTCCGTCAGATCGACGTTGAGCGCGCCGTCGAAACGCAGCGAGGCCGTGATCGAGGACACAATCTGGCCGATCAGGCGATTCAGATTTGTATAAGTCGGGCGTTCAATGTCCAAATTACGTCTGCAAATGTCGTATATGGCCTCGTTATCCACCATGAACGCGCAGTCGGAGTGCTCGAGGGTGGTGTGCGTTGTCAGGATCGAGTTGTACGGCTCGACAACGGCCGTCGAGACCTGGGGCGCCGGATAAATCGCAAACTCGAGTTTCGACTTCTTCCCATAGTCCACCGACAGTCGTTCCATCAGCAGGGACGTGAAACCGGACCCGGTGCCGCCGCCGAACGAATGGAAGATCAAGAAACCCTGGAGTCCCGTGCATTGATCCGCCAGCTTGCGAACGCGATCCAAAACGAGATCGACTATCTCTTTGCCGATCGTATAGTGGCCGCGAGCATAATTGTTGGCGGCGTCCTCTTTGCCGGTTATCAATTGCTCCGGGTGGAAGAGTTGCCGGTACGTACCCGTACGTACTTCATCTGCAAGAACATTGGTGAGTGAGATTTCAGTCATCCGGTTGTCGCTCGTTTTAAGGAAACTTGTGCGTAACGTGATATCATTACTCACCTACGACGGTCGGTTCAAGATCGACAAAGACCGCTCTCGGCACATGTTTCCCGGCACCGGTTTCGCTGAAGAAGGTATTGAAACTGTCATCATTGCCCCCAAGTATCTTGTCAGACGGCATTTGCCCATCGGGTTGGATACCATGCTCCAAACAGTACAGCTCCCAGCAGGCATTTCCAATTTGTACTCCCGCCTGTCCTACGTGGACGGATATGCATTCACGCTGCAAAAAATATTGCACTTAAAAATCGTACATTAAATTGATTAAACTTATAATTTATATTTAGAATTTAGATCTCATTCATAATAGATGAATCAAAATTCTATTTGCAATTTTATTTTAATAATTGCACGCGAAAAATATATACATTAGAATATATTCGCATATAAAATGCGTATCAGAGCATGTACATGCACGTATATAAAAATATATAGCATGTCAAGTTTATAAATAGACTTCTAACATAATGATTACAGATAATTTAAGACGGAGAACGTGCCCCGTCATCTAACAAATACATCTCTGACAACACACAATGCTGACTATAATATATGCATATACGTAGGAAGTTCCAGGGTCGGCAGAGATGGAATATGAGAATATGGCCATTAAGGGGATCCTGGAGCAACGACAATTATTGATATTTATAGGTGTCCGATTTTCTACGAATTGGCTTTACAAACTTGAAATCCTATTAACACGTTTAGAGAAATGATGAATGGAGTGGTAAATTGAAGACTAAAAACTTGGAAGAATTGAAAAAATTATATTTGATACTCGGTGTACCTAACCTTTTATATCTAGAGCTATCACTTCATGGAAACTTTCGTTCGATATACGAATTTTATAGCTTACGTGTACAAATCGAAAGTACCCTACTCTAATCGGACTAGATCAAAGAACAATGTGTAAGATTAAAAGCCTAATGAGAAATATTTCCGCTGATCGCAGATTTCATGCATGCGTACACACACGCAGCGTACATGGCGTTGCAATCTGACGAGGACGGATATCTTGTAGGAACTCGTTGAATAAGGACAGAACGATCAAAATTATCGATATTTTTAATTCCGCTTGGATGAGGGTGCACTCCAGGTCCTCCAGGATCCCCTTAAGGCCGGAACATAATACAAAGGTACAGGCAATAGGAATGGGGAATAGCAACAGAATGTAGATTTTCAACCTGCCGTGTATCAATGCATTCCGTTCCTATTCCCTATTCCTTTTGCCTGCACCATTGTATTGTGTTCCGGCCCTCAGTCTCTCGTCAACGCCCGACAAGATTTCTTCCCGTCGCCGCCCGCCGCCAACGACAGACAAACCATTCGCTACGGCGGAGCTTGTCGCGTTGCATCGCGCAAATTTTTGCTTCTAAAAGTAGCACCAACGTAATGCAATCGCGAGCGTCGCTCGCGGCGACGTTACTCGCGCCAATCGGCAAGATCCATCCTTAGATAAAATTCGCTGCTTCGACCAGATTAAGATTGATAGGATCCTCCCTCGAACAATAACCGCGCGCGCTCTCTCTCTCTCTCTCCACGCTTCCCTTCAAAGGGAGACACACATATCTGCAATCGTACACCTCGATATACCGGGTCGCTCGTCAACGAAAGATCCGGCTTCAATTCTCGCCAATGTCGTTACGTCGCACTTGCCCACGACGGCAGGCAGAAACGATCGACGAGCGATAGTTTTAAGAAGAGAGAACAGATTTTACTATCGCGGAAGAGGTTAAGGTCCTTACCATCTTGACGAATGACGAAACGGAGACTCGTAGTGAGATCTGCTTGCTCGTGATACGTTCCTGACGGCCGTTTGAACGGAGTTGGCGATGGAACTCCCTCGAACGATCTCGGCTTGACTGAGCGCTTGCTCAGAACGGCCGGTCTTTTATAGCTTCGGTGGATACCCGTTCTACGCCCGTCCCAGGAGCACGCCGCCTATGTCTCTGACGCTCGTCACGCTTATCCGACTATGTAGGGTCATGAGATTGCGTAACCGACCGTACGCAGCCGACCCAATCACGCTGGAGCGAACGTTATAAAGTTCAATCCTTTCCCCCCTTTTTCGCCCTCGGCTTCAATAATCGGTTTTGAATCTGCAAGGATTAATAGCTACCTATTACGCACGTCCTTCGATATTATCGTTGAGAGATTTTTTGCATTTTTTTCACGGTTCGCTTCTTATATTCTTCCCGGCTTACCTCGATCCGCGCGGTGAGGGGGAACGAAAACAAAAAGCGAGGAGGACTCGCGATGTCCGTGGTGAAACTTGGGCTCCTGTGTGGACACTGTGGACACGAGACAGTTTTAGAGAGCACCGTAAATATATCGCGGGGAGCGACGAACTCGGCTCTCGGCTGTTAAACGTGCACGCGTGTATATGTGCACTTCCGTCCTAGAATAGCCGCTGCGTCCTTACTGTATCCGTTTTGCTTGCCGCATCCGTTGAATGGGCAGCATCCTTCTGCAAGGTCAAAACGACAAACGTAAATCGCATATTTGAAAAAAATTGTAATCTTCGACATTTCGTCAAAGTTATCACCGCGACTTGCAATTAAACCCGCTTATTGTCCGCGATTACAGTAATTGTGATAGATTCTTAAAAAAGAGAAGTTCGATCCCGATATATCACGTCGTATATAGATGAAAAGAGTTGACTCGCGCGTGCTCCTCGTGCCTTTGGAATGAGACTTCGATTAAAGTCCGCGATTAACTTGGTCGACGATTAATTCAACTGGGACAATTGCTGAAATAGAATTTCTTGGCTATATATGAATTCATCGTCCTTAATCTCTAAGCTTTATTTCAAACAACGAAAAGTTAATAATTCTATCCACGTTAACAAAATAGTGTAAATGTTATTTAGATAAGCGTTATTAGATGTTGATTAACGTTCAATCAGCAGCAATTTTTTTTCACAATTTAATGTATATAAATAAAAAGTGGTGATTAGAATTTTGTTTGAGATAAATCATTACGTGAATAATGGTTAATATACATTTACAATTAATATACGTAATTTTAATTGGACAATGTGATACCTAATTTATCTAAAATTCCAAGAATATTCTGAGAATTTGGAATTTCGAATCGCGAAACATCGGGTTCCGAAACATCGATCGAGTATTAGAAGAATTGACATAATTGATGCAAAAGATCGCATTATCTAAAATTCCAAGAAAAATTTCCAAGAACCGCGATTACCGAGCAGTCGAGAACTCGTAGAAGTCTTGAGTCCCGAAGTCTAAACTCTCAAAAATCGAAAAAATATCAGGCGGATATAAATCGAGAAGAAGGTCGGTTATTTATTTGCCACCACCAGCGCCGCATCTCGTGACGAAACTCTCGCAAACTTTATAGCTATATCATCGGTCGTTAATTCAGAATTTTCTCAACAGTTTCAGTCCGACGGTGCCGGGTGCGCGCTGCTCCTCGATAGTTCGTCGCATCGCCGATAGGGCGCGCTCGAGTCGCGTTCTCGGATCGGTTTCGTACCGGTCCGGTTTTTCGCCTTGGGATGATACTCCCTGTGGATGCTCCTGGGCCCCGGGCTCACGAGGTATAAATCACTATGGAAACGACAATTGCGAGCTTCACCTCGCTCCTTCCCCCTTCGCTTTCCACGACCTAACCACGTTCTTTCTCCTTCTCCTCCTTCTCCTTCGCTTTTCGCCCTCCTTCTTCCTCGCTCTCTATTCCCAACCGTCTTTAAAGCGTCCGTAGGTCTCTCTCGACAGTGGTGCTCCGATTTTTCCTGTCAAAATGGAGGCACACCATAAATCGTGAACCTCGTTTGTACTTATACTAACAAACTGCTCTCTACAAATTTATTCTAGAAATGGCCCTAATTTTGAAATACCGATTTTCAAATTTAACTCGAGAAATATTAATGAACAATTGATTCAAATAATTTTCAATTGTTTTTGTTTTTTATTTCATTCAATGTTATTTTTTGTCGTTAGTCACGTGTGTCTCTTGCGCGATTCTCGAATAAAACATTTCTTCCAAAAACAATTTTAATTGGACATCCACGTGAATTATTCTGAAAAAAAAAAGACTGTCGCGACGCCAACAAATACACACGTTCCTGGCATTCTCCATTTACGACTACCTGCAACGTGTTGTTCTTTTCTTTATCGCGAGTTTTCTTTTCCTCGGTTTCCAGCGGTCCTCTAATATCTCAAGCGGTTCACAACCGGATTTTATATGCCTAACGTTCCCGTGCGATGTTTACCACGAGGGATTGCGACGAGGGAATAACGTGCTCGAAATCGGAGGAGCACCGAAGAATGTCTCCTAGAAAGACTGCACGAAGAATATGCGGAGCATCCCCGGGTACGCATAGTTTAGATAAGCGAAGGAAACAACTTGGAAGAAGTCTTGGAAGAACAACTTGGAAAAATTATTATTTTTTTTTATTTCTTGAACATTGATAAATTTATTGAGATCAAATTAAGTATATAAAATGCACCGCATTATCGTCTGGATTTCTTATCCGAGGAAAGGGCGATGAGGCCCCCCGAGCTTCTCCGACGTTATTTTTCGCGGGAATTGACGGCGCATCTCGAAAACGAACCACCGCTGCGCTTGGTTTTTCTCTCAGGATGCTGCGGGAGAAAGATAAAGGAAAGATGAAGTTCAAGGTCACGCACACGCTCGCTGTTGCGCAACACAATCGACGCCCCGTACCTGTGAATTCGCCAACAATGCACGTTATCGCGAATATATCCGAGAGCATAAAGGAATCGCCCACAAAAGAGCCTTAGAGCGAACAAAAGGGACACTGCCAGGCCACTCTTTCAAATTGCATTGCATTTCTGGAGAATCTCGTTCTGGAGAACTCTGGATTGTAGAGCTTCTGAACTCCTCTGACTCCCCGCCGAGACAAGCCGAAATCCTACGTTTATCTAATTAAGTTTCAAACTGTAAAATATAAATTAATAAGCTCTCGTTTGTTTCTCAAATTTTTAATTTTGCAGGGCGAGAGAAATGTTCGAGGCGAGAGAATGAAATTCTTTTCCAAGCAGCTAGGAAATGTGCGATCTTGCGTTTTTAGCAACCACGAGGTTAATTGTATTCGTTAAAGCCCTGCGCACAATAGAACACGTATTAGGAATGAGAATGAATATTAGGGTATATAAATATAGGAATATTCCTATAATAAATATTAAATATTAGGACATGTAAGAGCCCCCGCACAATGAAAAAATATAAAAAACAAGGAACAGATATTAGCGATTAAAAATAAGAAATCAGGAATGAAGCTGGTGTAGCATTAATATACGGCTTCTGATGGGTTAAAAATCTATTGCCAGTGTTATTCCCTGTGTCTTTTTATCGTACATCCAAGTTTATTCCTGATTCTTTAGTTCTAATTGCTAATATCTGTTCCTTATTCTTTATATTTTTCATTGTGCGGGGGTCTTAAATGTAAAAATATTCCTATATTTATATCTCGTATTTTATTCTTTTCCATTGTGCGTTACGTTTATTATTTCTAATTCCGATTTCTAATATTTAATATTTATTCTTATTCCTAACATGTGCTCTTATTGTGCGCAGGGCTTTATATTAGTCGGAAATAAGGAATCTGTGTAATTTTTTCAATTTGTTGAATATCTACGCAATCACTTTTTTAGCTACAAAATTAAATCAAGGCGAGAAGCCTGGTATTTCTAGTGATTTCCAAGTGCATTTCTTCAAAATCATCGCGACGACAAAATTCTTTGTGAACTTTCAGGTAATTCATTCGTTTATTTCAGGTAAGAAGAGGACATTCTCAACCGCCGTTAGAGCGGCTCTTCTGGGGCACAGTGGTGCTCAGGTTTTTCGAAATCGAGGCTCGAAATACAACGCGTCCGTCGAATTCGATACTTTACAGCGACCGTAATGCGACGTCGTCTACGTAGGGACGCTACTTTCTTTTTGCGAGCTGATAAAAGAAGAATCCGGCATTCATCTCGCTGGTTCGCGGAAGCGTAGTGAGCGAACGCGTTTTACTCAAGAATACGGCATCGCCTTCCGGTATATATACATGTATGTATGTACTACGTCTCCACTCTAATAACGAGAGAGAGAAAAAGAGAGAAAGGAGAGAGGAAGATAGACGTTTTACCACCGCTCTCAGGCTGCTGTCCAGAAACGTCTCTTCGCGGTCGCTTCGCTTCTCCGCTCTTCGCTTCGAAAATCGCATCTTTCTTTGTTGTGATCCCCGGACGCCTTGGGAAAAAGCGTCCCTTCTCTCGCCCCTCCTTAAGGGCCTCACGGACAGTAACTGCCTGCCTGCGAGCGGGAGATAGAAAGGGAGGGAGAGAGCTCAGGACCACGGGACGAAAAGAGACTGACCGATCCCGAACGGAGGTGAGGGGAGGAGAGAGAGAGAAACAGAGAAAGAGAGAACGGCGGTACAGGGCCCCTTCTCCGAGAATGCCCCTACTACGGAGTGAGGCCGCTAATGCCATTCCCGTCGGACGCATCACTCTGCTTTCCGGCTCCGTCGACGACGTTTGTGTCTCTTTGAACGAGGACGAGGACGAGGAAATTTCCGCGGCGGTCGGTCCTGAGGAGGAGAAGAGCGCTTCCGGAGGACGAGGGAAATTTCGGCAACGTGGGATCCGTCCGATACGCCCGTCCAGCGGCCCTGGATGGGTTTGAATTCAGTCCACGTTTCACGATTATATGCGTGACTAGATCCACACTCATCCAAGGATACTGGACCTGTGGCTGAGGCGAGGAGAGCGCGCGCGCGCTCGCGTTCGCGCGTGTGGACCAACACACCTGTTCTTCTCTTCTCCCGAGGCTTCTGGGAAGTGATATCGCGAGGTAAATGAGAGACGGATCGACGAAAGGATAAAGAGCGAGAGAGCGAGAGAGAGACAGAGAAAGAAATAGAGAAAGGCTCGAAGCTACGCAGCGGTATCACGAGGTAACGGTCGCAGACGCGAGGTCGCGATTTCTCACGGATCTCCTCCATCGCGCAGATTCGAAACCGGTATAATAATCTCCGCGCGCGCTCGCCCGTGTCGCCGCCGCCACCGCCGCCAAGACGTGATGCCTAAATGGCGTCGTGAACGCGTCGGAAGGACGATCTAGTCTTCGGGATACTCCTTTACGCGTTCGAAGTTAAATATCGGAGACTCTTTCGCGACGCTCTTTCACGATTAAGTGCTCTTTCTGGATCTCCATTCTCCCAAGCGATAGACGCGCTCCAAAACGCTCCAAATCTTCCCCGTTCGTTCGCGGTGAACGGAAACGTGGGGGTAAGGCGTCGGAAATCGAACTCAACGGAAATTATACCGGTCTCAAACTTGTACCGCTCTTCTCACCCTCGCGCGCCGCTCGAAGCCCGCGCGAATCGTGTTTACGCTTAGAGACGCAATCTTGGAGCCTTCAAGGAACATTAAAAACGCAAACGATGCTAAACTTCCGTTTAAGATTACTTAGATTAGAATCGCAACGTCGCAACGTCGATCGCTTTTATTCGCTTTTTGTTTAAAGTTTTGTTTCAAGTTCCATGCGCCTTGGTCGACATCGACTTATCCTTTGTCTTCCACGAACTTCGCAGCTTCAACGTGGCGCGCGTACCTTCTACTCCTGTCTCACAATTACATTAAGAGAATGCGTACACGTGCATGTATATTCGATCGCGAAACGCGAACGCTGACGAAACTTGATGCATTCCTGAGTGGCGGAGCCAATGGCCGTGGGATTCCCTTTCAGTTTCTTTGTGTGTGAACACCTGCCGCGCTTTCCCCTCCAGCCTTCTCTCCCCCTTTTACCACGGCAGCGGCAACAATCCTGCCCTTAGCCCTCCCCTCCTCCTCTCTTTCCTTCTCTTCGCTCATCCACCGCCTTCCCGCCATCCTTCCCGAATAACGGTAAAAACTCGTCCGTACCCCCGAACGAGCGAGATTTCCTTCTCTCCGTACGCTCGAATGAAAAATTCGCAAGTCCTACCCTCGCAATTACGCTCTTTAATAATAGATTTACAATATACAGTCCATTTTCATTTGTTTATATTACTTTAACTTCGGATAAATAAATTATATATGTATATAGTATTTTATATATCTGTATATATATATTATATATAAAATTTCTTTTGTATATAATATATATATATGTATATTGTGTAATATCTTGTTAATTCTGTTTCATGGTATAATACAAATTATGCATTGTCGTGAAATAAAAAATATCACAATTTATCTCTTCTCGTTTAAATCGTTTAAATAGAACTTGATAGAACCCTTTTGGTAATGCGAGTTTTACTATATATAGAAGAAAATCGCGTGACTTATAATATTGACTGAAGTGATGTGACAGATATACCTTTTACATGATACGCAATATGCAAATCTATATTGACAACGATAATACGATCCATGGATCGCAGACCTATTCTTAAACTAATAGACACTCTCTTCGTCATCTCGGCGAGAAGTCGAAAGAATTGCATCGCGAGAATTTATTACGAAGGCTTCAGCATTCGTGGCAGGTTATCGTGAAGACCCGTTGATCCTTGCGGACTAACGTAGTATTGTATAATTAAAGGCATATTGACAAGATCGTTGAATCTGCAGCGCGCAGATTTCTTCGGTTTTCTTCGGCCTCTACGATCTGTATCAAGTACTCTGAGACTCTAGGCTCAATTGCGCTATACGGGGATGGTTGTCCTCTTGATTGTCCGCGTCTCCCCGCGACATGTCCGGATCCGATCGAATCTCCTCCAACGCCTGCTTGATCTGCGCCTGCAGCTGTCCGGCCACTTTGCGCACCGCCGTGTGATTCTGCTTGATCTGCTTCGCGTAGGAGAGCATGCCGTCCCACGGGGCTGCACTCGTATGCGCGAGATACAGTTCTTTCCACAGTTGAATACTGATGGGTGCGACGCTGGGCCAAATCACTCCCGGATTCGGTTCGTACAACGGATTTATCCACTGTTCCAAAACGTCCGGTTGATTCATGTACGACCATAAACTGTAGGTTCGCTCGGACAGCCGTAATTTTATCCTCTCCGCTTCCGAATCACCTGAACAAACAACAATATACATGTATAACGATAAGTAAGCAATAATGATAAATAGCTGGTATTTTAATTCGTTATAAATTCAATAAAGATCCATATATAATACATAATATTCTCTAGGATCAAATATTATTATGTATATATATTACGTAAATTTAATTTATATTTTACCGATTTATCTAATCTCGTACAGTGGCTTGCGACAGAATTATTTCTACGTATGTACGTACGTATGCAAGTACAGAAAAAAAAAATTACGTGTTTTCTGGTGTCATAACTCATGGAATGAGAAAACGAGAGTCTTAATAAAAATATAATTTAAATGACATAGAAAAGTAAGTGTAACGTAAATTAATGCCTTACGTACCTAAAAATGTACCATAGTTCGAGGAATAGGCGTGCTTATGCAACTTGATGAGCAAATCCGCGGTGTACTCGAAGCTGAATTGGAATTGATGATGCAGCTGAAACAGGCAATCGAGGAAAAGGAGAAAGGTCGGCGCGTGCGTCGGATTTTGCGAGCTTGAAGATTGATACGCTCCGCAACGGGTCCGACTAAAAAATTGATGGCCGGCTTGTAACCACTCGCGCTCTATGAGTGCCTGAAGTCCTCGTACCGTTCGACAATCAGGATTCAGTATTGCCTGGGCCAAGCTGGTCACGACCAACGTAGAGTCCCTACCTGTGCTGCCTATAAACCGAAATTATAACGTTGTCATTACATGCTTGTTAATCTCGAAGGAAAAGATTAGACAAACGCGATATACTTTCGTAACATTATTTAAATATTATGCTATTGATGTTTGCTGTACAAACACACCGTGCACCAGTACGGCCGCGGCTTCTTGATGCAGGCATTGCGCGGTGACGCAAGCAGCATTTAAAGCGCTCTGCACAGCGGTCAGCCATCCGCTGCTATCCAGTTTCGACAGCCACTGCGAAGTGGAACTGTTGACATCGTTGCAAGCCTCTATCAATTTGTAGAAACTATCGGCCAAATCGTGCGGCCGAGGAACTGGTTTATGTACTTTTCGCCATTGTGGATAAGCCGCGTCCATTTCCGTGCCTCCGCCTCTGGCTCTGGCACTCTGCGCCTGATTGACCGATCTTGTGTCCACTATGTAACTGTGGATAAAATTCAATAACCGTGATGAGTATCTAAAAATAATATCTGCGATTTAAAAACAGTCGTATGTTAGTCATACATACCCACGTCTCCCAGGACCTAGAACCGCATTCAACAGTTTTTCATCTTCTTTGCATCTCTTACCGGTAGCACCGCATAACGGCTGACCGCTTCTCAACAGTATACTCTGCAATAAGATAAAAAAAAGTCAAAAATAGTTAAATAGGTGTTATTGTATAATTTTAAGTAATATACAGATATTACTTACCCCTCCTTCGTGTCTGTAACATAAAACGGGAAACCTTCCACCGTCCCTAAAGCCAGCTGAAGCTATTACAACTTTATCGTCTACTTGACGTGGCACTATGACCGCCGACGGATACGAATTACAAACTTTGTAATCCCTGTTTAGGTAACTGATACGCCACTCGTCCCCGTGAGCCGCCAACAATCTGGACCACTCGGAGACAGGTGCAAACGCTGTCCATCCGTCTTCTATCTGTACTATGACGTTATTGGTTGTCTGTGGTCGATAGAAGAATGGATATTGTAGAGTTTGATCTGCAAAAATAAAAGATAATTATATCTCGCTGTCGAGCAATGTCGCAGATATATCAACAAATTACCTAGGGATATTAGCTTCTCTATGGATAATATGGCGTTGATTAAGTCGTTAGTAGAACCGATGTCTAACTGAAGGATCTGAAAGTCCTTGCACTTCAATATTATACTACCGCCCGGGCTCTGAGCATTCAGTTTCTTCTCCACGACGTCAATGTTTCTGTTCATCAGCTGGCAAAAGGAGAAAAATATAATGAAATTAAGAATTGATTCAAAGAGAAGAGCGTACTTGAAAACAATTAAATTAAAATGTTAATTTTTAAAATATATATTCTTTTAAAGTAGATTGTTTCTTATCAAGGCCAAAAGGCATGAATAAACATTAATATAACATTATTAATAAATATTTATATATATTCTTTAAAAAAAGATGATTTTAATCCAATAATTAAAAAAAAAAGATATAAAGTTGGATAGTTTTTCTTCTATGATTTTGCAAGTGCACTTTGTCTATTAATACATTATCTATACGCGTCGAAAAAAATTAATAATTTATCGACGCCTACCCAAAGCTCCTGGCCGTCGTCCTGCCTGGAGGACAGGATGAGGTGGTGGCCGCTGATGCACAGTGTCCCATCCATGCTCTTGTTATTGCCATCGCTCTTGTCGACCAACACGACATTGTCGACTTGCGGGATTAATATATTATCGCCGATGTGGTCGCCCATTATAGCCTTGGCTCCCGTCTACGTGACGGCCGACGAGTCTCTCGATGAGATGCGAACACTTTGACGGAATGACATAACCTCAGCGGTCCGCTGCTCCGTCAAACTGTCACACGAGAGGATCCTCGAGGCATTTAATTCGCCCCGCTGGCCTCGATCTCTCCTCCGGAAAATTCACACTTCAGCGAGCGACCTCGATTCCAGCGATCGCGACGTTCCCCATTTATCTCGGCCGTGACTAGATAAAGTCACAGCTGTTGTGCGACTTGTTTACCATCCCTACGCGATCCATAACATAATCCGCATCCCGCATCGTTCGCCGTGCATTATCGCTTCGCTCGCTCGAATATCGCATCGCTTCGCCGCGGTGGGGAAACGGGAAGGGAAAGAGAAAGAGAGAGAGAACGAGGAAGAGTGAGAAAGGGCGAGAAAGAGGTTAGGTTATGGTACCGCGCCCCACGTGACCGCGGTCACATAACCTCCTGGACCTGGATGACAAGTAGCGGTGCTGCGACGGGGTTTCGGCTTGTCATGTCCGACCTGACCAACTTGAGCGAACGAGGGAAACGTCGCGCGATTACGATATCGAGGCAATCTGACGATTCCATGATAGGTTCGTCGATTCATGCGCGAGCGAAAACGCCAACCGTACGGCGAGAACATTGCCGCGGGCCCGCCAGGAAGAGGCCGACGCGAGGTACCGCGGGGATGACAGCTCACGCCATATCCGGATCGTTGCTGCTTCCTGGGAGGAGGAAGGCGAGCGGGACGCGCGACGATCGGCCGGGTCGGACATTCCTCCTGGAGCCGCGCGACATTTAGCTATTAACGCGACGTTTTCGCCAGTTTTGACATGACGGTATTGCTTTATTCTATCTACTATCTCGTTTCCACGGAACCACCTTGCGGTCGGGACTCGGGACAGATCTAACTGAAATGTTCATTCTCTAGCTTCGTGCCCGCGAAGGGGTCTAGGAGTCGCGAGTCGCCACGGCGAAGGGTCGCGTGGCGAACGGTGAACGGTTGACAATAGTCTCCTCCTCCGTCAGCGGTTGTCAGCGGGGCTGACCGACGTGGACGGAAACGAGACGGAAGATAGCTGATAGCGGTGATAACGGCGGGAGTGCGGGACGGAGTATCACGTGATCGCGGTGGCTTCCCACGAGGGACACCGTCGAAGGGTGGCGCCACCGACAGCGGGTAAGGCTGGCATCCTACAAGGAGAGGAAGGCGAGCTTTCTGGGCCCTGGAGTCGAGTCGGATAATCGTTACGACGCCGACGGCTCGGTTCCAGGCTGACACCGCACTTACTAACGTTCGCGATCTGCTAGGCCACGCCGGTAGCTCGCGACGCGATCTCAAGAATCTCAAGACACTCAAGGGTGTCTGAGGCAGTCAACAGCAATCAGTAGCACACAGAAGCGTCGTATCTGAAATCTCCACAAGGTAAAAGACCTGTTTACCTCGTGAGCTTTCCACAAAGACGATAACCGCAACGAGACTTAATATTCTTCCAGCAGACCAACGAGCCTGTCTGAACGCTAGGAACTACTGCTTGGGTCCACCGAATTGTGTCTAGTATGCAGCAGTTGTTATCATTATAGGTAATCTTGCAGACACAAAGCTTAATGAGTATTATTGCCGCTGCGTATCTTCGTATCTGAGTCCTGTTGAAGTAAATATATGATATGATACATACCTATGCCCTCTGGTTTAATAGCTTGTGGTAATAGCTGCCGTTGGATATATATAACATGGATGATTACGTTGATTGTATAAATAGATTATGGCTGGATTTGGGGAGCGCGCTATTAACGCTATTTGCTTATTCTATCCTTGTTTTACACCTGATGAGCGATAAAAACAGAATGATGCAATCGCGCTCCTCGAATGCAGCCTATATACACTATACATGGATTTCTGAGCTATATATCTGATCCTTTTTTTTCTGTGAACCAACTAGACTTTACTAGACGCCTTCTGCCAAAGGTGATGACCAAAATGGCGTCCCATGAGAGCAGCATAGGTTCGAGAAAATCTCCCGTCACAGATAAAGTAAATATGACGTCAGAGTCAAAAACGGACAAGGAAGAGTCAACCGCTTCACCGCCAGTCGACCAACACGATGAGCCGAGCGACACAGCTGCCGATGCAAAAGAGAATCAAACATTGAAGTCAACTGATGACTGTACGAGCGTACAGACAAAAGATTCTGATAATACAAATAACGACAACAAAGATGATTTGAAGCCATTGGCAATTGATGAGAATAAGCAAGACGACGGTAAGATGGACGAGAAGCAAGAGACGCAAAATCTAGCCTCACCTGCAGATCCGCAAAATGTAAAAGAAGAAGAAGAGGAAGTTAAAAAAGAAGATAGCAAAGACTCCTCGACAAAAGAAGGACCTGTTTTAAAACGAAAGCGAAAAACTTTAAGGTTAGTACAGACATATCTCTGAAAGTTATATTTTAGATATAAAAAGAAACACGTTGATATTTTCAGCAAGGAATTTCCCGTGGGGGAGAGCGGCACCAGGAGGAAGAAGGTGAGAACTGACCACGACCGATTTTGTTGGCGATGTCACAAGGAGAAGGTTATCACATTTGCCGCCTATTGCACCGCCTGTCCTCGTTCGTGGCATCGTAAATGTATAGGTGGCAATAACCCACCTCAATATACGGCATTGAAAATGGATAAGTTTATTTGCGGAGAATGCGCGACCATCTTAAAAGCGGAAAATGCCGAAACGCGTTCGATAGCCATGGCGCACTTGTCCATCGATCAATTGTGCATGTTGCTCAAACATGTGGTTGAGAGATTACACGATTATCCTGGTGTATGTACAGCTTTTCTCATCGAGTGCTATAGCGTACTGAAATTTATTGCATTATTCATTTACTTATTTGATATATTTCTAATTAATTTTTACTCTTGATGTAGTCCGAACCATTTTGCAAACCAGTGGATCCCATAGAGGTGCCAACTTATTTGGATTACGTTATCAAGCCGATGGATCTGAGCCTTTTGGAATCAAATGTGCGAGCTAAGCTTTACGGCAGCACCGATGCGTTTATGGCTGATGCAAAATGGATTCAGCATAATTGCATCGTGTTCAATACGTGTACGTGAACTCGCTGTGCTTTTAAGTCTGTCGAAATAATCGAGTATTAAAGATAAACCAAGCTTATTCTCTGTTGATATCTGTTGCAGGCGGTGGAGTTTACGCAGACACGTCGAAGCTGACGAACGCGGCGAAGCAGCTCATCAAAGTAGCGCGTCAAGAAGTCTCGGAAATTGAGGCGTGTCCCGACTGCTACGCACATAGTCGGAACTTACCGAGGCCTCAACCGTCATGGTTTATCGAGCCCTGCCGCCGACCGCATCCACTTGTGTGGGCCAAACTGAAGGGATTCCCGTTTTGGCCGGCAAAAGCGATGCCTCGCGTGAATTCTCAGGGATACGTGGACGTGCGTTTCTTCGGCGAACACGATCGCGCCTGGGTGTCGCCGAAGGATATCTTCTTGTATTCCGAGGAGCCACCCGCGCCATCCCCCCGTAAACGGAAAACCGACATGGACGAGTGTGTGCGAGAGATCACCCGGCACTGCAGAAAGCTCGCGCTCATGTTCGGCCAGTTTAAGTTTGCGCCACCCAAAGTTCAGTACGATCCGAACGATCCGATGCAGATACAGCTGATGCTACCGAATTACAATCCCCTCGAACCCAACAACCTTAATCCCGAGTTTTCCACACCTCAGAAGAAGGCGCCCCAGAAAAAACGAAGTTTCCTTAAAGGTAAATCACAGAGTGACGAGTTGACCGATGGCGAAATAGATACTGACTCGAAAGGCGACGCTCATGAAAAGGAGAACGAAGCTACATCGCCAAAAGTACAAAAATTAGATGCTGATGTTAAGGACACGTCAAGCTCGCAAATTAATCTAGGTGATGGTCCTAATAAATTAAATAAGAAAACAGATCAAGAGAGTGTAAAGTCGACTCCTCAAGAAGTTGCTCAAAACAAAACGGTAAGAGGTGAAAAATCGAGAAATGCGAGGACATCGACGTCTCGATTAAATGTTACGGATAATAACGCCGAAAATAATGGCACAAGTCCTAATACCAGCAACTCAGGCAAGAACAATTCGCAGAAAGCGAAGAATGATGTGAAGTCGCCTACAAAAAGTTTGCCTAAGGTTGTCGAGGGTGAATCCACATCGTCCGACACGGCACGAATGAAGAAAAGCCTTTTGAAAAATATTATCAATCCTAAACTGGCACTCTCCCAAATGGATAACTCGAAAGTGGTTACAAAGCAGACGAAGAGAGTGTTGAAACCGAAAACGAGGATCGTTAACAAGCTAAACGCGGAGAAAGAATTGACGACTGCTGCCGCGAGCAAGGAGAATGAGAAACAGTCGAATTCGACTAAACTCATTTCGCTGTTGAAGAATAACAAGGAATCGTCGAGTGTACAAAAGAACACACCCGAAATTGACATAAAGCTATTGCCTTCTACAGCGTCGAACGCGAGTGTCACTCATACCATTCCATCGACGAATTCGATCGTTCCCATGGCGGATAAATCCGTGTTACTCCTCGTGGTGAACGGGAAACCAGCTGAATCCGCGAAACAGGTCGCGTCGACGATCGACTGTCAAGGCAACAAGGATGCTCAACAAGAATGTCCAACAAGATTTTCCTTGACGACAGAGGGACAGCATAATTCGCCTAAGAAGCAGGGCAAGGCTAGGAAGAGCTTTCCTAGATCGCCCAATTCACGAAACGTTCAACGTCCGTTGTCGGACGCAAGCGCAATTATTCAGGTCTCTCCGGCTAGGCAAGAAACGTCATCCACTTATGAACTAATACCTCCGGAGGCTGGACCGATCAGCGCGCGTTTGCACCATGATGCGCACGACCTCGCGAGGAGATTGGGCCATTTGATGGAAGAGACGTACAAGGCGGCAGCTCAGGAGAACGTTAACGGCGAGAATGGCACCGCTGACAATTATCAGGCGACCATATTCTTCTTGCGGATGCAGATCGAACATATGAAGTGGCAGCATCAGCAGCAGCTAGCCGAGTTGAAGCATAACGCAGGTACACCCGTCTTTTCTTTCTAGCGAAATCGTTCGATAGTCAATTATTAATATGAAAACACTTCAGGAAACGTTATAAATTTCAGATCGTACTCTGCGCGAGATGCGCGCGAGTTTGGAAGCGGATAGATTGCGATCGATCGAGGAAGTTCGCAAAGAGTTTGAAAAGGAGAAGATCCGATGTATCGAGGAGACCAAGAAGAAGCAATGGTGCGCCAAGTGCGGACAGGAAGCGATGTTTTACTGTTGCTGGAACACCGCTTATTGTAATTATCCGTGCCAGCAGTCGCATTGGCCTACGCACATGCGAACGTGTTCCCAACAGCCTGCGTGCACTACCATCGTCTCGGTTGCAAGTACGAATCCACAGCAGGTAATGCCCAGATTCGGATTAAGTGGATAACTTTGAACTTGTGAAGAGCCAGAGTGAATTAGTGGAAGTCCCAGATCAAACGAGAAGTTCTATTGCAGCACTTCAGGCTTTCGATGCCTAAATGCTACAATAGAATACTATAGGCCTGTTCTTTTTTAGGCTGAATCTTTGACTATGGGTCTGTTTTCTATTGCTGAACTGTTCCTTTCAATATAGAATAAAAAAGATAAACTCCGAACTAGTGCAGCCAGTTCATTAATAGAAAACAGACCTAATGTTATTTTACCTTATGTCAAGAAACTTTTATTGCCCGTTTATTTTTTTTTTTTTAATTGTAAAAATCATTTGCGATATAAAGAAATTAGAATAATATGGATGAAGAAATATTGAGACCGTCTAGTTCTAGTCTAATATATTTGTTGACAATTCACGTTTTATTGACTCCTATCAGAGTCCATTGTTCACAAATTAACTTTACACTATTGACACTCTGGACGCTTCAAAGTTCAATTTTGATTTTAAATTGTTCCTGTGACATGATTAAATGGTTACAATTGTATTGCAATAGTTTAGAGAAGTATTTTACTTTTCAGAGCAATAACATCGTAACACACGATTCTACGAGCAAGCCGTATCCTCTGTCACCCGGCAAATTGAGTGGAATTTTGCCCTCGTCAGCTTCGTCCCTCAGAAATAAGACCAGCCAAGATACGCTGTAGGCAAATTGCAATTATTTATAACCGATTTCATGTCGGCGCGAGTAGGATGAAAAAAGTTTCGATAGCACTGCAGGTAAATTAATATATCTGCAAACAACCCAGCAAAAATTCAACTACTAATTTAATTTATTATTTTAATTTAAACCACATTGAAACAATCTGAAATCATGTACGTAGTACCTATGTAGTTAATTTCTTTTCTTGATCTTGACATTTTCAACAACGCGATGTAAATAATCCGTAGCGATTAATATCCTTAGAATTTTTGACGTCAGATCATCAAGTTACAAAAGACTCGAAAAATAAGGGTGCAAATTCATCATTAACATTTGTAACAATAAACTTGTAGCACTACACCTTTAATTTAATTAGTATTAAAGAGTAATAATTTAATAATTATCATAGCAAGTATGAAAGATGTGTAATAAATTACGCTTAAGAAAACGTTAGGTTAAGTAGATTAGATTATTTAGATCGATGACTTCTTGTAATACGATAATTATACGTGTTTAATGTGTTTAAGCATTGTCATCTGTTTTGAAATCTGTTTTGAAAGATAACGCTACTTTTTGTAACTATGTTGTACGTTTCACGTAATTTTTCCGTTCCTCTACAGACGCACTTGGAAAAAACGCGAGATAAAAGATAAAAATTATTTTTTCAACAGAGCCTCACGACACAAGCCTAAACACGCTAACATAAAGTAATCTACATTCTTGTAAAGAACACGATAAGCGTTTACGTTCTCGGTTAAGTCTGATATAACCTGTGGCGTTTAGACATGAATAATTTTCAACGTGTTTATGAATAAATCATCAAGCAGAGAGATACGTTGAAATTTATATTTACATAACATGTTTCCGAACGTTCCTATTCACGTCAACAATCTAAATTTATAAAAGATAAGTCATCCGTTTTGTTTTTCAACCTTTGTTCTCCAAAGATCATTTTCTTTCTCAGATTACACAGATTAAATACAATTTGTAAGTTCTTTGAAAAGAAAGAAAGGATAACTTTAGAGCTGTACCTAAAATAATTTAATTGGGAGTAAGAGGATTAAATGACGAGAGAAAGTACAGAGAGAGAGAGTAGAAATGTTCAAAATTTCCCGCTTATGATGCAGCAATTATTTCGCGCAACATGGCGAACGGAAGTAGACGTCACCCAGACCCAGTGCCAACTGCCAGCCAACAGGGAACAGGGCTCCGTAGTCTCGGGCTGCTCTTTCTATGGGAGGAAAAGAGCACTTTTCTCCGTCCCCGCAGCCTCCGTTTCGCTTTTTTCACAGTGGGTACGTGAAACATACGTCGACGCAAGTAAATAACGGGCCTCCGGCCGTCGCTTTTCAACGTGACGCGCGCGCGAAAGAATTCTCCGAAAGATCGGCCGTCGATCGTCGTGCATCTCGAAAAGCGCGAGAGAAAGAGAGACGTGAGAAGCCTATAATTGCCTAGTGTCAGTAAACGAGAGGGAGAGAGAGAGAGAGAGAGCTGGTGAGCTCGTCGTCTTGGATTAATTAATGACTCGTCAATCATATGGCGGTGGAGAGGAGCGAATCGTCATAAATTCCACATCGTAATTCCGTTCCGCCTCGTCTGCACTTCTCTACACTTGTCGCGTATAGAGTTGAACGGGCTGGCTGGTTCCAGGCTGTCAGCGGGGAACACGAGGCTCGGGAAGGTGGAGGCAAGTGCAGCCGAGAGGATTCGGATCGCCGGGACACGCTCGACGACGACGACGTACTTACCTCGCACCTCGATCCCTCTGTAGAAAGTTCAAGGTTGCGAGGGCAGTTTTAAAAAGAGTCGAGCCGCGTCGAGTCACGCTGGCAGACGGTGATATCTCGTTAACTTGCCTTTGTTGCTATTGTTGCAGAGTCATTCATTAGTTAACACACACGGTAGACGTCGCATTATCGCAGCTACAAATATGTTTATTTGGGACTGGTTCGCTGGAGTGCTGAATTATCTTGGTAGGTAGAGTTCTTCCTACGTTAATTCACCGCTTTGTAATCGCTGCTCCAGTCAAGATTCAAGGAATTCAATCTGATTACTGTAATTGCACTGTCACAATGGTATTCAGGGATGATAGATATGTTACTGACAAGATTCCATCATTAGAACGATTGTCTGAGATATTGATATAATATTGATGTAGTTTCATCTTTTATTGGGGGAGGGACAATTGTAGAACAAGGCCCTTCAAAGTCTTAATCATTTTTACTAGGATAATACTTCTCAATTATACAAGTATCTTGTCATTATGCTTGTTATCTGACCAAGTGGATAGACATACCTTATATAATTTGTTATGGAAAACTTGGTTTATCTAATTCTATACTATGTTCCTTGTTACATTCCTTGTAGCATTTCTTACAGCAGCGCAAATCTACAAAAGTTCTAATTCTCTGTAAATTTGTTGCACATTTGATTTATATGAACTTTCCTTGTTGGCTTTAGGATTATGGAAGAAGAGTGGCAAGCTTCTCTTCCTGGGTTTGGATAACGCGGGCAAAACCACGCTGCTTCATATGCTCAAGGATGATCGTTTAGCTCAACATGTACCTACATTACATCCAAGTAACTAATTTTACATTATTTTATTGCACACACACACACATCTCAATCTTATTTAAATTTTATATATCCTATTTTGTAAAAATATATACTATTGTATACATAGCCATGATTCTTTCCTAATGATCTAATCATCTTTCAATGGGAACTTTAATTTTGATAATATTTACATGATTAAATATAAATATGTAATTTGTTTTAAAGCACAAAATATAAGCCATAAACTTCTTTACAGACTATATCTTTGTTATGCTACAACGGTTAAATAATGATTAAATATTTAAATATGTAATTTGTTTTAAAGCACAAAGTATAAGCTAAACTTCTTTACAGACTATATCTTTATGCTACAACGAATAAATAATAAAAATCAAAATTTTACTGAGTTGTCATTAATGATTTACTTTATGTAGCATCTGAAGAATTGTCTATCGGAAATATGAGATTCACAACCTTTGATCTTGGTGGTCATACTCAAGGTATGCAAGAGAAATGTACATCTTATGAAATGTTTTGTTTTAAACAGTTGCTCATACCTTTGCAAATTGTATTCCTGCAGCACGTCGCGTGTGGAAGGATTATTTCCCAGCTGTCGACGCGATAGTGTTCCTCGTCGACGCAAGCGACAGAACAAGGTTACCAGAATCAAAAGCTGAGCTGGATGCGTTGTTGACTGACGAGCAACTTAGCGCGTGTCCGGTTCTCGTGCTAGGCAATAAAATTGACAAACCATCCGCGGCTTCTGAAGATGAACTCAGAAACTTCTTTAATCTGTATGGACAGACAACAGGAAAGGTACAGCCATGCAAATCGAAACAATGGTCTATACTTAGTCTACTATATATTGATATAAGAATTACATTATTAAATTGATAGAATTTTTATTCATACAATTGAAAATTTTTTAGGGTAAAATTGCTCGCAGCGAGATACCCGGCCGTCCGCTGGAACTGTTCATGTGCTCAGTCCTGAAGCGACAGGGATATGGGGAAGGCTTCCGTTGGCTTGCACAGTATATCGATTGAACGTATATATTATTATATACATGACAGATTCTCAACAGTTTCATCATACATTTCCCTTTCCTGTTGGTAACGGTGCCGCTACCGGGACTGTAATCTTCACATGAATTCAGTAGTAGGAGAGGAAATACCGTTTCATCGAAAAAAAAAAAGAACACGCAGTAATCGAAATTTAAGACGATTTTCCCAAATAGAGACACGAGACGAATATTCTCGAGAACATTGTACGCGCAAAATAGGACAGATTTCCTTTCTTTGATGTTGGTACACGAAAAACCCGGCAAACATCATCTTTTTCTTTTCAATTCTTCGAGCTCCATACGGATTCTATGGAAACCTATCATTTTACGAGTCACATTAGGGGAATGATCATTAATACGTGCTGAAGAATGAAATAAAAAAAACATTTTGATAAAATAAAACTAATAAACTATTTAAGAATTCCAAGTGTTTGGTAGATTTATTTTTGGTGATTTAACTGATTTATTTTTAGTGACATTATACTCTAAAAAAAATGTTATAATGCAAAGTAATGTATCATACACAATTGTATGTGTGGCTTCTGGAAAGTTGAGAGCTTACAGTATGTAATTTACGAAAGTTAGGCTGATTTGTTAATTGATATTGTCTCTACATGTGCTCTTTATCTTTCTTTTCGTTTAATTTAAAGTAATAATTGTTAGAATCGTTGAATGACGCTGCTGAATGCTGTTTTATATTTATAATTGCTGGTGTTTAATTTTTTTATGTTGTATTTTTACTTATACAGTCTTGTATTTGTGCCAACATTTTGTATGTTCTTTGAAATCCATTCAGGGGGTGCAGGATATGTACCAGTAATTTCTTTTTTGGCAATGGTTACGAAAATCTAGTTAAAATTATTAAGTAGAACTAATAAAATTAATAGAAATGATATCATTTCTTAGCAAATTTTTGAATTGCATATTTCAATTGTAACTGATATATCGTTTAAAAACAAGCATATATCATGCTTAATATTCTAGAAAAATCTTCAATTATAAATGATCTATAAATTAAGTTACCGTTATAAGTTGAAACTGTTCATAAATTATGTAGATAGATAGCGGGAAAATTTTGTTTAATTTGTTGGTGGTGAACCTTAATAAATCTTGGAGTTGTTTCCAAAATAAAAATTAAAGTTGCAAACACGAAAACAAGTATTTTACGTGATGGTACTTAGGTTGTAAGTACTTCTTCATTTATTTTACACCAACAAAACATGGTTGTCTTATATTTTACACAATCATATGGTGCGTTATTTACAAAAAAAAAATTGATTTACATTTTACGGTATAAATTTGTTGCGAAAAATATAGGAAATTAAACCTGAAAAAGTTAACGATATCAACAATTTTAATATAAATCTCAATCTGTACAAAATTAGGGTACAAAAATAAAGTCTTTAGGAACTGTTTTCATAACAATATGTTCACAGTATGTATAAAAACTTGTCTTAATTCCTATAGTTTGCTGGTGCACAACTGCAATTCTTTGTCCGCAGGAAGTGCCGCGAATCGTTTATTTACATATTCATCCGTTACATCAGCCAAGGATATCGGCTTCCATACTGGTTTCTGATCTTTGTCGATTAAGAGAGCTCTGACACCTAAAATTAAGTTGAAATATTGATCCAGGAACAAGATTTGTAAAATAAATGCTAAATTTTATCTTGTACCTTCGTAAAAATCACCATCTCTTGTCAGAGCGGTACAGGCCAATCTATATTCGATCTTCAAACAATCCGCTAAAGATTTTCCTTTCCCTTCGTCGATCGCTTTCTTAGTAACTTTGAGAGAAGACGGAGACATTTTGAGTAGCACTTCTACGTTCTTTTGTGCCCAATCCGAATTATCTTTTTTTAATCTTTGTACAAAAAGATTACATACTGCTGTATTACAAAAGGAAAACTATTAATTCAATTAGATGGAAAATTTCTGGGTTTTACCTTTCGATTATCTCTTCAATAGATGGAGCAGAGAAACACGTTTCTATCTTCGACATATGAGGCGCCAAGCTGAATTCGTGATTTAATTTTGGTTGATATTTGTTTAAAATAGGCTCGATTTTTTGTGTGTCGATTTCACGCAACGTTAACAAATCACGTTTTAAATCCGCAATTTTCTCCGATGGTACAAAATGCGTGGCGATTCCGGCAAGGAGCACGTCGACACCTTAATAAAATATATATATTTATAAACGCATATAATATATCGCTCATTTGCTACAACACTGACATAATTAAAAAATTGCCATTTTTGAACTGTTTGCAAAAGAAGGGTGAAAATACACTGAATGAAGAGCTAATATATAGCTAGATATTTTTCCTCTACAATCAGTTATTGCACCAAAATCGCATTTAAAAGTTTTAATATTTTCATTTTGTTTTCTGAGTTATGTCGTTGTAGCAAACGAGCGATATTGTAAAAACGCATTTTATAAATGCGCGTGTACATGCATATATATAAGATTGAATATAACAAAATATAATTAAACGTTTATATACCTTTTAATCTATGTCCTGTCAGACCCAGGTAGATACCGAGTCTTCCCTTCAATCTAGACAAAAAATAAGTCGCGCCGACATCGGGAAACAATCCTATCGCCGTTTCCGGCATAGCAAAGAGAGTTTTCTCCGTGGCGATTCTGTATTTGCCATGGACAGATAATCCGACACCGCCTCCCATTGTTATCCCATTGATAATGGCGACGTAAGGCGCCTTGTATGTTCCAATCAAATGATTTAAGCTAGAAGCAAAAAAAAAGAATTATTTTATAAACGGACAAAAGATACATTTGTTCCTGAACAGACACTTTTTGCGACTTACGTATACTCCGTTCTGAAAAACTCCTCGCCCAGACGTTCACCTTTCGGTTCATTCAATGCCAAGACGAGCGATTTAACGTCACCGCCAGCACAAAACGCTTTCTCACCAGCACCTTCTATTATTACCAGCTTCTTGGAGGATTCCCATTGTTTGAGAGCAGAATGTATTTTCTGGACCATGGAGAAATTTATGGCGTTCAATGCCTTAGGTCGATTTAAAACTATCACGCCGTTATCGCCAACCTGTACATAATTAATATGATCCTAATTAGTTCTGATAAATTAATAGTATCTGGCAAAGATAGAAATTCTGAAATACAAATGAATACAATAATACACAAACGTACATCTTTTATGAGAACCTCATCCATGATTGTTTGAGTAGTAGCTGCTTCTTTAGATGCTGGAATTGCAGGATTAATTTAGGATCTATGTGCAATTTAGAAAAAGAACAATAAATATATATAACAAAAGGAGGGTATTCTTTTTACAATATATCACAAATTAATAAGCTAAACTTAAGAAGAAAAATATTACTGTACTCCAGACATAAAATATTCAACATTTTTATGACTTGCAGAAATATGTTTATACATTTGCATGGAAAACAAGTCAAATCATTAGCGACTACGTCAACGATGCGAAAGTCGCAGCTTCACCTGTGACAGATCCCGACGTCGATAAGCATCTAACAGTAGCAGTAGTAGCACGTGCGCGTGTAGCACCAACACTCGAATAATGCAATTTTCCTACGACGCTCCGCATCTTGAAAGATAATAATTATATAATGACACTCGTCAGTTGTCCAATGCGCAAATTTCCAGCTGCTCGTACTTCAAGTCGAAATTACCATATTTATGACCCAAGTGTCGTTGCTACGTAAGTGTTAGAAAAACGTTAGAATATAAAACCTGTATTGTTGTTGAATTGCTGGGCTGCCGCTGACGTAAATACGTTAGATTAGATCATAAGGTGGTATTCACAGTCCGATGTTATATGTAAAGTCGTCATGTTATACCGAAGATGCTACAAAATCATTCCATTGGTTGGAAATCTTAAGATCACCTAAGACCACTCAAGGAATTAAACGACTCTTATTTAAGATTTTTATATTTATAAAAATCTTAAAAAATACGATTATTATATAAAATATAATATTCTAAAACATTACTTATAATATTAACCCCTCGACTGTCAATGCCGGCAAAGAGAAACCTGAGAGAGGCCATCCCGGCCCCGGCCTTTTTCGTGTGTTGCTGTGTTGCATTTTCCGACGCGCCGCCTGAGAAAGTGCAACTCAATTACGTCGTATCGCTCGGTAACCGCACATGGTTTGCGTCCGTGCTAATGGTTCGTGTCCGAACTAGCCAGCTGGAGGGGATATTCTGGCCGCGGCGGCCGCGCTCGGCCGGCCCGGGAGTTGCATCTGCGTGCACAACACTCGCGTTATACTACGTCGACCAAACACCACCAAGACAGAACGCAGAACGTAGAATACAGCCAGTTAAACCTGTGAAAGTTAACGAAAGATTCGGCATACGTTGATCTTTTATTGTTCGTTGAAAGTTTTCGGTATTTTTGAACCGGCCGCGGCCGCGCGCGTCGTGCCGCTTAGGAGGGGTAGGCCGTGACGTCATGCGCCGCTCCGCGCCGCCGCGCCGCGCGGATCGATACGATGACGGTGACGTAGTAGACAGTGTAGGCACCTGCGCAGTCCGTACTAGCGGCGCGACCGTTGAACTCGAAAGCTCCGTGTCCGTACCTCGAAGATCGGCGCGTTTTCGACGTTGTTTCTGGCGATGAGCGGACTTGTCACTTGTTTCCGTCAACGCTCGGAGTAGTGTGTTACCTGCGTGAGTGACTCAGTTATCATTCTTCCGAGGAATTTCGCACAGGTAGGAAGTGTTTGTGCTCCGCGCGCGCTCGTCACCGACGTCACCGTGCTTCGTGCTGTTTTCGGTGATTGGCATTCCTGCTTCCTCGTTTCGCGGGCCGCGGGAATACGCGCTACGCGATCGAGTACCGTGCGCCGCGGCGCCGTGCGCCGTGTGCCGTGTGTGCCGTGTGCCGTGTGCCGTGTGTGTAAAACAATTTACGAGTGTATGAGGTGTTTATCGGAATGAACGCGTCGCGCGACGCGCTCAGTCGAGGCGGAGGTATGTATGAACGACTTGCTTTGCAGTTTCGCGCTGTGATATTCACGAGTGATAGTCGCTCCTCCCGTCATGTCTGGATTCGCGAAGAACGCTGACGTGCCGGACGTGTCGTGTGATTTAGCTCCGATTCTCTCCGTAGGGAAAAAGGGCTGAGTGATATTGATCGTGTCAAGTGATTCGGGTGATTCGATCGGTGATAACGGAACGCCGCGGCGCCGCCGCCGCGATACATCGCCCGTTCGTGAATGCTTCACAATCTCGGATTCTCGATTCTCGTATATCTCGCGTCGCGTAAGATTAGCGGCCGGCAGTCACGATTCTTCGTTGTGCATATTAATAATGTAGTTATACTTTCGCGAGATTTACGAGTTTGATACCGTACGTACTGTGCATGAGTGCGATATTTAATTTCAACAGCGTATCTCTGATTAACGAAGTGCGTGTCTTTATTAACCGTCCGCTCGACTTGCGTAGTATCGCCGGTAACGCGGTGATGAACGTGGAACGACGCGGAGCACGCGGCGTCGCGACTCCTTCAAATTTGCATGAAAAATTCATGTTACCCGATTTTATATTACAGAGTAAAGTACTTCCTTCCCACGGGTACGACCTTGGCGAGGTGGGAAGGCTCAGTACCCAGTACGAGGATTTTACCCAAGCAAAACTCTTGTTCTGCTTGGATAAAAATTCAAAGACGGGGAAGCTAACGTACCCTCGTCCGCCGATTTAATTGAATGAACGAACCGCAGCCGGTTCGTCGCGTTTGCATCGGGAGTGCCGCTCATAAGTAATCGGACTAAAGGACTTTTTTAAACGGGAGTGCCGTACAATATCGCGCGAGAAAGACTTTTAACAGAACATAGTCCGCGCGCGCGTGTAGTTTATCATCCGCGAGTGTTTCTCGCGAGTGTCCTGTGCGGTGAGACGAGGAAGCCTAAGTATCTCCTGAGAGGAGGAGGAGGCCTGAAAGAGGCATCGGGCACCGGCGGAGCAACCTTGGGGTGAGTATCATCTCTTATATCTGCGTAAAATTAATAGTTCTTTTTTATTTATTTGACGTGTTTTATCTCGATAAATTAAAAATACGTAGAGAAAAGATTATCTAAAATTTTACTCTTGTAAAGATCGTTTTCGGTGAACACAGATATACGTGTGTTGCTAAATATTTTATTGAAAGACAAATTAGTTGCGCGTAAAAATTATATCTTGAAATGTTGATCATTTTGAACGCTTCTTTAATTTGAATTTTATGTTTGTATGTTACAGTATCACCGTAGCTACGTGGCTGAACAACTCCGCCCGTTGCACATCGGCGTGGTGAGTCAGAATTTTTTTTATTGAGGTAACAAATCTACGATTAGTCAGATATAGAGCCATTGTATCTCGGAACATATCGACGTACGACAATAACGTACTCTAAAAATATTACATCTCGTAGATTTGTTGTTTTATAAAATGGATGGGCTAAAACTAATTACGGGAAAATATTTAATCTTGGTGTCAGTTCTTTATTGATTTATTGTGTACGTGTGCTTGAGGAAATACTCACACACTTTGCACGCACGGAGCTCGCGAAGAGCTCATTATCGTTCATCAAACTATGTTGACGGTCTGCCACGTTCTGTACGTATAAATAATACCTCTTTTATATTTCTTAAATATAGATAAATCGCGCAAAAATATCTGAATAAAATTTGATAAATTTTTTAAGTACATAAGAAATTAAATTTTCCAAATTTTGTTACATATATTAATTCTACTTTGAGTAATAAATATTTTAGAAGTACACGAGACAAAAAGTAAAATAATCTTCTGACAATTAAAGTAATGATTTTTGTAATATAAATATTTTATTTAGATTTCTTTAAAGAATTATTTTTGGCACTATTTTTCTCAAACAAAAGAGATAAGGAATAAGATATCGTGTTAGATGTTATAAAAAAAATATCTGTAGATAGGGAAAAATCATGGCGTAGTTAGGATGTGTTTCATTCATACCCTTTATTTGTTCCTTTCCACATGTTTAGCCAAGATTAAATATTATATAAATCGATGCAAGGAAGCAACAAATAGATATATTTAGAATATCGGTATGCATAAAGAAAAGCGTAGAATATGCATAAATATAAATATACATATGTATAAAAAGGACAAGAAATATGTTGGTCTTATTATGCAAGTTATTTTATAGAAAACGTGATAATTGTTTTTAATTAATTAACTAAAATTTATTTCAATGAAGCATTGATTTTACCATAATTTTTTGTAACCTATCCATCTATTTTTGATTGAGAACGTGGTTTTATACCGGTCAAGTAATATGTGACGTGAGATTCTAAATATTTTGTCGAGAAACGCTGAACTTTTTAAATTATTTTAGAATTGATCGTATAATACAATTATATATTCAATTTTGCATGCAGCAATATATATGAATATATTAAAAATAATTTTGGTAGAAAATGAAAAATATAACGAGATATATTTATATCAATATAAAAGTTTATAAAGATTTGCATATATTATTTATAACAACGCGATTATTCATTAATTATAATTGTGGGAAAAGTTTCTTTTTCTTAAATCTCACGTCATTTATTCTGTATATCTTATTTGATACATTTTCAAAATGCGTACCACATATACGGAGAAAACATTTGGCACATAAAAACAATATTTAAATTTTATATTATAAATGTAAAAAATGTAGAAAAATCGTTAAACACCGCACAGTGTGATATTTCGACAATCTAGGGGGACTTAATTCTTATTCCAAAAATAATGCGTCTTTTTAAACAATATATTGAAGAAAAATCTTTATAATGACATTTAACCCTCAAACACGGCATTTCCTAGGCTACTCATTAGCATGGCACATGAGTTAGCGAAGTTAGCGTAATCCAGAGTTTTCTTGTGTTAGTATCTAATGCACCAATTTTTCTTTTTCTTTTATTTCAGTAGTAATTTTTGCAAAACTTTAGCAAAATATAAGCAAATGTAGCATCAAATTTTGTTGTTGATTGTTTATGTTCAGCCCAAATATCGAAAATGGTCTAGCGCAAAACTATGAAAATTTATTCTATAATTGAGGAGAAATGTAAAAATCGCAAACGATCGCAATAAATTTTCAAATTTCTAGATACCTTATATATAAGTTCTATTTTAATATAAATTTAGTAAAAATTTTATATAATACCATATAACATAACAATTCTTTCACTTTTAAATTCCTTCAATTTTTAAGTATGTTATATATAAGTATTATATAAAATTTTTACTAAATTTATTAATTAGACCCAGCTTTATACGCGATCAAATATCCATAATTTTGATCGCATATAAAGCTAAGTCTAATCAACCGAATTTAAAA